AGCTGTCGTTTGACTGGGAGCATATCACTGAGGTCATGAATAGAGACCACATTCCTGGATACCTCGGATGACTTCGCAGTCGTAGCCCCTCCGATTGATCGTTGAGAATGATCTGTAGATCGTGGTCGATAAATGCCGATGCTGCCAGAACTGCGCCATGTTTGCGGTGGTTGGAATCGCGTCGTCGGTAAACCGGAGATCATGTCAGACGATGAACCTGACGAGCTAGAGGCATCCGAATATGAATCGTCAGAATAGTCCGATGCTCCATCGTCTGTACTTGCGATAGTCCCATTTGTGCGAGGTCCCGGAGAGCTTGTCTGCAGGCGCCCGAAGCCTTCAAAGACCTTGTCTGTTCTCGATAATCTGCTCATCTCTTTGAACCCAATATTATCGAAGAGCTCTGTAGACTTATCTTTCTTCGGTGGGAAGAAGCAAATCAAGCGGCCGTCGTTCGCCCAAAGCGCACCACATGCTTTGGCAACCGGCACCATGACATTAGCGTTCACGGGACGAAGCAGCTCGGAGCTCATTCCCAGCTCTTGGCTTTGTGTCATTCCAACTTCGTCTTCATCACTTGACTCGCCTTCTAACTCGCCGTTGACCGGTGACTTGACATTTTCACCGGTTTCGCCCAAGATCCAAGCGATACTCTCTTCTAGGGTACTCTCCCCCAGAAGGTAGCGAACGGCACCCTCCAAACATCCCCGCTTTCGGGACATGTACGTTTCGGCGATCGTTCGAAGTTCGGCAGTGAGTTTACCGGATAGAACGTCGGTAACAGCAGTCGTCTTCTGACAGGAAAAAGTCGGGATAGCAGACTTTGGGTAGCTCGTAGGGAACTTGATGTCCACTTTCAGGAAAAGTGAGTCGCCCTCCGCACCCCAAGGGCCATTCAGAGAGATGGAGATCTTTCTTTGCCTCACATCGACAGACTCAAAGGCGACTTTCGTGAACTTCTCGCCCACGTGGCTAATCTCGTCACCGAGAGTCTCAATATCCCAACCGGAGATCTTAACTCCACGCATCCAAGCAATGGGATTGGTGTCGGCCCTCAGGTTCGACCGCGGTTGCATACCCATATGATTGTCAACGCGGGCTTTTCGAGTGTAGCCACGGGCGTGGGGTACAGAGATAGCATTCATGCCAGGTCCACCGGGATAGCCCGTGGTCGAATTATGGTGCAGAACTGAAGAAGCAGACTCAATGTCCTCGATATCCAAATCTGAGTTGACATCTCTGAAGCTTCGGTAGACAGCGCCCAGGCGGGTCACATTTCGAGTAGAGATGTATGATTTGCCTTTCTCATATCCAACCCGTTCCAGAATTTCGGGATCGACTCGGTGCAGGCGAAGTTCACGATCGGTTCCCCATGTCACCAACTGAAACTCGCGGTTATCGATTCCATCCGTCACACCACCGCGTGGCCTCCATAAAAACTCTTTCACCTGGCCTTTGTGTCCCGGGAAGCTGTGCACCAAAGGGAGGTCATCATCAGGATTAGCGCCATCACCAGCCCTACGACTGTATAGATGGAGGTCACCATTTCCTCTCTGGGGCATTGCCAGGACACCCCAGCCGAACGGAGTATTCCTGGCCCTCCATACGGGGAAGGGGGTTCTAATCATTTTCTCCGGTACGTCTGTGTCCGAGGTATAGTCCCAGAACTTGACGGTCCTGTCAAGGGAACAAGTGGCCAAAGCGCCTCGCCGAACACGATTCCAATCGACTCCATAAATCTTGGTATCGTGGGCCTCAATCGATCGAATAGGATAAGCACCCATACGGTCATCCCAGATCCGGAGGAATCGGTCATGAGAACTGGCGATGACGTGGGGATCTTGCCGATTCCACTTAACCTGGGTGGCACCGGTAAACCAATCCGAGAACGATATGGCGGGGCGCGAAGGCGTACGCAGATCCCAACAGTGTATAAAACTATCGACAGAGCAGGTCGCAAGGAGATCTGGATGGAAAGCGGAGAAGTTGACGTCGGTGATGGCGCGCGAATGGGCGTGCAGTACATGTTCAATTGAGTTCTGCCAGGTCTTCATCGCCAAGTTCCAGACCAGAGCTTTCTGGTTGGATGTGCTCACAACCCATTGATCACGAGAAGCGAATGGCGACCACTGTACATCGGCGACCTCCCAAGGTGTGTGATGAGGAAGATAGCGGGGTGGAGAATAGGGCGAATCGAGGTCAATGACGTGCAGGCCCTCCTTAGAAGCCAGCACGACATCCCGCCCACAGGGCGAAATGGACATAGCCCCAACAGGTTGTTCGACATGGAAAGAGCTGTTCTCATCGAAGGTCGGACTCTCGAAGGCCGATAGGAGCGGCCGCGGCTCCATAGAGCTCGACATCGTAGCTGTGATTAGCCTCGCCGAGGGGCCAATCGGGCCGATGGAAGAGACTCGGGGTCACAGTGCTATGAATGACAGTGCCTCACATGGGTTGCAGTTGGTCGCATGTTGTAAATCGGTATAGGAGGTGGTGGACTGTGGTTGAGCCAGGATCAAGCAGATCGGCCTCGCGTGCCTCAGCGGAGTTGGAGATAACGCGGAGACGAGAGCAACGGCTGTGGCTGAACAGTGGCGGTGCTTACGGCAGTCCGTAATCGCCACTCTGCAATAATTAGGTAATTTGCTTCTTGACCGGCAGAAAGCTCTCCTTCACGCGCTCCAATTTGCTACCTTATCACAATTTAGGGTGAAGTAATAGATTCTATCTTCAATTTAAAAAATATCCATAAATGATAATTTACAATATCTCTGCTGGTGTGAGAATAGCTACTACTGTTACTATGATACTGCTAAGATTTATTACTAGTACTAAAATACTCTGACTAGGTAGGTAGGTACTACTCTCTAAGTTTAGATCACCTATAGCTACTACCTAGGTAGCTGCACCCCCTACCACCAGCCAATACCCCAAACCTCAGTTTACAACAGTAGCAGTGAGTAACTATGATGCAACTTCCTGTCTATTTTTCAATCTAAGCTAACTATTCTTTTTTAACTCTTTGGTATTCTTGTAGGACAGCGATGTAGGCGGTGGGGGAATTACTAATTGTTGCAGAGCCGTAAGTGGCGGTGCTGCATGTGACCTCCGCCAAAGCCCCGCGGTGCAGCCCCTCCGCTCCCGCCGCGTTTACCTCTTGTCTTTGCTGTTGCTTTTTCCCAGTACCTGACATTCATTGCGCATCACTTGCTCTTTACACCGCTCTTCTGTGGGTCTATTTATTGACCGACTTGCTATACCCTCTTACCTTACTCCCCGACGATAAGCGTTAGACATGGCGTTGCCAAAGCGCATTATCAAGGAAACGGAGCGCCTGATGGCGGAGCCGTACGACATGTCCTATCCACTTTGTTTTGATGATCACTTTGACTGATTAGATTTCCTTGGGTCTTGCAGGGTTCCTGGTATCAACGCAGTTCCTCACGACGATAACCTGCGATACTTCGACGTTTCCATCCACGGACCGGCACAGTCCCCATATGAGGGTATACATATCGATCTTCTCTGTGCATGCCTCTATGGCCTTTGAACAAGTACTAAAATGAACTTGAACAGGTGGAATCTTCCGTCTTGAGCTCTTCCTTCCCGATGACTACCCCATGACCCCGCCCAAGATCCGCTTCCTTACCAAGATCTACCACCCCAACATCGATCGTCTCGGCCGCATCTGCCTCGATGTCTTGAAGAGTGAGTGAAAGATACTGCGAAATATTCCCCAGACCTACCTGCCCATTTACTGACCTCGATCCAGACAACTGGTCCCCGGCCCTGCAGATCCGCACAATTCTGCTCTCCATTCAGGCCCTCCTCGGCGCTCCCAACCCGGACGATCCCCTCGCAAACGACGTTGCCCAACGCTGGAAGGACGATGAGCCCGCAGCGATTCAAACAGCGAAGGAATGGACCCGCACTCATGCCATGACCTGAATGTGCCAAACTATGATGTGACCATGAAAAAAAGAACAAGCAAAGGGCGACGGTTATGCTTCCCGGTGTAGCCAGATACCAATTCTTTCACTGTTAGTCGGTGCTGTATCTGATTAAGCGCAAAATTATTTGTCCGCACTCTTCATCCTGTCTGAAATTTTGATTTTCTTCTTTCAGAAGGCGTTGCATAGAATCCAATCCGTTGAATGGAGTTTTATTGTTACGGTCTCCTTTAATGATATCATACGCTCTATACAATCGACACATCGTTCTCTATGACCGGGGAATAATGAATAATATATGGTCCTGATAGAAAGGAGCAAATAGAAATTTGCGAGCGAAAACGAGACGATGTTGTGTTCGTCGAATACCGAACTATAGATTGACTCGCTCAAAGTTTCAGCTTACCTAGGTATGTTGAAAAAAGTGCTTTTATTGTGTCTCGTCGGCTCCAAAGCCACGTATGTTGACTATTTCAATTTTCAAGTCCTCTACCGCTCTATATATTTCAATTCCAATATCTCGTATTATTACCTACCTAGGTAATATCCTCCCGCTACTATTATCCACCTGGGCCCCTGGGCAGGCTACTACTAGTACTCTAGACCCGGAGTGACCCCGTACTAGTACTAGTATCTGCTCAGGTGGTCATGTCGCAGGAGACAAGCCATAAGCTCATATATGTTAAGTATCCTCTTATGAAAATTACAAACGTGGACTTGAAGTATAAATATAGTATTCGTCATATCAAAAAGGCTATCCATTTAGTAGTCATTTGTTCGGGGCTAGCCAGTCTATTTATCAAGTTCATAAAAGAGCCATATAGACATTCCATTCAACGCCAATGAACCAAGTTGCCGGAACACACATTAGAGAATCCAATAACACACACATTAACAAGTACAAAAGATGATGCAAATATCCCGTATACCCAATGCTGATTTCAAACCCGCAGCCTACGAGCCAGACCCCTCCGGGCTGACCGGTCACAGTATAATCCCGTAAGAACCTTCAAACGAGAGGTGAATTTCCATCTCAGGGTCCTCAAGATCTTAGGTTATTCCGCGTTCAACCACATCGTCGTTGACTAGCGTATCTCCGTCAAGGTCCAGGAAAGTGACGTGAGTAGCAGCGGCCCATGTCGAACTCGAATCAAGGCTATCCTCGAGATCCCGGGAAAGTGTTCGTTCCGAAACTGACTCAGGATCGCACTTGGCCCAGTTGAAGAAGCAGCATTCGCAATGCTTCGATTCGGATCCCCTCTCTGGCTCGGTCTCCTCCGAATCCTCGTTCTCTTCAAGTTCATCCGGGTAGAAGGGTATGGATAGAAGTTTTCTTTCGCCTGGTTTTCAAAGAATTTTGTTAGTAGTTCTCCAGGAGGGAGCCCCGGGGGCATTACTAGTAGCCAACATACCCATGTATAAACGTAATGGAAGAATGCAAATTCAATCAAAGCACAGCCGATCAGAATCTCCATGTGTCTGTCATGGTCATCCATTGATGATCGGTAAATATATTCCAGGAATCGGATTAGCCACTGGCAGGTGTTGCATGCAGCAAGAAGAGTAATACAAGCTCTGCTGGCATCTGTCATGTTGGCAGAGGATTCTTTGAACTTTAAAGTGATTTCAAGTTCACGATATATTGATATTTGGGGGAGGATACTTGAGAAAGGGAAGATGATAGTGCTTTCGGGGAGGCTTGGGGTCTTCTGTTTATCGAAACCTTTCAGAAGGAGCGTTCAAGTTCCGCTACCTAATTAAGCAGTCATGTCGACTTGAACCTTTGGGAAGGAGCGTTCCACTACCTAATCGAGATAAACTTCCTTTCTCGGCTTATAGGAGAATCTGAATTGGTTTAGTACTAATATCAATTAAAATTCTATTCGGTTCCAGCTAAGGCTCAATTCCTAGATAGATGTGACGCCATGACTAGAAGCACCATATGATGGCTTAAGGTTATTCGCTTCATTACCTGCTCTACTTAATTTTATATTTGAATCATATTCTAGTAAAATATAAGCATATGTTCTCAGAGTCCATTTGGAGCCTCTGACATGGTAGGATGAAGTGGACCGGTTGCGGAGCCGATGTCTTGATTTTAGTAGTATGATTAAATGCGCTCCAAGAGTTCTATTCTCATATAAATCAGAGTATCCCCGTCTGGATTTGATTTTTCAAGCAGTATCGGAACTCGCTAGAGCGGCTTAAGCCCTGAAGGAACATTCTTCAGGAGTTCAGGTTCAAAGTTTCTTATGGTCTTGCTGTTCAAGTTCAGATAGGGCATCCATTCTTCTGAGATATATAGCTTCTTTGGCGGTATTGATTTGAAAGACGCATGCAGCAAAGATTGGACAAAACAAAAATATAATGCCCGCTGTAAGCCCAAGAGTGACTGCAACTGACACCGTGATTTCTGATGCTAAGGTATGCATGGCTTGCACGAAGCTTGAACAGGGTGATGTTGGCATTGTTTAAATGTGTTTGAATGTGAATAGCGACTTTGAACGCTAGTAGTAGGAGAGGAAAATTTTAGAATATTGGGAGTTCTGAAAGAGAAAAGCATCCTAGGATACATCTGTATCTACTCCGTACTAAACGAGCGATACCGATATAGTCCCGAAAACAGACTAGTCCTGATTGAGAATAGTGGGACTTGTCGATGACGGAGGTCACATGATGGCGACCATCCGCAAAGGGCAGAGTGCAACACGTGACACACTTTAGCGAGGCGCACCACAATTGGGCCCGCTGCTAGGAGTCAACCGCGATCCCGAATTTCGACAATCACCCCAACGCCAACCGATACCCCGTCAAGATGCGTACCTACGACGACGCTTTCTCCGGCCAGAAGATCTACCCCGGCAAGGTGCGTTCCAACACCCCCTGTCGAATTTCCGACCTTGGTGCAAATGGGAGAACGAATCTGTGCGGAATTCAACGACAATTATACAAATCCTTCGCGGCCAACCACGAATATCCTACACGCCAATCTCACCTCTCGGAATGATTTCGCACAATCGCTTTCTCCCCGCTGCGCACAAGGAACTGAAATATCGCAAGCTCGACTTTTGCTAATATGGCCTTTTTGGTGTTATAGGGTAAGATCTTCGTCCGTGGTGACTCCAAGATCTTCCGTTTCCAGAACGGCAAGTCCGAGTCTCTCTTCCTCCAGCGCAAGAACCCCCGCCGCATCGCCTGGACTGTCCTGTACCGTCGCCAACACAAGAAGGGTATCTCTGAGGTCGGTCATCACCAAATAACCCCCGCCCGGATATTTAAGTCGATGTGAATGGATCGTGTGGACAAGTGAAGTGGAAAGACAAGAATACGATCATGAACATGAATGTGAAGAAGCCACAACAGCGACGAGGTTATGCATCAAGTCCATCTCATCCCCGAATGACGGTCGCCAATCACCAATCGATACTCGTGAGCACCCGTCATATTCTCGACATTCGCAACTACGAGATCAAGAGGAGGAACTCCACACGATACATTCACATCTCAACGAAATATCCGAGCGAAACTGAAGTTACACCACAATTGCTGACCAGGAATCTTTTCGATCTATAGGAGGTTGCCAAGAAGCGTACCCGCCGTGTTGTGAAGGCTCAGCGTGCCATCGTCGGTGCTTCCCTTGATGTGATCAAGGAGCGCCGCTCTCAGCGCCCTGAGGCCCGTGAGGCCGCCCGCAAGCAGGCCATCAAGGATGCCAAGGAGAAGAAGACCGCCGCCGCTGCCACCAAGAAGGCTGACAAGGCCAAGACCGCTGCCTCCGCCGCCAAGGGTGGTGCTGGTCGCATCCAGAGCAAGCAGGGCTCCAAGGGCTCTGCCCCCAAGGTCGCTGCCAAGTCTCGCTAAATCAGTTTCTTTATTTCTCTCAACCAATAAAATGAAATGAACAAATGATTTTCTAGCGGAAAAAACTTGCGGAATATCGGGTCGATATGATGAAGGAACTTGTGCGCACTGGGGCCGTGGTTGTGGACTTGGACTTCAAGTCCTCAGCTAGTCGGGGACTTGGCTTTAGGCCAATACCACCTTGTTTCTGAAACACTTTTTATGCAGTAAATTCAATGCAAAAATGGGAACAAAGGAACCTTTTAAAATAAACATTGCACTGGAGAGGGTCGATATCTGGTAATCTATGCTACGGCCTAGTACTACTAGTAGTATACTCCAACCTCGGATGCATCCTTGGAGTTTCCAAGTTATCTGGTAGTTCGAGTCTACGAGTACTAGTAGTGTGTCTGGCTTCTTGTGCTTGTACTGTTTCCATGCCGTACATAACCTGAGTCCATACCACCCCAGAAACTAGAATTCTATAAGTACTCCAGGCTGCTACTAATTAACTAGAACTTAGTACCTACCTAGGTAGGTCGTAAATTTTGGATAACCCTTGGTGCTCGAGCCTTTTGCCCGCTAAGACAGTAACTCCTTCGAGTGCTAAGTTTCCCCCTTGGAGGTGTAGTTCTACGGCTCCAGCCATAGAGCGTCCCCGAGAGTCAGAGATTGGAACTAGTACTAGTCACGCCTAGGCTGTCACCGTACCCTCTATCCTAATGTTTAGTGCTAGTACTAGTAGTAGTACAACTGGTAGTTTAATCTAATTCAACATTTGAAACATCCAGGATAATACCTAGTAGTATATGTTGCAATGCCATTGTCACAGAGCACATCTATACCCCCATATTCTAGCATCTAGCCCATCTCAAGATACAAAAAGCCACATCAATGATCTATGTAAGAACGAACCCAAAGCACCGATGGTCCAAAGCCAAGACGACGCCGAAGTATCCACACCCTGCACAGCGCAGCATTCAAGTTCATGAATGAAGGGCAAGGAAGCACGATTATCAAAGCCATCACGATCTTATCACATCCACACCGGCACAGAACTCAACCCCGCTCGTCGGCGATCGAGATTCGATTCGGATTGTATCAAACCAATACCTGGCGAAAGACCGCGCAGATCCTCAGGAGGCTGTTTTCGCATTCATCCAACATTCTCATCTTCCATTGTTCTTTTCATGTATATAACAGCGCAAGGCAGTGAAGTGCGGTTGTTGTGTATCCTGCAAGAAATGCTCTAGCCCAATTCGACCGTTGGACCTACTTAATAATCCAAATGAAAACGAAATGCCTGAAAACGCCAGCCGTGGAACAAAACGAAACGGGACTTGATCCCGAATGGAGAAACAAACAATCGGATTGGCTCAGTTTGACCCAATCTCAACTCAGTCCAGCTCAGCTCAGCTCAGCTCAGTTCAGTTCAGTAGTAATGAGCCATCTCCAGACCAGCACGCTTGAAACCGCACTTGATGTAAAAGCCCTCATTAACCTCGGAGCAATCAAGAATACTCTGCAAAAAAAAAAGTAATGTCAGCACCAGCCCATGAAAATTCATCAATCAACCTTCCCAACCGGAGGATGAAAACAAACCTTATAACATCCAACCTGAGCAGCAACATAATCCAACGCCTGAATAATCCGCAAACCCAATTTCTTCCCCTGCTGCCCCTTCTCAACAGCAATATCCTCAATATGCCCGACCAACCCCAGCTCATGGATAAACTTGCGCTCGACGATCAAACTGCCCGTTCCGACGACACGGTCGTCCCCGTCACAGACGACCAGCATGTAATACTCGTCGTTGCGGGAGGCGATCCAGTCGAATCGGGCATTCCATGCTTCCTCGCTGATGTCGCCGACGGTTGTCAGCACGCGCAGGACGTCCAGGTAGCCCCGGTGGAAGTCTGAGCGGCGGAGGGGTCGGATTGTATAGTCTGTTGGGAGGATTGCGATGATCTCGGGGGGAGATTAGGGAGGCTGCGAAGAGGGGGCCGTCTTCTGTGGCTGTGGTGGGGTTGATTGGGGTGATGGTTGAGGCCATGGTTTGTTTGGGGGGGGGAGGGTGGTTGTGGTGGTGGCGGGGGTTGACATTGTCTTTGGGTGTGTTGTATGTTTGGTTGAAATGGAGAGAGGGAAGAAGAGAGAAATTGCGGGATGGGAGGTTGGTTTGGTTTGGTTTGATTCGATGAGATTAGGGGAGGGGCGAATCTTGAGACGGTGGCGGTTTAGCGCAAGGGAGATCGACAGTGAAAGCGATGGGGTTTGGGGATGGTGAAGGGAGAAGAAATTGAATAGAAGCAAAGGAGAAAGTTGGAAATTAATGCCAAAGAAAAGAAGTTCAGCTGAAGCCAAGCCGATCCTCGGATTGTCAACAATGTTGGACCACGGTTCTGCCGAGACATCCAGGGGGCACTATTTAGTACTAGTCGCATCTTTTCATGGTTTATTAATAGTATCCTACTTGGAAATATCTGTCTTTTTTCAGGGCAGCATTCTCCTTGGTCTGTGCCACTGTTATGATAGATATTTATTTTTATTTATTTTAATTTTATTCACCCCACTACACCTAAAGAACATGTACAAACAGGAATACAATTCTTTCATTTCAGTATACAGACCCTATGGGTATTTGTCTATCGTGGGCACAGCCACAGCCATGGGCTGTCGCATTTATTTGTGCTCCTTAGGAGCCAGCATCAGCTCAGGGCGCACGTACTGGTCAAACTCCTCGGAGCTCAGAGCCTTCAGCTCCATAGCGGACTCCTTCAGGGTGAGTCCCTTCTTGTGGGCGTTCTTGGCCACCTTGGAAGCCATGTCGTAGCCAATCACGGGGTTCAGGCAGGTCACGAGCATCAGACTAGTGAAGTAGGGTTAGCTATCAGCACAGGGCAAGGGATAGGATAGATGGGCGTGGTTTGAGCTTGGGGGCAAATGTTGCGGAAATACATACCTCTCGTGGAGAAGGGCGTTAATGCGGGTCTCGTTGGCCTCCAGACCGTCAACCAGGTGGGTACGGAAGCTGTTCATGCCGTCGGAGAGAATTCGCACGCTGTGGAGCAGGTTGCTGATCATGACGGGCTTGAAGACGTTCAACTCGAACTGTCCGTTCATGCCACCGATGGTCGCGGCGACGTGGTTACCCATGACCTGGGCGCAGACCATGGTGAGGGACTCGCACTGGGTGGGGTTGACCTTGCCGGGCATGATGGAGCTACCGGGCTCGTTCTCCGGCAGGCTCAGCTCGCCCAGACCGCAACGGGGACCGGAGCCCAGATAGCGGACATCCTGAGCGATCTTGAACAGAGAGCCGGCGAGGGTGTTCAGGGAGCCAGAGGCCTCGACGATGGAGTCGTGGGCGGCCAGAACCTCGAACTTGTTGGGGGCGGTCTTGAACTCGGTGCCGGCCAGCTTGCTGATCTCGGCAGCGACGGCCTCGTCGAAGCCCTTGAAGGTGTTCAGGCCGGTACCGACGGCGGTACCACCCTGAGCGAGGAAACGCAGGTGGGGGAGGCTGGCCTGGACACGCTCAATGTTGCGGTCCAGCTGGGCGACGTAGCCGGAGAACTCCTGGCCCAGGGTGAGGGGGGTAGCATCCTGCAAGTGGGTGCGGCCAATCTTGATGATGTGGTCGAACTTCTCGACCTTCTCTTGCAGGGCATCGCGCAGCTTCTGCAGGGAAGGCAGCAGGGTGCTCTCGAGCTCGACAACAGCGGCGATGTGCATGACGGTGGGGAAGGAGTCGTTGGAGGAGGCGGACATGTTGACGTGGTCGTTGGGGTGGACGGGCTTCTTGGAGCCCTTGACGCCGCCCAGGATCTCAATGGCACGGTTGGAGATGACCTCGTTGGAGTTCATGTTGGACTGGGTGCCGGAGCCGGTCTGCCAGACGACCAGAGGGAAGTGGTCGAGCAGCTTGCCCTCAGCGACCTCGGCGGCAGCCTGCTGGATAGCAGCACCGACCTTGGGGTCTGTAGAAGAAGGTGATGTCAATATTCCATGTCTTAGATAAACCTCGCATTTGTATATCTGTCGAGGATCACTCACCGAGGCCGTACTTCATGTTGACAGTAGCGGCAGCACCCTTCAGGATACCGAAAGCCTTAACGATGGGCGCGGGCATGCGGTCCTGGGGCTGGTTGATGTCGAAGTTTCCCAGGGAGCTGTTTCCATAACATCAGTTATCCTGTTATCCATGCCAATATGTTTATCGTTGACTTGGTTGCTCGTCTTACCGCTGGGTCTGGGCACCCCAGTACTTGTCCGCAGGGACCTGTAAAGCATCTCAGTCAGCTTCTGTTGTCAAGATAGAGTACGGTCATGAGTCAACTCACCTGGATCTCGCCAAAGGCATCGCTCTCAACACGGATATCGGAAGACTAGATTCAGTAAATCAGCTGGATATTCCCCAATGTACTGGGATGCGCATCCTACCATGTTGACGGTTGTGCTGAAGGCTCGGTTGTTCAAGGACTGAAGGCGGGGAAGTGCGAGCTGACGGGTATTGGAGCTCAAAGCCCGACCAGACATGGGAAGACGAGCAGCAGCCGACAAGAAAGTGCGGGCTGCGGGGTTGGCAGCTCTGGCCGCATGTGTTAAGGTGGCCATAGAGCGCACCGCGGCTCGGGAGGTAGCAGGGTTCATTATGGCGTGTTTATAGGTGTGGAGGTGAGAGGAAGGAGAGGAGAAAGCCTGAGATGATGCGACAAGGCAATTCTGGGTTCCCAATGGCTCGCTGGGGTCGTCTGGGAGGGTCAAGAAGGCAAGAATAACAGGTCTCCTTTAAAAACGAGAAACAGAAAAGAGGAACTCGTCCGACTTGCGATGCCGAAACTTCCCGGTATCGGCATTACCCCAGTAATACGCGGTCCCTTCGTCATTGGGGGGTTTATTGTTAGTGATTTTGGTCACCCCGGTAACTATAGTGGTATGGTATGGTATTCACACTAGTGGTCCTCTTATACATTCATCCATCTCCATCTTCATTCTTCATTCTCCATCATGGATCGACATGGATCCTAGGAAAATCTGATAATTACGCTGTACCTACTGATCATTGGTTATCATGGATCTACTTCATCCACATCCTATAGTTCAATTGAGTTCCTATCCATGTTTCCATCATCTACCATCTACTACAGCCTGCCTCAACGCAGCAATAACCCTGCGATTATACAACTGACCACCCTCCATAATCCCATCCAACGAAGCAATCAAATGTGGAGCACCATTATATCGATACAACTCTACCGGATTCCCCGCTGTCTGCAATTTAGCAGCATAAGCCTCCCCTTCATCGCGCAACGGATCCAGTTCCGCAGTCGACACCAGTGCCGGCGCCAGATCCTCGAAATTAGCAGCGAGCATAGGCGAAATTTTCCAGTCCTAATAAAGTCAGCACCAAATAAAAACTGAAACCCATCACTGCCTACTGCAAACTCACATCCCGCGAAGCCATCGGCCTCGGTACCCCAAGAAACATCCGATGAAAATAAGCCATCCGAGCCGCAGGCAGAGCCGGTGCAAATTCCATTTCGCGGTACGACTCGTACGGGCAATGTTCGCGGTCAAAGTGACCCTCAGCCGTGAAAGTATTGTGCATGTCACACACGGGGACGGTCAAGATCTGTAGTTTCAGCGGAATGCCTGCGTCTCGGCAGAGATGGGCGATTACGGCAGCGAGGTGGCCTCCTGCTGATGCGCCGCCGACGGCGAAACAGTCAGGGTCGAGATTGAACTCTTCTGTCTTTTGTTCGCGGATCTATATAGTATATACAGATATGGTATCAGTTCGATGCTGATAGGGGGAGTGGTTTAAGGTATCGAGGTAGTAAACTTGAAAACAAACCCAGGTAAACGCCGCCCAACAATCCTCGACCGGAATCGGAAACGGATTCTCAGGCGCGAGTCTATAATCCACGTCGAAGACAACACACTCCCCCTCAAGCCCATCAACGACCCTCTTGCAAAATTCGTGATCGAACTGCAGCCCACCAAATACCCACCCGCCTCCGTGGAAATTAAGATAAGCCGCTCTTTTCTTCGGCAGACCGGTTTCGGTTTGGAATTTAGGTGCCGGCTCGAAGATCCGAATCGTGATCTCTCCCCCATCTACGGGGCATCTCTGCTCTGTTATCGAGAAGATATCTGGTCCTAGGGCTCGGCCGTAGGAGATGGTGTATCGGGATGGATCTTTGCGGTAGTCTTGTATGGGTACTTCGTGCGTGTGGAGACGGCCGGCGTTGTATTTGTTGTAATACTCGACGTAGACTGGGTCGAAGCGGGAGACTAGTTCTGGGGGAATACTGTTGTGCAGTGGGAGTGTTTGGGTTGAGGGGACTAGGCTGTGGAGTTTGGGATCGCCATGGCCGGTTTGGGATGTCATGTTGAGTAGAGTTGATATTTGGAGCGGATAGAGGGGATATCTTCCGAGGTAATGTTTCCTGTATGTGAGGGGAATACGAGAATGCTGTCTGGTAGTTATGTTTATACCTGAGTATTAGTTAGGGCACTGATTGGTGGTGCCTTGGGGGTTGCACTGCGTGCGGGGTTGCTGTTGGAGATGATGGCATCCCATATTATCCGACGGGAGATAAGTCAGTGGTACGCATGAATTTGACTTCTGAGTACACAGTCGATTCAATTCTTATTCATTTGTTCATTTTGTTCATTCTCTATGGTTTCTATCATGATTCGTCAACCCATTTTGAGGATCAGTAACCCCGCATGATGCATGTGTGTAAGCAAGTGCCCAGAAAAATTGCCTAAAAAAAGGAATGCAGCTGCTTTTGTTGCTGCTGTTTTTGTACCGACTCTCGCCGCGTCTCAATTGCTTAGAGCACGTTGCGGACAACGTCGTCGATGGCCTGAGCCACGTAGGGGACGTTCTTCTGGCTCACTGTGTTCATTCTGTCAGTGTGTTCTTTTGAGCCTTGTGTTGTTGAAAAAACTTACAGCCACTGATGGATGCACGGCCAGACTTGAGTAGGTAGACGTGGTACTTGTCCTTGAGGGCGTAGACCTGCTTGGGGGTGAGACCAGTGTATGAGAACATGCCGTTCTATAAGAAAAGCATACATGGTTAGCCAAATGGTAAGATAGGTCAAATCAGTGCTTGTCTTACCTGCTCCACAATGTGCTCCCAAGTACCAGGAGTCTTGAGACGAACGAGTTCATTGTACAGTGCCTCACGCATAGACTTAATGCGAGAGCTCATCACCTGCAAATCGTTGTGCCAGTCGGCAGTCAACTCCTCGCTCGACATAATCTTCTTAACAATAGTGCAACCAATACGAGGGCCCATAGAGAACTCTCCTCGAATCAAGTGGCACAGGTTGTTCACAATAACATCACGGATCGAGGTAGCGCTGCGGTTAGTAATGTAGTGGAAAGCACCAGTACGCTGACCATACAGACCCATATTCTTCGAGAAACTCTGCGCAACACACATCTCCATATCGGGCTTGTTTTCAAAGAAGTAGCGCACCGCCCAGGCATCCTCCTCCAGCGAACCGGAGGCAAATCCCTGGTAAGCGGAATCAAAGAACGGGAAGAGCTTCTTGCGCTCACACAGATCTGCAATCGCAATCCACTGCTCCTTATTCGGGTCCAAGCCAGTGGGGTTATGCGCACAAGCGTGCAGCAAGACAGCATCACCTTCCTCCGCATCATTCTCCAGCGTAGCCATCATGCCATCAAAATCGAAGGACCGTGTCGCGGCGTGGTAGTAAGGGTATGTCTTGCGCGGCACGCCGGCCAATTCCCAAATGGTCATGTGGTTGGCCCAGGAGGGGTTCGACAGCCAGACATTGCGCGGCTTCATGTGGTGGGCGAGGAAAAGGGCGCCCAGGTGGTTGGCGCCGGTTCCTGCGACCGTTTGCACGGAAGCAATGCGTGCTTTCGCGGCTTCTTCACTGGGCTTCCCCTCAAAACCGAACATTATGTCCCGGGCGATCTTCAGGAAGGGCACGTCGCCCTCAATGGCGGTGTACTCGTGTCGCATCAGGTCGTTCTCTTCAGCGAGTTGCTTCTCGGCTTTCTCAACGGCGGGGAGGGGCCAGGGCTTGCCATCGTCGGTTCGGTAGACGCCTACGCCCAGGCTGACCTTCTGAGGGTGGGTGTCGGCGAAGAAGGCACCGTTCAAAGCGAAGATCTCATCCGGTGGGACGGGGGCCACATTGAGACGGGTAGGGACTTTCTCCATTGTGGATGTGTAATGCGTTTTTTAAAATGTTGAGGAGGTAATATGGGTGTGTAGGTGTAAAGAGTAGGTGCAATTGATGGAAACTAAGTAGGACTTAGAGTGACGGAGAGAGGCGAGTTCATGTAACAAAACTCGGTGCCGCTGAGTCAAGCCGATATCGCCGTTCGCTTTCTTTTTCCTCGGGAACTCCCGCTTAACACCGGTTGCTCAGCCATCTCTTTATGTTCAAGTTTTTGCCTCGTAACTTTGTTTTGAAAATGGTCACGCGATCAATATACCGCCAGTAGCCTGGGTTGGTCCTTGGTTCGAGAGTATCAAAGAACTTGAACTGGAAGTGAGGAGGTTCAAGTTTGGAGTTGGGGCAAAGGTTAAACCTTGTCAGCGGACGTCATCAGATGCGGGCTGACTGGCCAGCAAATCATATGTATACGAGTAAATACTTAATAGTAGTATTGTTTGGTTAAACTCCAGGACTGTCTATTGGTACTAGTACTAGTAGTAATGGAAACATTCTTAAATAGGTATATCTTGTTGAATATTTAGGAAACCTCCAAGGTTGACCCCGGATTTTCGGATCAGAGAGGAATAAATATACATCGGGTTCTAGGGTGGGTTTACGTAGCACAGGAGTCCCCTAGATCCCGAGGTCTACTAGTAAACTTCCAAGGTTGAAGATAAAAGTTCACATTCAAGCCCTGGATTCAAGTAAATTTGGAACTTGAACCTTTGAAACCAATAGGTAGTTCTAGTACGTCTGGCATGCCTACATGGGTACCTAGGTATTCATCTAAAAATTGAGTGATCTCAGTTGCATTAAGAGGAAAAGGCTATCTACTATACATCAAAACAAGGGCAAAGAATAACCAGGCAAGGGGTTTCGAATCATAAAAGTACCCCTCCTATAGCAGAGGCCCATAAAAGCCCAAACGCAGCGGCGCCCAAAGTCCATCAAAAAAAAACTGTACTGGATATAGTAGTCGTAGAGGTGTCTGGCTGGATAGTATATCTCTAAAGTGGCACTTCGTTGAAGTCACCTTCGCCCTCTTTGCCCTTGCCCTTGGGACTTGTCTTGTTCAACTCGTCATCTTCGTCCGGCATATTCTGCGGAAGAGTGCTCTCTCTTCTGACATCCTCCTCGCTCTCTGCATCCTTTGCTCCTAGATCTGCTTCAAGTTCTTTCTCCAGTGCAGCCTCACTCAGCTGCCCATTTGGCTGTACCGACGACTCATCCTCATCCTCCGACTCATCCTTCGGCGGCGGAGGCGGAGGCGGCAAATCGTCCTCATCCTCCGACCCAACCTCCTGCGCCAGAGCCTGCGGCGGCGCACTCGTCTCACCACCCGGGAAAGGCGTCAGAGGGGGCTCCTCGGCCGCAGACGAATCACGCTGGGGCGCAGCTTCAGGCGCGGGCGAGGGCGCAAGCGGAGAAGGTCGCTGCGTCGTGCTAGGCCGCTGCGCAAGTGTAGCATTCGACATGGTGGATGTAGTTCTTTGGTGAGAATTTCCATGGAGCGTACCGAGCTGGCGGAGTTTAGGGTCCGCGTTCAGGTAGTATCCGCGCACGCCGACAATTGTACCTTCTGATTCACAGGCATCTACCCACTCCGGCACCACGACTGGAATGTTCATCTCGACGGCCTTCTCCCAGAGCGGACCGCGGCCCTCCGTGCAGACGAAGTGAGTGGTGTCGATGCGGACGGAATCAATCAGCTTGCCGCCCACGCGGTCCAGCGCAAGGCGCAGCGCCTCCTTGCGGTTTTGATCGAGGACGCCTGGTGTCACGGTTATACCGGAGAGGTCGGTCATCTTGTGTGTCTGACATGTCAATTTCTCCGATTGGTAGGTGCCGGCGGTTGTGCGCAGGACGAGGTGGAAGGTGTATTCGGAGTGGATGGCTAGACCGCTGATCTTTGTGCTTTGCGTGTTGAGAGGACGGGGTATGGAGCCGGCCTTTGAGCCGTTGCGGTAGAGGGAGAGGGATTTCAGAGACGCGGTTGCGAGGTCGATTGGGTCCCATTCTAGGACGAGGGAGGTCTGGGTTGCATTTCGGAGGCGGAGGATTGGAGGCGATGGGGCCTTGACGCCGTAGGTGTTTAGGATGCGCTTCTGGAGGGACTGGAAGGCGGTTGCGTTGGCGGTTTCGGCGGCGTGGTTGCGCGCAACAGTGATGTCGACGATACTTCCGCTGGAGATGTCATTGGGGAGTAGGACGGAGGGGAATTCGATCTGGATGTATTGTTATTAGCATGCCATTGAGTCTTCTCTTTGTGCGATTAAGTCGCGGGCATCGATTTGGGAGGGTTGCCATGCGACCAGGGGCAGCGTGTGCTTACAAGGCGATTATCCTGGGTGAGGAGAACGGCAACACCCGCGTCTACCTTGCCGACTGTCAAGGAGACGAGCATCGTGAGATGTTTTATATGTGAGGAGGGGGAGTGGTTGAGAGGTGATGGTTGAAAGAGAGAGGCAAGTGGATTCGGGGTAGGTGTTGATTCCGCCAGATCGGCATTAGCGAGGCTTAGAGATGGGGCCAGTACATGTGGATGACGGAGTACAGAGGACATGTCAACAACCAACATCAGGTCAGCCCTGGTGTATTTGGGCTCTATAGGTATTGATTGGGTTATTATTGAATACATGGATTTTATAATAATAGTATATCCACATCGTCAAAAGCAGCCCTGGAGGGTTTGTTTTGATTCAGGAACAAGCTTCTTGTCCAAGAGTACCTAGGTATTTGATATGACGAGTTTTGGCGAAAATGAAAAGAGAAAATGATGGAGTATCCATTGGTGTATCTTTAATATTGTACAATATCCATCGGGTACCCTTAACAGTACCCAATAACCCAAACGCCATGCAAATGCTCCTAATGTCCAGACCAGAGGGTCCGCCGCTATAATACAAGGATGAAAATCCATGCAACGAGGAAGAAAGCTAAAGTTCAAGGCCCTCGAAATTTCTGCTCCTTAAGTTTCTGTTCCCGTAATTTCCTCTTGTTGAGGATGACTTGCAAAAGATAGTTCGCATCGTCCTGGATCACTCCGAATTTTTGATCCAAGAATCCTTTCCGAACAAAGACTTCCATAGACCCAAGTAAGGGATCTGGCCTTTCACTATCAGGGATAGAAGGGAGTGGATGCCCCAGTGGATCGAGGCCATGGTGTGCCAACGCTTGCTGGAAAGCAGAACGTGTTCTTCGTGCAGCCCAAGATCGAACCACTCGTTTGTAACTGCCCAGTTCGACGTTGATGTTGACTCGCCACCAAAGCTCATTCTTGCTTCGATTATTCCACATATGCGCTATCTTAGGACGAAGAGGATGGCCTGGAGCGGTCAGGTAGCGACTCGCAACCATTGGGATCGTGTGCACGGGGTTGAATCGGACCATGAAATTGTCGGAGGTTGCCGTAACTTTGGCCATTATCGAGTGAGCTTTGAGTTTCATGATGACGAGAGTTTATCGATTGCCGGGTACTTCACGCCAGAGTTCATTTCAGTTCAGCTAGGCTCGGTTCGGCTCAGTCCAGTCGAGTCGAGTCCAGTCGTTAGAGAGTCGATCTAGGTGCAGTGGAGGATGGGCTCATAGCGAGAGTCGGGAAGGAGGTGAGCGGTTGCCTCGGTTGGTCTGGGGCGTTTCAGTGTTTCAGGTAGCCCTTATGATTAAATGCCAATACCGAGTCAAAGCCAGCTTAAGACTCGAATTGAATTGCTCATCCTAGGATGTCTTAGTCTCGTCTATCTCGTCACAAGACATAAACATTTCTGCCGGGCGGTATGGCTGATTCCTTGGTGCCTGGTTACGTCAGCACCAGATTTGCACTTGCAAGGCACAGACACCCCCCACTTACTTACCTTCTTTCCTTTCTTTCTTCTCCTCGACCAGTCACTCCGGGGAAATCTACGAGTCTCCCCTCTTTTTCTTTTTTTAAAGAGAAAGCAAAAAGCACCGACTCAAGTCCAGTGCACTTCGTGCCCCGCCACTATGCCCAAGAACAAGGGAAAAGTAAGACCGCAAAATATTCAGCCCCTCCTTGTTGGAATGTGTCACCCCCCGCCACCGTCGCCATGGATGCCCGACCACATTATGTTGAAGGGCCGATAATCATGTCAAGTCGAGGGTCATGGTTTCATCTTCAAATAGGGAAACCCACCGCAACTTCTTCGATCAATGCTGACTTTATCTTTTTGAAAAAAATAGGGCGGTAAGAACCGTCGTCGTGGAAAGAACGAGAACGACAACGAGAAGCGTGAGCTCGTCTTCAAGGAGGAGGGCCAAGAGTACGCTCAGGTCGTCAAGATGCTGGGTAACGGTCGTCTAGAGGCTCTCTGCTTCGATGGCGAGAAGCGTCTTGCTCACATCCGTGGCAAGCTCCGCAAGAAGGTCTGGATCAACCAGGGTGATATTATCCTGCTCTCGCTCCGTGACTACCAGGACGAGAAGGGTGATGTGATCATGAAGTACACCTCCGACGAGGCCCGTAGTCTGAAGGCCTACGGCGAACTTCCCGAGCACGCCAAGATCAACGAGACCGACACCTACGCCAACGATGGTCTCGATGACAACGTCGAGTTCGACGAGGACCGCGAGAGCGAGAGCGAGAAGGAAATCGATGTCGACGACCTCTAAGGTCACCCTCCACCAACCCCCCAGAGCTCGACTGCTCTCTACCCTGCAAGAATGCCACCACAAGATACCCCTTTGTGGCATCCTTCACGTTCTGCCATATTACCTCCTACTGTGTATCGATATTGGCCTAGACGCTGTGGCTTCTCTTTGCTCCCGATCTCAGCTGAGACCTTTGTTTCTCTTTGAGGGGTGTAGGCTGCCTACCCCTATCAACGTGACCATTTGTTTCTTTGGAATCTGGACGAAGTAACAATCAGCTTTTTCCTTTTACTTGGAGGCTGAAAGGACAGTCACAGCAACGCCCGCTATTTCGGCCCGGCAATGAGGATGAGGGTCCCCCATTGACCCCTCAGGCGCTTTCCTACGACAAGATACCAGGGTATGAGAGCAATTGATGCCAAGATGGTTTCGAGATTTGGTTGCATGGATGGTTGTTTGTTCTTTTGAGCTTGATATCTCTTAAAAAGGATTCCCATATTTGTTTACTTCAAAAAAATTCTCGGAGTCATGCTTACAGAGAAAAAAAGTGGTTGCAAGGCACGCATGATGAACCTGCGGGCTTGTTTCCTTGCATTGCATTGCATGCTATGTGTCTTGCTCTGTTTAGCCTTGCTTTGCTTCCATTCTTCGAGTGATAGATTATGTTTAAAAGTCACGAGAATTGAAAATACTTGGTACCTACTGTCATGCTCACTGTAAATCCTCTTTACTAGTATGCATGGTAAATTGTCCATCGTTGGTTGATCTCTTGAAACACTCGTATTCTTGGCAACTCCCTAGCCACATTCTGTGCGTTGATACGGGAAGAACCGGGTTTTAGTGTTGAGTGAGATGCTTTATGTTTAAACCGGAGCCGATCATGTTGATTTCAGAATTCCCATTGGCTAGATGGACTACTTCCCTGCCAGGCTCTGACTCGGACTTTGCTCACTAGAAATTGCCCGCAGGATATTCGTACTAGTATTCATGTCAAATGCGAATAGTACTGGACATTAGATCGATGGCATATCAGCTTAATGCATGCGATGGAGTCATTGAGCTGATAATGCATCAAATCTTGAAAAAATTTCATCTTCAGGTCCTTTGATCTAGTGGTGAGGATGTCAGATTTTGAAGGTTAACCCTTCCCCGCTTAACGTGGTGATCGATTTTCTGAATGCCCCGGTTCGAACCCGGGAAGGACCTCAATCATTTCATTTTTGCTTTTATTTACGCAGTTCTTCTTTCGTATGGTTCTATTTTTGTTGATTTCACACATTCCACGAGTTTGGAATTGATTTCGAACACGCCGCGCCGTCCATAATTCAACTGAATCGTGATCCATGGTTCAACTTTCTTGTCCACATTTACTAGTATGCCCAGGTGGTTGGAGGCATATGAATATTTTTATATCCTATTGACCGACTGTAAGAGTCAATCTCATCGTTATTCCAGAAGCTAAATTCCAATTCTAAATACAACTTGAATGCAAATATCTTCAAGCATCCAGGCTTCCCTCCCCATTAGTCGACCCCTTAACACAGCCCGCATCCCCAAACATCGATTTCACAGCATCCTGCCACGTAGTCTCCTGCTGGAGGTAATTTTGCAGCGTATAAAACCGCCGACACTCCGCAGCCTCGTAGACGAATTGAAGCGGAGTCTCACCATCTTCGGGATCATACTCGTTGCGAAGATTGATATTTCCACTCCAGGAATATGAAGGCGTAAGGTTTGGACTCGTTTCGTTGAACCGTTTCCATTCTGACGTGGTCAAGATGGGTGACGAGGTCCCCGCGGCATTTTGGATGGCCTGGTTTGCTTGCTGGATGTAGCCATTTAGATAATTGATCTGCAGCGACTGGCCTCCCTTGACACCTCCGGCTCCTTGCATGGGACTTTCGTTAGGTCGACCGCCGAATGCGATGGTGCGAACGCCTTGGCGTTTCATCAATTTGAGGAAGAGGGCGCAAGTCGAGGCGCATTCGCCATTTGTAAGCTGTAGTTTTATTCTGGTTAGTTCCGTGGGGAGTTTTAAAACTTTGGGCGTGGAAGCAACTTACGATTGCGATGTTTTCCGCAGGGAAGAGGGCTTTCTTGGGGTCCAGAGCGATACTTCCGTATCCATTGATGGGAAAACTGGTAGACGAGAGAGCTGTGTAGTTGAAATTGGCCAGCAAGCTGGACGATGGGCTCCCGAGTGTATCGTGTGGACCATAGAGATCGTCCCAGGACTTGAAGTCGGTTTCTTGATCAGGCTGGACGTTCTTCTTGTACCCGAATGGGTTGCTCGCGTCTGCATTGGGGTCGGATGATTCGGCCTTGGTGAGGTATTTCGCTGCATCATGTGCTCTATAACGTGTCGCTGTGTAGGGTGTTTCTTCTGGGAAGAAGATCTTGAACAAATCAAGCCCGATTGAGATAGATCCGCCCGGGTTGCTGGTCAAATCGATCAAGATATTCTTCTTGCCGGCCTCTGTGGCGTTTTTCAAAAATTCCACGGCGACCTGGGAAACTTCATGCGGGCTGGAAGAGAATGTCGGAAGAAATATAACTCCCGTATCTTCTAACCCGGTAAGCTTAGAGTAATACCCGGCAATGGAATTTGCTGAGTTCTTCCAAGTTGTATCGGGAAGTCCTGGCACTTCGGATGAAGCTTGCTCAGTACTGGATGTACTAAAACCGGAGTTTAGTGTTCGAGGAATGCAATTGATGGTGTATAGCTGGGTGCCATTTTTATATGAGAAGAACGTCTCGCTGGGAGAGGCTTTCTTTTCTATGGTCTGTTTGGTCCCGTTGCCGTACTCGATAGTCAGCTCTGAACCTTCGCTCCATTCAGTAGAAGACGTCCAAAGGCCATTGACACCAATAGGTGAATTAGTGACGCTGCGAGCTGAAGCGGGGAATATGCGGTTATATCTGCATATATTAGCCAATGCAATCCATGGACCACAATGAATTGTTAAAGATTGAAAACATACTGCGCATCGCGGTCTTGAAGAGCTTGGCTAAATGCATATGTTTCGAGAAACTTCGCTGCATCTGTGCCATTGATAGAAACAAGGGGTGAGACATCCTTGGGATTTTCTCCTTTGACATTTGCGTCATCTGTGGGGTATAGTCAGTTGGGCATATCTTGGATCTATTGTAGTAAGCTTGTACTTACTCAAAGTATAAATTTCGGGGAGCGACAGTCCATCTGATGAAACTGACACAAGCGGCAGATCGATGACATAGTTGAAAATGCTCTGTGAACAAAGCTGAAAGACCAAGTGACTATCATGTGCGGATTTGATGAGATTGGAAATTTCGAGGTCCATCTCAAATTGGCTTGAGTAGCCATCGCCCTTGACCTTGTCTAGGATTGTATCGATCCCACCCAAAAGGTCGACCGATGGCATCTTGTATCCAGATGGGGGCGCTGTTCACTTTGTTTAGCCCAATTTGAAATATACATCGAATCGTGATTCTGCTCACATTTCAAAAAGTCGACAGTGGACTGGAACTCGAGGATCTTGCGCATGTTGGTCAGAAAGATTGTCGCTAGATCCGATTCAAATGGCATCGAATTTAGACATTGGTATGCCAAATCCTGCGGCACCCTTGTATCGACTGCGACCGTTAGCTAGTGTTTCCCCCTCTGATCAATAAATCACCAATGCTCTCTCTGAATATGACGTACCCTTTTTTTCATTGGCATCTGCTACGAGATTAGAGATCTGCGCACATGGATCGACATCGCGCACATTCCTGCTCGCTCCAACAACAACTCCGAGTGCGACCGGGGCCAATAAGGTTGTCTTCAAATGCATCACTAGAGAGATGGAGGCGTTGAAAACATGAAGTCGAGAGGTTCGATCTGCACCCTTTGGGGGCTTGGAGGATATCTCCACTTTCAGGGGCGTCGGTGGACCCTTGCGTGTCGTTCGTTGCTATTTTGAGGGATCTGCGTGGATCCCCCAGAGAGCGCCAAGACGAAAATATGAGCGTTGAGGATTGTAAAACGATCTGGATGTCTCGGCTAGTGGCGTTCTCTACGAGCTTCTGGTTAACATGAGTGGTGTGATCAAGGGGCTTTTCTATCAGAGTTTCTTTGTTGTTCATGTTGGTTGTTGGGGTGAGGAAGTAAACATTGAGTTCGGCCCGAAATCGCTCAGGCTACAATCCCATGTAAATGTAGAAAGACAGAACTGAAGATGTAGTTTAGCAGTAACATTATTCATTTGTAAAAACAAAAAGGAACATTTGATTTCTCAAGAATCAGCCAATACTACTAAAAGGAGAGAAGTGTGTTGTTCCCAACCCGAGAACAGCACCTGGGCACCAACTGGGCAGAATGTCAAATAAAAACAATAAAAGACCAACTTGAAAACACATGGCTCGAAAACAAAGCCTTACACCCAAAACCAACTCACAGATCTATCCGTGAGCGACAATTTTGGTGTCAACATTGTGAGGAAACTTGCAACCCTGAACCGTACAAGTCTTCTGCGGGCACCGATGCCCACTAACACAATTCTCATCATCACATCCCAGGCCCTTTGGACAAAGGCTCAAGCGGGCGATCCACATTAGATCAAGTACATCTTGACCCACAAGCTTCGGTTTATGTTTATGGGTACAGCCCTCTCCATATGAGCACCAACCCAATATGTGAAACTGGTTGCAAAATTTATGTTGCTTCAGATCCTCAATTTTCGACTTTGACGAAAAGCGCAAATAAGGATCAACTCGATGACCGCTGGCGTTCTTACAAACAATAAGCTTCGGATTATTGGATTTTCGGATATCTGTTGGCGAATTTGTTGTCGAGATGATCTCTTCGACAGGTGTCTTCGCTATGGAGGCGTAGTTTGGGGTCGGCGTACGTGGCGGCGTGATTGCCGGCGTCGTGGAAGTGCCACCAAAAGACACCCTTCTAGATAGTAGTTTCTTCGATCTGAATACCGTAGGAAAAGAAGCTGTCTTGAAATACGGTACCAAAGCCCTAAGTTCATGCGCAAACGGTGGGCCTTCTACCAGGGAAATCCGATTCGATTCACGATGAGAATCTAATATACGGGCATAACCGTTATCCGCAGAGCCACAAAAGACAATGTGCTGACAATGACTATTCATTATATCGCTCTTAAAGTGTGCTAGAAACAGGTTAGAGTTGTATATCTGGCATTGGGAATATGGAGGATGGATATGATGTGTGCATACCTTGAATCTTCACATCGACACACTCCTTTCCGCTGCCAGCATTCACAAAGTCACACAGAACATTCTCCATGTTAAACCCCCGGATAAATAAATCCAGAGTCTCGTTGGGACTGATGGTACCCGTATCGCGATAGATCTTTGTCAAGCCAGCCACGTTCGCGTACACTCGGATATAGTATTGGATATTCGGGCTGGAACCGGGGTTGACTTCTTGGACATGCCCTTGAACAGCTTCGATGAGCGCCTTCGCTGCTGAACGACCGCCATTTTGTTGCCCTTGAACAAAATCGTCCAGAAACTAGATAAGTTAGTTGAAATAAACTGATATCGGAAGTGGTAATCTCACGTTCATATGGTCACCATCGACTAAAACCGATGCAAAGCTTAATTTCGCCTATTATCACAAAAAGTCAGTAAGATAACTAGATCATGAAGCTAATAAGTATTGGGATCCTCAAAGTGTACCTTCTTTCTCTGTTCATCTTCCAGCTTACTCCGACGACTTTCAGCCTCCTCCTCATAAACCTCGGCCAATTTCTTCTGATGGCGGAACCCCCTTTTTTCATTTTCAAGATCGGCACAGAGTTCCTCAACATGAGAAATGAGGTCCTGCACTCGCATGATCGTTAGTTAATCCCGGGAGAGGCTGTTTTCGAATCATACTGCGATCAGTTTGTCCTTCTTATCTTCGGTGGCACACAGGTCCTCGTGCCTTCTCTTGAGCTCTGCCATATCCACCATTATCGCTTCTCAGAAAGGTCGATATTTGCATATACCTAGGTATTGGAAAAAAGGGAGAAGCAAGGATGAAATCATTTCCGACGAAGGAACCTCTTATTTTTATACCCCACCCGCGCCTTATTCCCAAGGCTAAATTCATACGGCCGCCCTGTACTTTGCTGCCACGTCGGGTAGGGACAGCGCAGGTGCATGAACTCTTGTATTACCAACTGTTGGTAATTTGTGTACTTGATGTTGGTTAGCGATGTTGATTGGTCTTGCACTGCAAGCAATGTCAACGTTGGACTAATAAGTGGTAGTTGCAGGGTTCCTATTAACGCCTCGTTGAACTGCGGCAGCACTTGTACAGGACAAAGCGATCTGTGGCTGTGAGCCTTGTTAGATTTTTCTCGAAAAGTCAAGCTATTTTAACAGACATTGCAAAAAGAGAAACAAGTAAGGATCTTGAATTATATGGACGATCAAGCTGGCTTGAAGGGTCATGGACTAAAACCACGACCTTCAAAGCTATTCCATTCAAAGTAATTTACTCTTGCTCTGATTCCCCAGATTGGATAGAGCGCATATCCGGAGCAGACAAAAAGGTGGCAGCCAATTAAAAGCTAAGCGCCGACAAGGCGAAATGAGTATTTGTTGGATGACGTGGCGGATTCAGCCTCATGAGCAAATCTGGGAAATCGGCCTTGTCGAAAGAAAAGTCAAGGACTAAGTCCCATTATTCATTTCGGTCATATGGAGTCCCGGAGGATGGTTTGTTTTTTGAGTGTCACTACATAAGTGTCACTACAATGGAGTATACTGCTCCCCTACTATACCTCGCATTTCTTGAAAAAATAGTGTGACCTCATGTAGTAACAAAACGCGCCTATCTCGCACGCAGGGTTTGGTAACCTGAAAATATAAGTTGGGCCTGAGGCATGCTGTCAGAGGATGCTACTGAGAGGAAGTTAGACGCTGTTTTCATTTCGTAGTGAGAAAGGAGGAAATTGGGTTCTATGTCTGATCTTATACTCCACAAAGGAGAGGAGAAGAGGGAAATCAACTTGAATAGGCCGAATTTAATTAAGAAAGACATGAGAAAGACAAAGCCCTGGGTATGTTAAATCTGCAAGGCTTCTGGGCGGAAGCAATCATCGCTATGAAATATACGCTTCAACAAGAGGAAAAGAAAAACAAAAGGACATCTCCTCCTCCCTCTGCATGTAACTAAATAGTCCTAGCCCGATGCCAATTCCTCCGACTCCCCGTCCCCGAAGACAAAGAAGACCCTTCCCCATTCCAATACTGCAAAGAAAGACTCTGCCACCCCGTAACAAGCCCCTTCTCCAGCCGCACATTAGGCCACAACTCGCGGAGGACCAACTCCACAGGTTTCGGAACAACACTCGACTCCTCATCATCACGAACCTGACTCTCCCACCACAATTCCCAGGCAATCCGGCCGATTTCCTGAATTTGCACCTCCACTTCACCGACGCGTGGCGGTCGTACGAGGAATGATCGACCCAGTTGGCTGAGGACCTGTTGTTCTAGTTTATCGAAGAATTCCATGCCAACGGGTGTAATTCGGAGATTCTTCAGACGCCGACTGGACTGATTTGACGAGATAAGGTGCCAGATCTTCGAGACGAGGATTTCGTCCACGGCTGCGTTGGAGAAAGTTTTTCTGAGCGTGTCTGGTTCTGTTGCGGGCTCGATGGGCCAGGGGGTTATTGGTCGTGAGCGCGGGTCGTAGTGCAAGTCCAGGACCAGGGTATGTAGTTGTGAGAAGCTGCCGAGCTCTTTATAAAGCCCGCATTCCTGGGGACTGCCTTCGCTGCGTTTAATGGGGAGGCAGAGTTCTTCTAGGATCGGGCAGCTTTGCGACATCTCGGTTATTTGGCCGGAGGTCCAGATGGGGTATTTGAAGCCTGTGTCGAGGACGTTGGATAGTCGGCGGATGTGGGTGCTTGATTGAATGAGGAGGCCTTTTAGAGAATTTCCGTGCTGGGATAGGATTTCGCGGAGTGAGGTGAAGCTTCGTAGGCCCTCGAGGCAGAGATGGCGGAGGGGGCGGAAGGCTTGTACTGCAGCGACCATTTGCTCGTCATCGGCGTGGATGTCTTCATGGTGGAGTTTCCATGGGTGCATGTTGATGTAAAGCCGTTCAAGTCCGTGGAGTTCCGAGGCGACCTTTTTGAGTATGGCTGGATTGCCGTATACGCCGATCTCGAGGGAGCGAAGGCGCGAGAGATCGACTAGCTGGGACATGCTTGATAAGACTTCTTCCCAAGGGCTCATGGGCGGATGGGCGTCGAAGGAAAGTGAATCGAGGAATGCTCTCGGCATGAAGTTTCCTGTGAGAGAAAGCTCTTGCCATTTCCTTTTAACTCGCAACATATCTTCTGTCGTCAGGTATCCCAGGTCCTGGAAAGAAAGATGTTTGAGATTTGGAGCTGTAAGGGCGAAGAGGAGGGTTTCCGTTAATTGGGCCCTCTTTGAACTGTTTGGTAGAGTTGGTGGTCTAGAGTGGTACATTGAAAAAGCATGGAGTTGCGATGAGCGGAGGACATTTAGATCGAACGGGTCGTTGAATTTGGATGGAGGTCCCGGATATGGGTCTCCATAAGATGGCAGATTTAAATTCAAAGATTGGTGGGTCCAGACATTTAATCGACACCTTGGGTGGTGCTGGTTGAGAACTGCGAACAATTCAGACGGGAAGATATTTTGGATGACATAGTTGAGTTCGGTCAGACGTTCCAACTGGGCGATCAATGAAACTAGCGGCTGCCAGTTTCTCTCTCTGTAGTAAACGGATTCTGTGGCCAAGAATGGGAGAACTTGATCATGACAGCGCTTCAACCGATGCTCTAGAAAGGTATCGACAGAGGCCGGGGACCTGAAGTCGATAGACTGGAGAGCTCGATTCTTCACATCGCGGATCTGGAGAGCTTTGGTTGTCTTCCGGGACGGATCTGGCAGACAGACAATATCAAGTCTGCGGGCATATTTTAGAAAGGGCTCGCCGTGTGTATGATTGCTCACTTCGGAAACCAGAGTTGGAAGTCTCCCATCGTTATGAAAGGCGATGCTCAAAGTCTCATAGACGAAGGGGGCCGCAGTGTAGTACCATGCGTGATTGATCCGGCTCACAGAGGAAAGATCTTTGTGCGAATCCGCTTTGACCTAGAACGAGATTAGTAGGGTCAGTACAAGTGTACATAAGAAAGAAGTCTCATCGAGCGAGTTGCATACAAAGCGGCATATTATATGCTTGATCTCTACCGGTAAAGAATCCATGTCGAGAGATTTGGGGGGAGTTGGGCAAGTAAAGTAAGGGAGTTGGGCGAGATGTAGATTATTAAGGTATTTTAAAGCAGATCTCACGGACAACCTTCCACAACAACCTTCCCAGGTGCATATTCCAAGGTTACTAGTAACCAGTTACTACTACTCTATGAATACACCTGCATGATCTATTTCTCGTGGCAAGGATTGTATGGAGACCCCATATCCTCGGGTATGCAACCGGGTTGGGGGAATATCACCCCACTACGCCCCCACCGGTATTTCCCGCTTGGAGCCTGAGCAAACCATCGTGTGCGACGCTTAACGAGTGGACCTAGCGTTACAACTGATGCCAGGTTTTGGAGGTCTGTTCCCGTGCAGCTCGCCCATTCAAGTTTCTGTCCTCCGTGCTCTCCGTCTCCTGACCCCCGCACGCTCGATGCTCAACTCCAACCCGGCGTACTTACGAGGCTGATGTATGTATGGACTGCCTTTAAACTTTAGAACACTCGTACTAGTATTATGAGGTGGTGAAAATATAGTACATTAATTAAATGAAAGTCCTTCTTTCGAAAAACTTTACTTTTGAAAGTCAACTTCAACTGACAGGCCACCGGGATACATAGAAAAGATGTCAAGACTCGGAGAAAGATTTACCTGACAGTTCGCAGGCACCCCTCATTTCGCGTATGCAGCGCAGTCATCTCGAAGTACATATTGCTTGGCAACACTATTGTCGCCAGGGACACTAACCACAATGGTTAAGGCAGACAGGGATGCCAAGGGTATCATCTCCGAATTCCACCGGACCGGCCTCAAATGAAATTAATCCAACATATTACATCCGGGCGGGCCTAGAGTAAGGTTTCCCTATAACTTCTCAATCGTTTTGACCCTTCAAGTGTGCCGTGTTGAGGGATTTATAGGAATGTGTGCCGAGTTTAACCCCCCCAATTCCGTCACCGTCTGCCGAGACTGCTATAAAAAACATGTCTCCGTCCATGATAGACAGACTAGGGGGGGGGGAAACGGGAGTTCGCTTGTCGGAGTTTTGATTGGGTTTGATCTGTTCACCCCGGATGCTAACCACTATACTAATCTTCAAAAACGCTCTTCTGGAAGAAGCCGACAATTTTCCGCGCAGCCTCCTTACCAACTAGCGGGTCCAATTGCTCAACTTCCATATTAGCAATCTCGGTGAGATTATCGGTCTCAAGGATTAGTCGTTCCAGAGCCTGTGGCGACACCCCCCGGGACAGCACGAAGCATATCTTGCGGGAGAAGATTAAAAATTCGGTGCTCAATCCCTGCTGTTCCTGTCGTGCCACTGCCCGAGCCGGACTCATCCATCGCCTCCAGGCCGGTGCCAAGCATCACTGCGCGATTTGGATCCGGCTCAGGGGCGTTCTTCTTGAGTTCGGTGAAGATCTCCGCGGTCTGGTACGGTGAAGAAGACCATATAATCTTGAGACGGGGGAATGCAAGTGTTAGGAGGACGAGGAGGTGTTGAAGGGATTTGGGGTTGGAGGGATTGGAAAGTGCACTCGTGCTCGAGCTAATCGCTGCCCCGGTGGACGAGAAGCCAGATTCAGTCATGAAAGAAGGGCCCGTGGAGAAAGCGTCAAAAGTGAAGGATTTGTTCTGGTCGAACTCGATGAGAAGTAAGGGGCTCTTGTAGTGTTGAAGCATGCTTTCAGCTTGGCTGTAGAGACGGCCGTTTCGCAGGGAAGATATTAAATCTTGAATAGATTTTCGCTCAACGCAGATATCTGGCGTGAGGACATAGTCACCAACAGTCAGTTGACCAGGTTTGATGACCATGTTGCTGCCGTGAAGAAGAGAAGGGAGAGCACTTCGGAACTCTCGCAAATCAACCACTACTAACGGAGGGGCCGCGGTTGCTGCCAATCTACCTCCTCCAGCAATACGAGTGTTGACGGTCCGGAGAAATTGCTCTTGGGGGTCTTCAGCACTCTTATCATGGGATAATGTCACGGCCATGTTCTATGGGGAATGAGGTTAGATGAAGATGTCGAAGATTCAGCAGGAGTAGAAGAACTTGACTTACGCCCTTCTCCTTGATCAATTTTGTGAAAGAGTCTTTCTCTCGCCGCACCGCGCTGAGATAACGCTGTTCCTCCACCGATCCACCGTAGTATATGAAATAGACTTTCACATTTCTTCCAACGTGAGAGCTGCGGTAGACCTCTACTCGTCTGATGAATGCCGGATCCGGCTCATACATGATGATGTATCGCGGTCGCACCTCTTCAAGTATTTGACTGTCCATCTCTCCATCATAGGGATGAATCATGATGAGATCGTCCATGTCGTAAAGTTCGTAATAGTCCTCTATATCCATCATATCATCAATAATGATCTCTTCTTTCTGCTCCTCCTCAATTTCGGTAGGTTGGATCTCATCAAGCAAGCCTGCAACTTGATCGGGCAATTCAACATTCGTTTGGACACTGGCATTCGGCACGCGTCCGGCGGCCGAGTTGACAGCTCCACCACCACGAACTCGGCGACGTTTATTTGGAGGCGGCCTTCCTTGTTGACCCTGTGCCGACCCTGGCTTTCCAGTTTCATTCCCCACGACAGATAGAGATAGGTTCTTATTAATATTGGAGAGTGATCGTTTCCAGTTGAGGTAGTCACGCAGGTAACGACGCATCATAATGCTTGCAGATGAATTATCTTCGGTAGATTCATCTTCGTCAGGTGCGGCTTTCGCGTTCCCAACTTTCGTATGCATAGTGTTGATGTATTCGCGAAGCTGGCGGCATATTCGTCGATCGCTGCACATGATCAGAATAGTGCTGTTCGATCCATCATGGCTTGATGGGTGAAGGTAGGCATCGTGCTCAATCTCGCCCAGGACGTCGGCGAGGACATCCCATTTTGGAAGAGGTTCAAGCACAGGCTGCAGCTCGGAGGAAAAGCCCGTAGATCCATACGGGCGATGCAAGTCTTTGCTTATTTTCCCTTCGTATGCCCTTGCCTTTGCTGTTTGGAACAGTACGTGTGCAGCGTCAAGAAAAAGCCAAGGAGAGTCGTTGTGTCTGTTTGATCCAGGGGCTGGCGAATTAGCCGTAACGATCGTGTCGAGATATTTCACGAAAGACACGGAATCATAGGTAAGCAGCGCATGGAGAATGCCCCGGAGATCGCGGAGAGCATTGGCTATTTGCCTCGTTCGGAAGCTGACGCGGTGCCAGATCGGCTCGAGCTGTCGCCGAATCATAACATCGAAATTGCGATGCAAAGCACTGTCCAGCGTCCACTCCTCCATATCCAAGCCTGTATTTGATTTTCGTAGTTCTGCAATGCTGATATCGACGCATTCAAGGACGGCGTTTTGAATCTCGCGCATCTTTGTACTCATCGGAACTTCGAGTTCAATCACCTCGGCCTTCCGATTGCCCTCTAGAGCTTCGGCCACGGAGACATGGAATCGGGGCCATAGAGATGCCTTTCGCAGAAACAAATTTCGTAGCATATTGGCCAACGGGGCAAAGCCGGTGGTAAACGGTTCGGGTGAATCGGAGAATGCTTTTAAAAATCCAGTTTTGTTCTTTTGTCGGTAGACACGAGCGACGAATGCTTCTAGGGAGGTTGCAACGACTCTAAACCTATGTCAGCGAGATGTCACCCGAGAACTCGCCAAAGAGATACTCCATACTTCTCGGCATGCAGAATAATCATGCCCGTAATCTTGTCCGGATCAACCACATCTAGGGACTTGGTTAGTTGATTGTTTGCAAGGGAGTGGGGGTGTATGATGTACTCAAAAGCAAATCCGAGATCAATATCCTCGATGTCACACTCAGAATGCCACCCTGGGCGTAGATACGCTCTCTAATGTGAGGTTAGTTCGACCCCGCATCAATATAGAGCATTGAACTGGACGCACCGCATAGCCACCGTTGCCCTATCCGTGTTGATCTTTCTCAATCCCCTAGCTAAAGGAGATTTGCTGATCGCAGCCTGTTCCGCCAATGCTATCCAACCAAACTATAAGCATTCTGTCGATCTTGGTAGGATCGCGCAAGACCCGTGGGGATAGGCGTACCCTCTCCGAGCCAGTCATTCTCCCGATCGTCCGCTCCTACCAACAGAACTAGGTTGTTTCCCGCCGCATCGTAGAAGTGTAGAAGGTTCGCGATCAGATGGAGTAGGCCGAGGCCGCGGGCTAGGATGACTAGCTCATCCTCCGTTCGTAGTTCGGTAAAGATGTCCTGCTGGTATTGCTGCGCGAGAGTTTAGCTATCGCGCGCGGAGCGTCATTTCGACGAGGGAGTAGTGTATATTTACCAATGGTAGGGACAGCTTCACCGGGACATTTGCGCGTTCTTGAGGCATGAGGAGCCCTTCAACAGCACCTTGACCTTCAGCCTTGACGCGTTTAAGTTCAAGGTTGGCAAACACAAGAAAGTCGAGGTCGAAGTCGAGATCGATGGGCTGGTCAGCACTGCGCGTGGTCACGTGCCTATGATGTAATACATGGAGTATAGCATATATACCTAGGTTTATAGAGAAAATATCTTTTAAATGGAAACGAAATGGTACGTTGGAGTAATACACAATATGATTTAATGAGGTCACACAGAGCGACTAGCTAGCTGGCTTATTCAGCTCCTTCATGCGCGCTTCGGTTTCCTCCCTCGACGCCTTGGGTGGCAGATCTGCAAGTACAAATCAGTATGGAAGGTGTCTCTCGAAGGAAATCGAAGAAATTCACTACTATGTTCTAGGTAGAACTTGAAGTAATTGAGTTTTACTTACTATCAGAAACCACGGGACCCTTTGATATGAAATCCTGGGCCGATGCCTTTTGCTGTTCGCCCGTTTTGCCGGAGTCTTCTTTAGGATCCTTCTGCGGAGCCGATGGAAATTCCGAGGACTCTGGGATGACAGGCATTGTAGAAATGTGTTTGGATTTCAATAAATGGGGATATTATTTCAAATTTGTAGTGACTGGATCTCTGGGAAAGTGGGTAAGAGATTAATCTGATGGTGATGTTGCGCAGAAAGTTCAAGTTTATATAGATCCTGGCGTGATGACGTCGGCGGTCGGTATATCAAGAGGCGATTCGGACATAAGCAGATCCCAGAAAAGCAGGATTAAATTGGATATTGCTTACCTAGATAGGTAGTTAGGTAATATAGAAATCGAATTAACCAACTACTAGATCTGAGTAGTTATAGTCTCAATATAGGGAGGGACTCGGAGGTAGTAGTAGTCTTGGCTAGGCAGACAAGTACTAGTAGTACACCATACTAGTAGCCCCATAATTGGTAGCAGCAGTATCTACGTAGAATACTAGATTAATCCAATTGTAACTAATATAGTAGTATACTAGGTATAATTTCAAATTTTGTATCAAAAGTAATAGTAAAGAGTATACCATAAGGCTGAGTGCAGTACATCCAAATACCACGTGCTCCATAGTAACCTGACGCGGCTGCCAAGTACTGCGCCGTACCTCCAGTCTTTCTTCCCCCCACCAACTGACCACTTCATCTTCTCACCTTCTCACCTTCACCTCTCTCTTCCTCTCCTCCAAGGCAACCGCCGGTCGGCTCCTTTCTCACCCACATCTCCCCCAACCTGGTTGCACCTCAGGCTCCAGTGCCCTCCATTATCCGCCCTTCTCCTATCGTTGTTGGGGTCCACTCTTTGCACCGCCCGTTTGGTCTGCCATGCGCCTTCGACCACCCTAACTCCCCACCCTTAACCTCACCCTCTCTCACCAGCCAGTCCCCGCATACGTTAATTCGTCATGCCCTCCATTCTCAGTGATGCCGACAAGGAAACTGTCAAGCGAAATGTTCCCAAACCCGCCAACAAGATCTTTGCCGTAGCTGTCGCACGACTCTACGTTGCCTATCCAGACCCCGGTCGTTGGACCTACACCGGCATACAAGGCGCCGCCGTCATTTGCAATGATCTCGTCGGCCGAACATGCTGGCTGAAGATTGTCGATGTTTCCGTATGAGATCCCCTTTCCCGGAGATCAATGTGCTCAAATGCTGACCAACTACCTGTTCGCTATAGCCCGCCGGAAGAGGCGTGATTTGGGACCAAGAACTCTACGACAACTTCGCATATAACCAGGATCGAACCTTTTTCCATACCTTCGAACTCGAAGACTGCGCCGCCGGTCTCTCCTTTGCCGATGAGAAGGAAGCGAAAACTTTCATCAAGAAGGTACAGGAACGGGAGAAGACTGTCAGCAAAGAGACCAAGCAGACTCCCTTTGCCTCCTCTCGGGGACAGGGCCCTGCACCGGTTTCCAATGGAAAGCGGTCCCTCTTCGGAAGCTTGTTGCACCGTGGTGGTCACGGCTCCAGCGCTCCGCAAACGCAGTCTATCATACCCCAAGCTGCACCTCCATCCTTGCAACCTCCGTCACTGCCTGCCTCCCTTCCTCCCAGCGCACCTGCGCCAGCCGCCCACGCAGGCTTGCCGTTTGATCCCAGAGACCCGGAGTGGAAGCCATTGATGGATGAATTGCATAGTATGGGTATAACGGAGGACCAAATCGCAGAGAACTCCGATTTCATTATGGGCTATATACAGCAGAAGCAAGGCGCAAGCGAACCTGCTCCTCCTGCGGACAATCAACCGAAACCCCGCGCTCCTCCTCCACCGCCCCCCGGTGTACCCCAAAGTGAATACAATTAGCCCCCAGGGCACTGGCACAAGTACGGGCAGCCGACGCGGTCCACCACCACCACCCCCGTCTCGCAAAGCTCGTACAGATCCGAATGAAGAAGCTCCGTCCCCACCACGCGAGCCTTCGCCGCCGCCGCCGCCAGCGCAACCAGTTCGAAGATTCAATGCACCACCTCCGTTTGCTGATGCAGGAAAATACGCCGAGCCCGCGGGCCCTGTGCCGCCGAGGCGGCCTCGAGCAACGTCAAGCGTAACCCCAGGCGCAACCCCCGGCCCTCCACCACCCCCGCGGCCACCAAAGGAGGCCATGGATGGTAGTCAGCCTCGATTTGGGGTACCTCCGCCATTCGCGGGAGATCGCAAGGTTTCCGCTCCGCCCGCGCCTCCGAGCCGCAGCCCAGTTCCTCCCGGTCCTCCGCCTCCACCTCCTCGTACTGTGAGCCCAGCAGCACCACCCCAGCTACCTCCTAAAGTTCCCAATGGATCTACTCCTTCCGGTCCTCCACCACCTCCACCCGCCCGAGGACCGATATCACCCCCTCCGCCCGCTCCTCGACCTGTGCCATCAACACCTGCCGCACCTCCACCACCTCCGCCAAGAGCTCCTATATCACCAACGACGGATCACGGTCCACCAGGAGGACTTCCACCCCCACCCCCTGCTCGTGCAGTCCCTCAATTGCCCCCGCTCCCTCCACCTCCAGCTTCCGCGCCTGGCGGACCTCCTCCGCCGCCGCCACCACCACCTGGAGGAAGCTCTGGTGCTCCTGGATTGCCTCCTCCACCACCACCGCCTGGGCGCTCTGGTCCTTCAGTTCCACCTCCACCTCCACCCCCTGGCGGTGCCGGTGGACCGCCACCACCGCCACCCCCAGGAGGGTCAGCTGGAGGGCCTCCTCCGCCCCCTGCACCTCCTGGAGGTTCCGCCCCGCCGTTGCCCAAGAGTGCAGGTGGACGAGACGATCTCCTGGCCGCTATTCGAGCGTCAGGTGGACAAGGCGGAGGCGGCCTCAAGAAAGTCAAGGAATCAGATAAGAAGGATCGAAGCGCCGCCGCCGTTCCCGGAAGCGCGGCCGAATCATCTGCTGCAGCATCTGGCGGTGCAGGTGCTCAACAAGGTGGCCTGGCTGGCGCCTTGCAGGATGCACTGAGCAAGAGAAAGCAGCGGGTTAGTGGAAGTGGTAAGTTGCCTCTAAGAAATTGACGCACCAAAAAAACTCGATATGCTGACTACATTTCACAGATGACGAAAAGGACGATGACGACGATTGGTGATCTCTTGATACTTTGCATTTTCTATTCACTATTTTTCCAGCCTCTTTTTCTTCTCTTTTTGTTCATGATACCTACCGGTTCATTGCGGGCATGATTTTGCGGACGGGACATTGTGCATCTTTCTTCTTCTCGCCCTCTATGTTGCAGCGTTGTGTCCAAAAGTCTGGCTTCGAGTGAGTGCTTATGGGATGGGAATTGTGTACATTGTATTTATTCTCGTAGATTTGGTGCAAGTGGCTAGGTTAGGCTCGGTCTGACATACACTGAACGTGATTTGCTTGAGATGTTTTTGTTTTCTGTCCAGTTCTCTATGGTTACTACTCGTAATCGTACGGAGTACTCCAGGGCCTGTAGTAGAACTTGAATATCTGCAGGAGATCGCACCAATCGGAGATGAAATAAAACCCAGTTGTAAGCTGAAGCATGCACTGTTTAATTTAATGGGTCTTTGTGGCTCAAGCTCATATAAATTAATTCATTTGCCACCAATCGCTAACTCGGTGGCCCCCATGTGTTGAGGCTAGAGCGACTCTAGAGCGATTTCAGACGCGCTAACACTTCGAAGCCTCAACGCTAACTGCCACCCGGCTTGCTCGGATACGCCAGAGAATGTTATCGCTTAAATGATATCCAATGGCTCCAAGATGTATATGCACGTGGAAATTATCCGACGCGATGTTTGCATGCCCCAGGTCATTTGGTAGGCTGGCTCAGGAACCCGCTACAGAGATGCGCAATCGAGTGTGACAAGATAAAAGGCAATGCCCTCGCTAATTCTACTAGGCAGGTAAGCATACAGCTTTAATTAATTCCATTATGAAGTCCGTTGTTTCGACGTTGCTGGCCCTTTCGGTCGCCGTTAATGGCCACCCGACGGTCGATACTACCTATGCGTATAAGGGCCCCGAGGTCCCTGTTGGTGATTGGGTTGATCCCACAATCAATGGCAATGGAAAGGGATTCTCTCGTCTGGTGGAACCACCAGCCGTGAAGCCTGCCTCGTCTCATCCGACCAACAATGTCAACGTCATTTCGTTGTCGTATATTCCCGATGGCATTCATATCCACTACCAGACGCCATTTGGACTAGGCAAGGCACCCGCTGTTAAATGGGGAAAGAATCCTCACAAGCTGGATCGTGTTGCGAAGGGATATAGTCACACGTGAGTGGATCAACATTGACCGGCAATTGTGGATAAATTGAGCTTCGTTGATATATCAAAGCTAACTTCATTTCTCCAGCTATGGCCGCACCCCTTCCTGCTCGCAGATCAAAGCTATCACCCAGTGCAGCGAATTCTTCCACGAAGTTTCTCTGGATGACCTCGAGTCGGGAAAGACCTACTACTATCAAATCCCCGGTTCCAATGGCACAACCACCTCCGAGGTTCTGAGCTTCACAACAGCTCGCAAAGCCGGTGACCCCACCGAGTTTTCTGTCGCCGTCTTGAACGATATGGGGTATACCAACGCCCAAGGTACGCACAAATACCTGACCCAAGCCGCCAACGAGGGTACTGCATTCGCATGGCACGGTGGTGATATCAGTTATGCCGATGACTGGTACTCGGGCATATTGCCCTGCGAGGATAGTTGGCCCGTCTGCTACAACGGTACAAGCACCACTCTTCCAGGAGGCGTCGTGACGGACGAGTACAAGAAGGCCCTGCCAAAGGGCGAGGTTCCCAATCAAGGCGGACCCCAGGGCGGCGACATGAGCGTCCTCTACGAGTCCAACTGGGATCTCTGGCAACAATGGCTGGGAAGCGTCACCACGAAGATCCCCTACATGGTACTCCCCGGTAACCACGAAGCCGCATGCGCCGAGTTCGACGGGCCCGGCAACGTCCTGACAGCCTACTTGAACGAGGACAAGTCGAATTCCACCGCGGCCAAGGAGGCTCTCACATACTACAGCTGCCCGCCCTCGCAGCGCAACTTCACGGCCTACCAGCACCGTTTCCGCATGCCGGGCGCTGAGACGGGCGGCGTCGGCAATTTCTGGTACTCGTTTGACTACGGGCTTGCTCATTTTGTTTCCATGGACGGCGAGACGGACTATGCTAACAGTCCCGAGTGGTCTTTTGCGGAGGAGCTTTCCGGAAACGAGACGCACCCCAAGGAGTCGGAGACCTATCTGACTGATAGCGGGCCCTTTGGCCGCGTTGGAAATGTGAAGGATACCAAGTCCTACGAGCAATACCAGTGGTTGAAGAAGGACTTGGCTAGCGTTGACCGGAAGAAGACACCCTGGGTGATTGTGATGAGCCATCGTCCCATGTATAGCTCCGCTTACTCTTCCTACCAGAAGAATATCCGCGCAGCATTTGAGGGCCTGATGCTGGAGCATGGTGTTGATGCCTATCTCTCCGGGTAAGAATTTCGTCTTTTCTTTATTTGGATGCGATGCTAATCGGTTATAGACATATCCACTGGTATGAACGCCTGTTCCCGCTGGGAACTAATGGAACTATCGATACTGCTTCGATTGTCAACAACAATACCTATCTTACCAATGCCGGCAAATCTATGACCCATATTATCAACGGAATGGCTGGTAACATTGAAAGCCACAGTGAATTCAGCAGTGGCCAGGGCCTGACGAACATCACTGCCGTGCTGAACACGAAGGAGTACGGATTCAGCAAGATGACTGTTGTAAACTCTACTGCCCTGAAGTGGGAGTACATTCGTGGCAGTGATGGATTGGTCGGTGATAAGCTTTGGCTAGTCAAGCCTGGCCAGGAGAATCATGGACATACTAGCAAGAGCCCTGTTGGTGCGAAGAAGCCTCGTGTTTAGAGACTCGGAGCAGCTATGATATTCAACTGAGTATAATAAAATTGATGACTTTAAGCTTTTTCTGCAAGTCCTCTGAGTCTTTGCATTTCTACACTACTTGTAGTTTTTGCACTTCTTCCTCGATAAAACCCCTGAAGCCCTGGAGCTAGTCACTCCTTCCCTTCTGTTGATTACCCCGTTTGGGGATTTCATCTCCGTCGTTTTCGATTATTTCAGACTCGGAAGTATGCGCGCCTCCACTCTCATCCAATTTGATAATCTTCAGGAAGAACATCACAATGAGCATCAGCGACAAAGAAACCAATCCTGCAATCGCCAAGAGTCTCTGCGACTCGCGATAACTGCGATCAATCGCATTTCGAGCATCAGTGCCCACGGCATACTTCTTAGCAATGACTATGGAGCTGAATATAGAATTGGCTTGACCTTTCAACTGGTCAGGTAAATACTCCCGAAGCTTGCTGGGAAGAGTATTTCTCCAAATTGCGCCGGCGACACTGATATCAGAACGAGTCAGAAAAAGGGTGTACTACAGAGAACCAGCAATTCAATGCATAAAAACATACCTAGTACCAATAGCCCCACCAACACTCATCGAAGCAAAGAAGACCGCAGTAACGACAGAGACTTCTTGACGTGTGACGACAGCTTGGACCGAGACTTGAGCCGCAGTTTGATAGAAGCCGCGTCCGATTCCGATGAGTGATTTCGCCGTTATAAACGAGACTTCGCTGCCGACTCGGCCATCGCCCATATCGACTAGATAGAGTAGAATACCCATTCCAAGAACGCAAAGTGGCACGCCGATCAGGACCCAGATCTGTGATCGCTTGGTATACTTCATGAAGAATGCGGCGAATATGCCTGCGACCTGGAAAGCGACGCGTAGCGAATTGCTGCCGAAATGTGAGTATGCGTCGGTGATGTTAAGAAGGGGGTTGACCTACTCAATGCGTGTTGCAGGGCCCGCGGAGAAGTGGCCCGCGACCTGGAGGTAACTGGTGAAGAAAACGGTGAAGACTGAGTAATGGAAGAAATCGAGTGCGCCGAGAAGACACGCAGCTGCAACGGTGCGGTTATTGATCATGCGGTATGGGACGAAAGGTTGACGGGCGAACCATGCGTCCCAAACGAAGAAGATGATGAGAAAAACAACGCCGAGAACCAGCATCGCGATAAATGAGCCCCGGGTCCAGGAGTCGCTGTTCGTCGTTCCGGTCAAGGAGAGCGGAACGAGGAGAAGAGACAACCCCGCGAGAAGAAATACCGCGCCGGGCAGATCGAGTTGAAACCAGAATAATTGGAATATCTTTTTCCATAGAGGTTGTCCTGGATCTAAGCCTAGTGAACTGCTAGTCAGGGATTTTGTCTTCGGGATTCGACGTTGGTAGAAGAGCATTGTCCCGATGAGAGGCACCGATGCCACGGGTAAAACTATCGCCCACATTCCCCAACCCCAGCGCCATGTAGAATGATCGAGGATGCGTTCTGCAACAATTGTGCCGATGTATAGGGTTGGGATGGTTGTCAAGGAGTCTGGAAGGGTGGACCACACGCCACGATTGACGAGCGAAGTCATATCTGCCACAAAGACTTGTTGGGTCAGGGCGTATCCAGTGGACCCGATGGCTTCAAATATACCGGCTGCCTATTATTCGTCGGAAATGCTTTTGTTAGCAGATGGAGAGTATTGGATTTGGACGTTTTTTATGACTGATGCGTACAATGTATTGAGCAATATTCGTGCAGGAAGCATAAATCACGTAGCCGAGCGCAGAAGCAAAGATTGAGAAGATGAACATCTCAGCCCTGCCAAACACCTAGAATAAAATTAGCGCCGATATTACTTCATTCTTTATTCTCATACTCACATCACCTAGTTTGGCGATGATAGGATAGGCTGAAATGCGTGCAATATTCATCACCACCTTCGCTGCGCTCATGGCGGAATGTTGTTTGAATGAGCTGGTTGTGTATGGCGTATACACCTGAGTCGAATAATCCGCGAAGTTGATGGCAAATGTACATAGTAAAAGACTGAAATTGTCAGCTCATGCTCACATTAAAATAAGATGACGCTGTTCCCACCCTGAAAAAACCATTATGAGGCCTTGCTTCGTCCATGCTTCACGCAAGAGGTCAGCTTTCTGGACTCCGGCCTGCATATTTGACGGATGTTGCGGTTTCTTCTCCAGATCAGACGCAAATACGTGGTCATTTTGAGCGTCGCTTGGCTCATTGCCCACCGGGGCAATATCGACCTCACGTTGTTTCGACATAGCAAAGTGGTATGTCTGACTTGACATGATTCAAGAAATTATACAAAAGGCGAATGTAGCCTTTAATACGATAAACTTAGATAGAATGGGGCCATCCTCGTATGTACATTCCTGTATGCAGCGGATCTTGACCGTAACCGAGGCCCATTGTATCCAGAAGGCATCCAATTTAAGTAATGGAGGGCTTGCCAAGGCGTCGGAATGGCGATGCTTACGCTGATACTGCCGTAAAACCAAGAAAAAGAACTTCCCGGAGTGAATGGTCCATACCCGAAGCCGAACAGAGAGACTATGAAAAAAACACATTCCGAGCATCGCCAAGACCAAAAAGTAAATCTTATCAGATGAGCACGAAATTCTCCCCCTTGGTCCACGTGTCCCATAACCACGATCGAATCAGATAATCAGATAACTTCTGCCAAGCTGTGGAAGGGCGCGCCAAGACAAACCGCCATTGACTAAAAGGCTACAGACCCAAATTAGTCGATTTTCACGAGTGTCGAGGGAAGTTGACTTGGTTGCAGAGGGCCAAGTCCGGGATTTCCTCGGCGTTCCACTCCCCATGGGCCCGGAGAGTGGGGGATCCAGTGGCTCCACGTTTCGTATTCTGCCCACCTTTTCAGGGACTTCGCCTATTTTCACCATAGATAGTTGGGTTGGTTGATATTTAGACAATCTGGCTAAAGTATTATCAGTCCTGGCAATCTAACAGATCACAGATCTACCTTACTAACACTCGATTTTCGCCATTACATACGAACATACCTCGATTGAACACACCATCATGGACAATGAATGGAAGTTTGACCGGGCCAATGGTACCCCTATTCCCAATATTGAAAACTGGAGCGCAACAAGCGATAATGGGGAACCCTATCTGATCCAAGTCTCATGGCCCTTGGGATGGCCTCCAATTGAACGAACACATGAATGCTCGCAGGCAGCTAATGTGATGTAAGATGAGTTTCTAGCTCCAAATCATAGTAATAGCCATGGGCATCATCTGATAATCAATAACCAGCTACGTTGTGGACGGCAACGCAATGTTTCTATCAGCGACAGACATCGTACGACGGAATGGACTCGGCCGCCACAATATCGGAACAATCGTCGTCGGAATCTCCTACCCGATCTCGGATGCAGTTTACAGTGCTCGTCGAGGCTTCGATCTCACACCCCCTTGCGAAAGCTACAATCCGCCGAAAGACGCAGATGGAAAACCCTACCCACAACCCCACGGAGGAGCGAACATTCTTCTTGCTTTTATAAAGAAAGTCCATAGCTTTTTATTTGGCTCAGTTTTCCCTCAAGTCTCACTTCGCCAAACTGCGCTTTTCGGCCATTCCTATGGTGCGCTTTTCGCTCTTCACGCGCTGTTCACTGCGCCTGCGTCATTCGATGCATACCTTGCGGCAAGCCCTTCAATCTGGTGGAATGATAAGTTCATAATCCAGGAAGAACGTGAATTCTACGCAAAGCCTGATATTCAACACCGACCCCTGGTTTGGATGTCGTATGGGTCTCTAGAACAGGTACCCGATCGGCAAAAAGGGGAGTCTGAGGAGAATTACGCAAAACGACTACGCAGTTCATCTGAGCGTCGCATGGCAGATAATTGCGATGAGATGTATCTTTGCTTGGAAGCGAGTGAGCGAGTGGGATATATGAGAAAGAGAGTCTATGAAGCAGAGGATCACGGGAGTGTTATTGCTACCTCTTTGAGTGGGGCCATTCTCTGCTTTATTGAGAGTTCATCGGACTCAAGTGGTGCAAAATCAGAGTCCTGAACCGCAATTATCACGATTAATTGCGTCTTTAATCTCGGAAATAAAGATATATTGATTTAGCAAAGGATTGCCATTATTATAACTCCCGGCTTTGGGGAGTTTTAGTTTTGAATATTCGAGGCAAAGCATCCTTGTCTTGTCAACTTGGCAGTGTCTCTGGACCATTGAGTACCTTCTCAATCTCCAGCCAATCCATGTAATCAACACCCGTTAGTGGAAGAGTTGGATTATTGAAACTGGAGTATATGTCTTCTGCCTCTCCAGACAAATCAATATTCCAGTCATCCCGCGTGCCAAAAACCGTATCTGTAGATAGAAGATTTGCCCATGGCTCGAGCAATTGGCTTTCATCATGATGATTATGTCGACTTCCGGGTACCACTGAAGTGTTACCTTGAGACTGTGTTGGATAATATCCGAAACGGCTTCTGTTTCCATTCCCGTCCGGATTGATATTATGTGCTCCGGGTCGCGAAGTCATGCTGACTTGAGGAGATCCTTCGCTCGATGAAGTCTTATTGAAAACACGACTCGGCCACACATGTGAACAAGACTGCGAAATATCCTGGAGTCGCTGCTCAGCTGCAAAGTTTCCAGACCGGGCTAAAAATTGTAGAACCTCGCAGGCTTGACTCAATGCCGGAGGAGGTTCATCCTGGGAGCTGTTGATAAAACCTCGCATAACGAGTACAAATGCGGCAGAAAATGTCGCATCTAAATCGAAAAATCCAAAGCGAGCTATAAATAAACAATATCAGTGACTGCCAGTGGGTAAAATTGAGCGCCCAAATTCCATAGTGATAGACTGACGTATTGTTCTTTGGCGTTGGAGGGAGTGCAGGATTTCCAAGCTTCGCGTAGCTGCTTCATTGCAAGTGTCGCACAACCTTGAAAGCATATCGGGTATTTCTTCAGTGGCCTCTAGCCTTTGCTGCCGTTGGACTTCTAAGCGGACACTGCGCAGCAATACCGGCCGAGTACATAGTATGATGGCCTAGTTACATCTTCTGTCAGTATATGAAGCATGCAGACCAGACCGTCAGTCGGAAAAACGAACTTGGAAAAGCATTAGATATAAAGATGCACCTGTACGAGTGACATTGCCGAGAGGTCGACTAAAATCCAAAACTAGAGCTTGTGGAAACGATCGACCGATGTCAGATAATTCTTTCAGGATATCTTGGATTCTTTTGACCAAGTCAAGTTCGGTGATAGAAGAATTTCCATATAGCGCTGGACGGATTAGCATAATTATAACCCGGAGCTGGCAGTGTGAAGCATACTTGACATGATCTCATCCGTTATACGAGCAATACGCACGTTGATATTTAATGCAACAGGGGATTGAAAGCCTGCGACATGTCGAGGAAAGCCAGCCCGGAGCTGTCGCTCATCGGCTCCAGCGGCCAACCCTAGGCCGGACGACAATCGTCTGCGCATGTTAACACATAGTGTCTAATGTAAGAGAGAGTAACATACCGGTCCAACATATAAACCGTCCACCAAAGCCGCACTCTATGGGCACTCTGGGACGGAAGACAGTTTTGTTCATTCTCGGGGAGATTGCAACCAAGTGCAATGGCTAGGCGCAAGGCAAGGCCAATCTTGATCTGTTAGTCTTCTGGGGAATCTTTTTTACTTTTGGAAATGTGAGCTTACATGGAGATATGCATCATGTTTACGATCACACCACTGCAGGTATGTGGCCATTAGCGTAAGTATTTCGACCGCAATAACACCCTCTCCACCGAGGTGATGTAATTGGGGAAGTCGACTCAGTGCCTCCGTGAAAAGGGCGGAACCAGGTGGCTGGCTGGTTGGATTCTCCACGTCCATAAGTTTGGCCATTGCCATGACAAGAAGATATTCGGTGTACCAAGTAGATCTTTTTACTTCTTCTCGGCTCTCTGGAGTCTGAAAAAGGAGCATGAGAGAGTCGGAAAATGTTCTCGAATCAAAAAAATGCTGGCTGACACCCAAGTAAAAAAGGAATTGCTCGAGCAAATATTGTGATTGCTCAAGTGAGGGCAGTGATTCATTACTATCTTCGAGTATTGTGTCGACTGATGTCCATTGGGAATGTGAACGACTGTGGTCTCTGCTTTTCGTGTAATCTCGAGCCGCAAAGGGACTGAGTTGGGATCTATCCAGGAGAGATCTAGCTTGAGATTCGAATGCCGGTCCCGATGCGAGATCCGTCGCTTCAAGTTTTTCTCCATTTAGAAAATATCTCGTTTCATATGATAGGATGATTGCTTACCGGGGCTGATTGCAGAGACGCTTTCATCGTATGGAAATCCCCTAGATTGGTTATTGGGCCCACTGCTGGTCGGCGTGTCGGCATCGGCTTGCCGAGGTGTACGACTCGGGCCTGGACCGGAAGCAACGGGAGAAAGAATCGATAAATCTAAGAAGCGTCAATTAATCATTCGTGGATTATTTGTTGCCTAACCATCGAGAATATACCGGAGGGTTGACCTGCAAGCCTCTCTTCATAAGACCTTATCTTATCCAGGAGATGCTGCACTTGGCTATGCGGCGATCAGTATTTTTCGTGACGCAGAAAGATCGGACTCACGCTTCAGAGAATCTTCTTCGCCCTGTATGCCCAAATGTACAACTCCAGCCATGTTTTAAACACCCTCGACAAGGTTGCTCGCCGGAGCATTTCACCTTTCGTCGGCGGCATGCCTCGCATCTGGACCGAGGTTAGCGCACATTTTTCGCAGCGCGACGCCCAAGACGCGACAAGAACAGAGGGGGTGGAAAGCTCTTACGCATTAGCCGATCGCGGATTTGGAGCCACCATGGTATAGATGATAGGTAAATATCACAGTCGCTCATGGACCTCGGGGTTGGAGAAGTTGAGTTGAGTCGGGAGGTTGGACCGATACGGTGGGGCAAGTCCGGATAAGCTTCCGAACGCTGCCAGCAGTGTATTCTCTACTTGGAAGAACATGTTTTAAAGGCATCATTGTTGTTGCTTTGAATAATGCTTCCCTAGAAAGCTTTAAGCTCCCACCATAATCAGATCGTACATTTTTCACAATCTCCAGTCGTGATTGGCAAGAATTATTCCACTTTAACCCCTCACATCCCTCAGTATTAAGCAGTATTGGATAATGCAATGGAGTATTCGCGCTAATTGTCAAGGCATGTCCGTCTAATGTACAGATAAATCACGAATCATCTTCCAGAAAGCTTGCCCTCGCGTTACCAATTATTTAAGAGCCCCCTGCGTGGGCTATGGTTGATTTGCTTCTCCAGGCTTTTCCGAGTGGTTGCATGTGATAGAAGGTTTCGTTCGCTGGGCGGAGTCAGAGAGGCCATGATCAACGATATGACTAGCTCAAGATTTTAATATCCATTGATATGATTATTAAAATAATCAGTAATGAGAAATCGCTCGTTGCGTGTTGAATGACTTTCTGGTTTTGGAAACATGCACTACTCTAGGGCACTACTAAATGGACACCCCATTTAGCTATCTGAACACCCTATCCAGTACATTTAGAAAAGATGCTATGCTATGTATTACCACGGGGTCGGTCCTACAAAGGTGGTAGAAGGGGTGTTTTAAACTACTGCAACGCCACTGGAATCAAAATATAGTAGTAGCTTATACACACTTCCAAGGTTTTTGGCGAAAAGGTGTGGCGCGGTAGATATGGTCAGTAAAGGGTATCTTTAGCTTCTGCTAGTAGGATATACCTGATCCGATACCTAAGTATACTAGTAGTTACTGAGATAGTTAGCACTTGTAGATACCTAGGTACCTACTCAGTTACCTACCCGAAGGTGAGAAAGTAGAATTCCGGCCTGCTACTGTAGTTCGCGGTAATACACATACAGTACCTTTTCTAAATAGACAGCCCTGGAGATAGGGTGTTCAGATAGCCAAATGGGGTGTCCAATTAGTAGTGCGCCTACTCTACGAGCTATATCATTATAAAGTTCCAAAGTTCCGGTAAAAATAATACTAGTAGCTTTTCTACATCTTATTGTGGTAATATCTTGCCATGATTAAGCGGGCCATGAGAAGTATTCCAAGGTTATTGCTCAAGACTTTGAGTCGGCCCTTCGTCCTGAGGTCCGAATCTCAGCTCAGTGCTATCGAACTGGGGAAATAAAGCTTCACGTATTCAATCTTTTCCCGAGCACCTTTCCCACTTTTTCAATGTCTAAATGGAGATCTACCGATAATCGTGAGCTTAATATTCCCGGCAGTGAATATTAATCACGATAGATAATTATTACGTTGTCTGGGTCGAAGTAAACTGGAAACTGAATGTGGGGCCATAACCTTGGAATGAGGCGTTTTATCAATGACTCCAGATGACAGACACCAAAATCCCAAATTGATCTTGCGCAAAAGCTCTAGATCTTTAGGATGCTCCACCGTTTGCTCTATCACATTATCAAATTCCAGAATCGCAATACGCCAGGCTTCCAAGGTTGGAAAACATATAATGTGTGATGCAATAGGGCCCCGGGCCTGCGAAGTTTCTATTCTTATTAGTGTATTACTACTGGGCATGCTATACTCCGATAGGATAGATTCAGCCCTACTGCCATACTCCTAATGTTAAAAGGAGGCTTGCTTGAAATAAAAAAATCGATGTTCACTAGAGAAATTTTATCCCTCAAATCATGACTTTTTTTAGGCTAAGCTCAGAAATGCCGCTAGAGCTGCAGGCTTATTACTTGTCATTTCCATCCACCAATGAGCACTCGCGTACGAATTCCGTCGCCGCGTCAGGTCAGCACTTTTTCTAAAACAAGAATCTAGTCCGAAGCTACTAATACTATGGCTTCGGTATTTTGATTGCATGGTCGGTTATCATAAACCGTTGACCACTTTGAGGCTCGTTTGCCGGGTGCCGACCGTTTTATTCGCATATTAAACACCTGGGCACTCCCAAGTTGGTCATATTGTCAAGTAAGGGGACCGAAAAAAAAAAGTCTCACTCAATTGATCCATCGTTGCCTTTTAGTAATCACTTGATTACAACTTTTTGCTGGTGAACTTGATAAACCGTCATGAAGGGCATCGTGGGACTCATCCTCGCCAGCGCGTCGCTTGCAGGTGCATTGTCAACTGTGGCCACCGAAGTTTCGGCGTCCTCGTTGTTCTCGAATGAAAAGTTACAGTTGACTGAGGGTGATCTTTTAAAACTTTCGGTCGCCTTGCAAAATGACACGATATCAAGCATGTTTGCGTTTGCGAATGACTCCACTTCTCACACTGTGGCCAAAAACAATCTCCCTCATCGCTGCAAAACGACCCCGGGTGAACTTCTGTGGCCTTCGGACCAAATTTGGAACATTTTCGACACCTTGATTGGTGAGCGTCTTATCAAAACGGTGCCTCTGGCAGCTTCCTGCTATACAGACTGGCCAGAGTACAATGCTACCCAGTGTGCGGCCGTAGCCGCCGACTGGTTCAACTCAGACTTGCACATGGAGGACCCGGCATCTATCATGCTGCCCCTGTACCAAGGCCGCTCTTGTCTTCCATCTCCATACAACTATACAGCTGATTGCACGCAAGGTGGTTACCCAACATATGCGGTGAACGTTTCCACTGTCGCGCAGATCCAGCTCGCGGTCAACTTTGCTCGAAATTTGAACTTACGCCTAGTGGTCAAGAACACCGGGCATGATTTCAACGGCAAGTCCTCTGGTAAAGACGCTCTGACTATCTGGACCCATTACCTTAAGGACAAGGAGTATTATCCAGAGTTCAAGGCTACCAATGGCTATGACGGCCCGGCGATCAAATTTGGCTCGGGTATACAGGTGGCTGAGGCCTATGAGTTTGCTCAGAGTGTCGGTCATTCGGTAATTGGTGGAGAGGCTGTTACGGTCGGCCTGGGAGGTGGCTATACCGCTGGCGGTGGTCACTCCCCGCTGTCTAGTCTGTACGGTTTGGCATCTGACCAGGTTCTAGCCATGCAAGGTGAGAGCCCATCATCCCAAAGAGTGTCTGGTATTTGTAGAATGAAACTTTATGCTAATCTCATTCTAGTTGTCCTATCAAATGGACATTTTATCACTGCCAGTTCTACAGAGAACCCGGATATTTTCTGGATGCTCCGCGGCGGTGGTGGTAGCACCATCGGTGTTGTTACTTCGTTAACAGTCAAGGCTTTACCTAAGCTTGAGACTACCACTGTGACCTTCAACTTCACAGTCAATGATACCCCAGGTCCAGATGCTTTCTGGTCAGCAGTCGAGGCGTATCTTGACAACTTCGAGGCATTTGTTGATGCTGGTACGTACGGCTACTATTACATCGGCGCGTCTTCAGTTGAAAGTGGTACGGACTATGCTGGTAGCACCGACTACTATTTCAGAATGGAATCTTTTGTTGCGCCAAATATGAGTGTATCTGAGACCAAGACTCTACTTGCCCCTTGGTTCAATGCTCTTGATAACTTGAATGTTTCCTTTACTCCATGGTACAACCATGCAGATAACTTGTGAGTTTGCGGCTGCTGACTACTAGTAGTTGATACGTTATTTTCTGCTAGAAATTTAGCTAACATGAAGCTCCAGTCATGATGCCTGGATTGAGGCTTTCCCTCAGGAATACGTTGGAGCTGATGTTGTCAAGACTGCTTCACGCCTACTCCCTCGTAGTGTCTTCCAGAGCGATGATCTGCGAAACCAAACCTTTGAAGCTTTCAAAGATGCTATCACTCAGGTATGCATTTCTAATACACCCACCTCGAGCTTTCTATTTCATGTTAGGAAAACTCACACAAAACAGGGCCTCTTTATCGCGGGATTTCACATTAGCGGCACCGGAATTGCCGTCGACCCACCCACGGACAGTGCCGTTCTTCCCGCATGGCGAGATGCTATTACCCATGTGATTGTGGGATCTGAGTGGAATTTCACCTCCTCCTGGGACGTTATCAAAAGCTCATCGCTTTTCGTAACCGAGTGGATGGATGTGCTGCGTGAAATAGCCCCAGACTCTGGCGCATACATGAGTGAAGCCGATCTTCTTGAGCCAAACCTCCAAGAAGCATTCTACGGTACCAATTACCCCCGCCTCTACGCACTTAAGCAGAAACACGACCCGACTGGTCTCTTCTTTGCTCTAACGGCCGTCGGTGCCGAAGATTGGGAGGTCCAGACCGTTGATCCTCTACCGTACTCATGGAACAACAACGGACGGCTGTGCCTAAAGTCCTCTTGACCTATTAATAAATAAGATTGGTCTGAAGGCCTTTCTGTATGATATGAATAATTATTATTCTGCAGTGATTTATTTTATAGCCAGGATCAATCAAATTCAAATAATACCTACTATTAGCGATTAGTACTATTATCCGTTACATCGGAAAGTGATCGGACCGGACAGCTGAAGATGCGCATTAGATCCATATCGCTTCTCTATAATTTGTGATATGCTGGGCGATGAGATTAACAGACTGCCAAGGAAATGCTCAGGTGTTATCTGGCAGTTCCAACTTGAATGAAATGGAATATTTCCCCGCAGTCGGTTATCGGAAACTCGTGGCACGCTCAGATGTCTTGATTGCTAATTCCCCGCACCAAGCCAGATAGGATGTAACATCCGAGGAAATCCTTCTTGACACCGGGCGTTACACAAAGATTGAGTGGATTGATTCATCTAGTAAACACTTGACTTTCTTGGAGCCAACTCAAATCCCAAGACGTAGGATTTAAACTTATATCTCCCTGGAAGTTAGACTTCATCGATCATCAACATGACTAGCAACCTAATCGTCAAGCCATGGTTGCCTCAGACACCAGCCCCCGAAGTCACTTTCTATAACGCGAATCTGATTGATACCGACTCAGGCGAAGTGAAACCTAACTCTATCGTGAAGATCAAGGATGGTCTCATCGTCGATGTGACGACTGGAAGCGCAGAGTCTCACTCTCTGCTGGATGGAACCAATGCTGTGAACCTGAAGGGCCAATATCTCTGCCCAGGCCTTATCGACTGCCATGTTCATCTGACAGCCACACCCGGGGCTCTTTCGCTGAAGGATCTGTTTTCGGCAAGTCCTAATACCATTGCATACCGGACGGCATTTGTCGCGCGAGAGATGCTACTACGTGGATTCACTACAGCTCGCGATACAGGCGGAGCGGACTCGTCTCTTCGCGAGGCTATTAAAGAAGGTCTCATCATTGGTCCTCGATTGTTTATCGCTGGAAAAGCCCTATCTCAAACAGGAGGCCACGGAGACCTGCGGGCTAGTTATGAAGGAGAAGAGCAAAAGTGCTGCGGGGGTCATTCGCCTGCCTTTGCTCGTGTATGTGACGGCGTGCCCGAATGCCTCAGTGCGGTGCGAGATGAGCTACGACAAGGCGCAGATTTCATTAAAATCATGTGCGGTGGAGGCGTTGCCACTCCATCAGATGCCCTCGACATGCTGCAGTTCACTGCAGAAGAAATACGTGCCATCACAACGACTGCCAAATACTCCAAAACTTATGTCACAGCTCATGCATACACCGTTGATGCAATCCGTCACGCTGTCGATAATGGAGTGATGGGAATTGAGCACGGAAACTTCATTGACGAGGAGACTGCGGCTTACTGCACCAAGAAAGGAGTTATTTTCACACCGACGCTTGTCGTCTACAAAAGCATGACTCGGCCTCCGTTCGACAATTTTCTCGATAAATTCAGCAAGGAGAAAAACCGGCAGGTTCTTGCAAGTGGGTTGGGTGCGCTTTCAGTTCTTCAGAAAGCAGGGGCAACGATCTGTTATGGATCGGATCTCCTATCAGGCCTACACTCTCTGCAAAACGAGGAGTTTTCGATCCGTTCTTCTGTTTTGAGTGCAAAAGAAATCCTCCAGTCTGCCACAGTGAATGCGGCCAAGCTTCTGGGGATGGAGAATCGACTAGGATGCATAAAGAAGGGGAGTATTGCAGATATTCTCGTTCTGAAACATAATCCGCTTGAAGATATTACGATCTTAGATCGTATTGATGAAAGCCTGGTAGCCATTCTTAAGGAAGGTCGAGTGGTTTTCAAGCGGTCGAGTTGGTTGGCTGTAGACCCAATGTACGACCCATGTCGTGTTCAAGCAGAATGAGCAGGACTCATTTTGCAGTCATGGAATGATTTAGATTGGAATTAAATCAACTTTAAATTGCGATTTAACAAAAATTAGATCAATGTGCTGCCCGATAATTCAAAATATACCTCAAGGGTGAAAGATATGAAGGGTCTGTAGTGTCGGAAGCCCAAGCCGACAAACCTCGGATGTCATCCGAGAGGGATGAGGGGGAGATCTGCGGGTCAATCTTTTTTTTTCAAAGTCGCAAAACCTCGTTAGTGAGAGCAACACAATTAATGCACTGTTTGTTTCGCAATTGGCTCCTGCTATTGAAATTGAGAATAGTCACTGCCTTCTCGCATTCTTCTATCTCCTTTGGTCTTCCAGAATGCCTCTGATAACCTCAATCGGCGAGGACTTGCCTCAAAACCATGTCCACATCGCAGTTCTTGACACCGATGTACCATGTCCTGCCGTCTATGCGAAACGCGGTATGCACAGCTCTCGATTTCGTGTTCTGCTTCAAGCTGCCGCGGAGCGTCTCAACCAAGATACACAAAAGTTGAAACATGGAAATATCGGGATCCATGTGACAGCTTTTGACGTCGTGGGAGGCTCATATCCGCCACTTTCGTTCCTAAGATCTAGCCCACGATCTTTGAATAGGACAAATTCCTGTGATTCGCCTGGGCCGATCGATGTGATTCTGGTTACTGGTGCTGCTGCCGCGGCATATGATGATTTGCCATGGATTCCAGCACTCCGGTCATTCATTCAAACAGTCTACGCAGACCATCCATTCGTGAAAATTTACGGATCTTGTTTCGGGCACCAACTTATAGGCCAGGCATTACTCGAGGGCCAGGAGTGCTCCATGGGCAAAGATTTCCCGTCCAAAATTTCAGTTGAGCCATCCGTGCTGGGTCATGAAATTGGAGTCCATCCTATTGTACTGAATTCAGAATTCAGTCGCCGATTTTCCTCACTCGATGAGTTTTCGTCAGAACGGCCCGTTCAACTACAAGTCATTCATGGGGATATTGTGACTCCCTCGCAAGATGTCCCCTCGCATATAGGCCCAAATGAGCTATCGCTCCCAGTGCCATGGATGAATATCGGAAGCAGCTCCAAATGTCTTATTCAAGGACTCTTCCACCCGGGTCGTGTTCTTACATTGCAAGGTCACTTTGAATTTGATGCATTTGCTTCAGGGGAACTATGCCGCCAGTTCGCACGGACATACAACTGGACACAATCTCGTTTGGAAACTCATCTATCAAATATATGGGGATCATTAGAATCTGTTGATGGGCCAGCAGGGCCTTATGATGACGCAAAAGCGGTAGCAGAGATGGCTATGCTATTCTTTGCAGATGAAGACCGACTTTTGGCTGCACTTCCAGGGAAGTCTTCATGAGTAGCTCTGGTTCCGTGTATAACACACAAAATAGAAGACTACCGCTGTTCATACACCCTATAAATCACTACAGAACAATCAACTTCAAGTTCATTTTATTTGGCTCCGTCAAGTCGATTTGTCCTAATCAACTCACAATCCGGAGCCTATTCTAGCCCAAGATCAATGAGAGAGGCTCAGTGAATGCGCCCAATTCAATAGCGAAAATGAATTTTGAGTCATTTCTCTTATTTTTGAAATTAAAAACAATATCAACGAGGGATTTATGCAATCCAATCTCTTTTGCTGGTTGCTTGTGGTATACTTCGCCACGGAACAACCTTCTTCCGGCTCTTGCACGCGCGGGAAAAAAGCCGCGCCTCACTGGGAGACCGTCACTTCTTCCGCAGCGCTCTTTGACACCCGAGAGGCATGTTGTCTCCGTTGAAGCCTTCTGTGCCATCGGCCTCGCTCCTGCGATTCTTGCGATCACAGTCAGAAGTTTCGATCGGCTCAGCAGCCTGCGCCCAACCCCGACCTCGACTCAGTTGCCAGGTGCAATTCGCGACCGGGTCGTCTCGCAGATCTTCAAGCTGGGCTCGCCCCAGTCAGTCGCAGTATGCCCTGATCTCTACCGGGGACTCTACTTTCGCCACATCTTCTAGACCGAAAGCCACAGGTCCACGATCCATCTTGGAGCCCTTGATCATCTCCCGAAATACCTCTACAACCCGTCGACCGTTTCTTCGGAGGCTCTTCGACCTCAAACGGAACAAAGATGCCGAATGCAAGAATGCTCGCCCAGGTCCTGCGCTTATCGATGATACCGCGGAGGGAATGTTCAACATTGGCCGTGGGCTTGCCGCGAGAGCTTCCAACGAGCTACGTATTCGATGCACGGAATTCGATAACAATGGAAACGTCACGCTCGTGAATGGAGAGTTTAGGAAGCTTGAATTAATTGCAAAGGTCAGTCTAGCACACACCATGCTCCCTGAACGCCTTTGGAAATCTTACTAACTCAATGGGCGGGCTCTAGTATGGTCTTCTTCCTCGAGATCTCCGCAAGATTGACTCCTCTACCCTGCCGCATATCCTAATCCGACCGAGCGCCATTCTTATCAATCTGCTACATCTGCGAGTATTAATTAAGTCGGATCGCGTTCTTGTGTTCGACGCATATGGGTCAACAGACTCCTACATGCAATCACTGTTTATCTACGACCTGGAAGCGAAACTCCGTCAGAAATCCTCACAGGTAGCACAAGGTGCACAATCTCTGCCTTATGAACTCCGCGCGCTGGAAGCCGTTCTCATCAGTGTTACAACGGGGTTGGAAGAGGAATTCAATGGTGTCAGAGACCCAGTTGTTCGGGTTCTCCGCGCGCTGGAAGAAGACATCGACCGTGATAAGCTCCGGCACCTTTTGGTCTACTCCAAGAAGCTTGGCACCTTTGAGCAGAAGGCTCGACTGGTTCGAGATGCCATCGACGATTTGCTTGAGGCCGATGACGATCTTGCTGCTATGTACCTCACCGAGAGGTCGTGTGGCAAGGAGCGAGAAGAGGATGACCACCAGGAGGTGGAGATGCTGCTAGAATCTTACCACAAAGTTTGCGATGAAATCGTCCAGGCTAGCGGCAGTTTAGTGACTGGAATTCGCAATACAGAGGAAATGTAAGTCCTAAAACCCGCCCCAGGAAAAGGCAAAGAAGTACTAACCCACAACAGCGTCAAGGCCATTCTCGATGCCAATCGCAACTCCCTCATGCTTCTGGATCTCAAGTTCAGCATAGGAACTCTCGGTCTAGCCGCGGGAACTCTCTTCTCTGCCCTTTACGGAATGAACTTGAAAAACTTCATCGAGGAAGACGACTTCGGATTCGGTGGCGTCTCGGCCGTCTGCTTTATCCTCACTGGAATTGTCTGTTATTATGGACTGGGAAGACTCCGCAAGCTTCAGCGCGTGCGTATGTGGGGAGAGAATGGTGTAGGGACTGCCAGCTTGGCCCCACCGCTGTCACCTAGACGGACAAGCATCCCCTCTACTCGCAGTAACTGGCGTGCCGAATCTATTGAGCCAGTCTGGGGCAGTCTTCCAGGCGAAGTACGATCCGACCGAATGAAGAGACTTCGTCAGACTGCCGCCGCGAGTGCGGCCAATATCGCTTCCAGAACCTCTGGGACCAATATCCCGAATTCCTCTGCTGCGGCGGCAACCGCGGCTTTCGAGTCCGCGTTGAACTCCGAGGCCTCAAAGTCTACCGGAGAAGATCAGCCCGATGGGCCGAAAGAAAAGCATGATGGCCCCGGTACAACCAAGTCATCTTAGATACTGTATACATTAATCTCTGCATTTGGGTGGAATAGCGAGTTGCATTTGCTTTGGCGTTTGATTCAGGAATCCCCAGCCGTCCCGTCTCTTTGTAAATTATCAATTACTATCATTCTCCGCTACAAGCCCCACTCCGTGTTCTGTGTCAAGGTCAATATGAAATACGATATCCACCATGATCTTTCTTGAAAGCCATCCGAAGTCCAATCAATACTTATTTTGGGGTATCTAAAGTGAAGTGATTAATGTATTGTGCTTCCTTCCTCGTCTGCTAAATGGACACTTCGAGCACGCTCGACCCATTTCTTCGCGGCCACTTCAATGCCACCATCATTTTCGCATTCTCGCTGAATGATTTGCATGGTCTTTGACTGCAGTCCTTCATTCAGGTTGGCTGCACTTTCTTCTTGATATCCAGTGATGCCCATATCTCGTGTACTTGGAATCTGAAGCTTGGATCTTTGTACTTCATAGCCAACTTCTTGAGCAATCTGCATGGTCTTTGCTGTTAAAGATCCATACATTGAAGTAAACATGCCCTCTTCTGTCTTCTCTTTTTGCTTCAACAACCTCAGTGCCCGAAGGTCTCCCGAAGCTGGTTGTGGATTTGGGTCAATTAAAGCCGTCTTTGAACCGCTGTGATCACTCTGGCCAAGCGGCTGTGGATATTCGCCTCTTTCTGATGGCGGATAACGAAACTTATCTCCAGAAAGAGAATGAGAGCAGCAAGGAATAGCAAGAAACGGCAGAGGAGACGTGGGGCAGGCCAGAACCGCTATCAATGGAGTCCAAACTGTAAGCTCATCGGCATGATTGGATATGATAAATGTACCCTTGGGGAAATTCCCCGATTCAACTTCTGCGCCAATCTCATTGGGCTCAAGGACATCTATGAATGGCTTCGGAATGAAGACCTTCTCCATCAATCGACACTGTACGGAATCTGGGAAAGTCCTCCATGAGCTCCTTCGCCGCGCGTCAAATCCGAGTCCCGAATACCCTTCCATTAGAAGTACATATACAAGAACACCGTTTCCGCAAGCCATATCCACAAATCCTGGAAAGCCCGCCGAGCTGTTGGTTTCGGACGATTCGCTCTTCGGGACTGTGCTGTATAGACCTCTCCACAGCTCAATGATAAATGCAGCTATCGACAAGTCTTCAAAGACGTGTTTGGCTGGCTCGGCTTCCTCGGCCCAATTTTCGATTAGATTTTGGGCGTAAATATCATTCAGGCGTGCATATGTTTTTTGGACCAGGATGTGCGGAACCACGCCGTTTTTGTCTTTTGAAATATCATTCCCAATTCCGTTCGTACCATCTGATGGTAATCTCCGCCATTGGTCTGCGTCCGTTTTGACTGTTTGTGAGGAGATCTGCATGGTCTTGCTTGCTGTTGGAACAAGTCACCTTGTTCCCAGGTACGTTGTGTCGTTGATGACAGAACCAGTGTGCGTCATTTGTTGGATAATAGACCGAAGAAACCATGAGGCCTTTTTACATATAATGTCTCTTATCGATACATTCTGCAAATGCCACAATTCAGAAAACGGCAGGTTGTGGGGGTTGTTGTATACGGATGATTGTGGGGCAGAAACAGAAACCGCTTCGGAAAAAAAAGAGAAACAGCGGCAGAAATTGCCATCACGTGGGAACGCATCATATCACTTCCCTTCATTCAACCCTCCAAAAGCCCCAGGCTCAACAGCCAAAGTATGAAGCAAAGACCCAATTTCAAAGAATTGCCCATCCAACCTTCGGGCCTCTATTGGGAAAATGACTTTGTGGACGCGGAACACGAGCAACGACTCATCTCAATCTTCACCAACGAATTAAAATGGCCTGATCGACCAGGCAGGATATCCCTACACTACGGATATACCTTCGATTACAAGACATTCGGCATAGACCCGGAGATTCCGTACAAGGAGTTCCCCGACTGGTTGAAGCCTCTCATTCCAACCACCGAAGATCGACTCCCAGACCAGGTCTGTCTGCAATTTTATCCACCAGGCGCCGGGATTCCCCCACATGTAGATGCACATGCACCATATGATCAACTCTATGCACTTTCGCTGGGCGCACCGGCTATGATGCTTTTTGGACAGGGCGAGAAGCGCATCGAGGTCGATTTGAATCCACGGAGCATGATGCAGATGACTGGCGACTCCCGGTTGCATTGGACTCATGGTATCAAAAAGCGCAAGACGGATACCCTGCCCGATGGCACGGTCCGTCTTCGCGAGAACAGATGGAGTATTACCTACCGCTGGCTTCGAGGAGGAGACTGTGAATGCGGAAATCTTGCCCTTTGTGATACGGCGCAGAGCCGGAACGGGACAGAAAAGGAGAAAAGATCAGTAGTAAAGGCGCTTGCCGAACAGGTGAATAGCGAAAATCCGGCCAGTTGATCTGCGCCTATTACTCAATGCCGTGGGTTGAATTTTGTATCCTAGTCTATTCCAAATATACCCAAACAAGCAAATGTTACGTCTTCAGAGGTGTTCCCTTGGCCTCAGGCGTATATTCAGGAGGAGGAGCAGATGATGCTATACTCAGCGAAGCTCCCTTTCCTCCACCTTTGCTCTTTCGCTTGCCTTTCTCCTTTCCTGTCCCATGGTTGCGAAGCATCATGGTGATTTCTGGGTTGTAGGATGTCTGCTCTGGGGTCTCATGTGATCCGTTCTTTACTTTAAGCGAAGGCCCATACTCGAGCAATAGTTGCACCATCTTAACGTCTTTCTCTTTGGCAGCGACATGAATCGCCCTATTCGAATCCCATCCTTTCATGTTGATATCTGTTCCGTTTTCCAGAAACAGTTTGACAAGTTCACAATTTCCTAATTTCACAGCGTCGTGGAACAGAGGTCTCTTAGAGGTGTTAATTTCCTTCCCCGACACCATTCCACTGCGGAAAAAGGTTTCGATTATCTTGAGATTGCCATTTTTGATGGCAAGGGCGAACGGTGTTTCATCATTTCGATCCGTTGTCTTGACCTCGGTCTTATTCCCAAGCATTCGAAGCATAATGGGAATCTTCAAGGTTTTGTCGTACTCTAGAAGAAGTTCGCACATTTCCCGATGTTCATTTTTAACAGCCATATGAAGAGCCGTCCGGTTCATGGAATTGCTCCGTGAAGTGTCGGCCTTGAACTCCAAAAGCAGCTGAACCATTTCAAGGTCTCCATTCTCAGCTGCCACGTGGATTGGGCAGTCAAGCCTTTGGTTCGAAACCCCCAGGGCTATTCTTTCACACTCAAGCAATAGCCGCGCGAGCTGTTTGTGGCCACTTTTCACAGCCAAATGCAAGGGCATGGAATCACTGGCATTTTTGGCCATGGGCGACGCCTTTTTTTCAAGGAGAAGTCTGGCGATATCCCAGTACCCCTGATCTGCCGCATGGTGAAGCGCGGTATACCCGATTGCATCAATCTCGTTCGGATCGACTCCTTCGTCTAAGAGCGATCTCACGATGTCGATCCGGTTCTGAGATGCGGCTTCAGGCAACGCCATGCTGGCATTTGCAGATTTTTTCGTGTCGCTTGTCATCATAGCATGAAGTGGGGGGGGATTTCTCTCTCGTACTCGTAGATGGCTTTGGAGCTTTGTTTCAGCTTGATTGCCGGCGGTTGTTTCAGGGCAGAGTGTCATTTTAAATGACCTCGGCTCGGTATAGATTGGCATGCCAAGTCACCCTAAGCCCGTTCCGTTATCAACAAGCGAACTGCGCCCCGGGGCCGTTAGCTTGTCAGCGCTATTTGAGTTGAAGTGGATATTCTCTGCTCGGGCCAACCTCTAGAAGCATTTTCAATAAGCTGGTCTGGCGTCGCTCTGGTACCTATTTAGTAGATGTTGATTAGCTTGAGCATAACTCAACGTCACACTTTGTTTATGCATTATCGATCCTTGACTTCAGTGCTCTGATGCAATCTCTTTGATCGATAAGATCTTCCCTGGAATTACCATGGAATCCATCCTCTCCAGATCCGGACTACTTTCACGAATGTTTAATTTGGATGCTGGTCATGATTATCCAAAATAGATCCTCGGAACGCTCAATCCGCGCCCAATGGGTCTTCTCCTCCATTTACAAACTCGATTCATACACAAATTTCAAATTCTTGAAGGGTACAAAGGCCATGGTGGTCTGTATAAGGAAAAATGGGCTAGCCTACCTTGAATATGGATGTGGAATCGTTAGTCCATTCAATTACTTCATGTCATATCAATTCCATGATAAAAATCTCACTTTTGTACACTTCCCATACATGTCTATAGACTCCGAGTCTCATTGTAAAAGGTGATCCGGGGTTTTCCTTCGTCAACCACTTTGTCCAGACTCACCCATAATCGGCTGCTGTAGTTAATGCCACTTTATAAATATGTAGCGTCTTCAAGTTTTTAGCAATGGTTCATGAGCGATATGAGTGAGAAGCACCATTTGAATTATCAGCGATTACTAGTAAAGCAAGTTAAGATCATCTCATGTTAGACAATAGTGAAACCACAGTGCGACCACCTAAGATAGACCAGATTGCCTTCCTATCCTCTTCCAAGGTTCTTTATACGTTCAAAGAACGCTGAGAGCGCAGGAATCCTGTTTTCCAACACCAATAATGCCATGATGAGTGCCGCGGTTGGCACTGCGGCAACCCAGTATACCCAGAATCGGTCGCCCCGGGGCCATATGGTTCGCTCATGCTGAATATGCCGGTGATATAAGTTAAAGGGATAAAAGCCATCGCAATGTACGTCAAACGCCGGACATCCTCCGCTTGGGAGATAGATTTGTGAGAGTCTATGAGCTGCACCAGTGCAGTAATGATGGGGTTCAGCGCCTCTAGTGAGCGATGATGCTGGTCAATCTGCTCCTCCAGATACCTCAAATCCATCACCAGTTGATTCCAAGTGAATAATTCCCCCGATGCGGCTCCTCTTTCACCTGTAGCTTCACTGTCTTTGTTGCAGTCTTCTTTTCCACGCCAGTGTTCGACAAAACTTCTCGTCATTCGTAACTTATGCAAAGTCTGCAGGCTCCGGCGCCGCCATCTATGAAGATCCAGTATATCGATTTTCTCGAAGTGCTCTAGGCGTGACTGCACATTTGGAAAGGAGTACTCGTAGTACTTAATATAGCGGCTCATGAGCAATCCATACAGCATCCACTCTCTCACTATAGACCGAATTGGATAGTAAGCGAGGGACAAGACGCTAGGTTTTCCACCCTTCCATCCTGGAGGGCAGGTGTGCAAGAAATTTAAGAGCTCCTCACGCGGGTTGTGAGGTTGGTTATTTTCGTTTGCGGCCCCTGCAGCTTGGTATGCAGTATAAGATGGTAGATCGCTGAATCCTTCAATGCCAATTCTACGTGGAACTTGGGGAATTCTGGTCTCGATGAAGTGGTGGTGTGTTGAATGAACCACAATGTCAGCAGCGGGATCCACAAGAATTATGCCTGTCTTTATAATTAGTGGATATTATTAAAAAGGGACTCATAGATTCCATTTACAAATCCAGAGGTTATTAGGTAGATTGTGCTTTATCACTGAGCTGCATGCCCGAAGGAAACCAACCGACCTGCCCGATAGTGCGGGCAGACGTCGAACACTTCTTGCAACGTTCGACGACAAGACAAAATCATATGGCGCATTGATTAAGGCCAACTCGCTCCCTAAGTCGAGTACTTTCTGGTAGTGAATGTTGAAAAAGGCCCGAGAAGTGATTTGAGATGGTGGCAGGGCCAACAGTGGCGGTGGGGGGGGGGTATTCTCAATGTCTCGATACGATGATGTGATGTGGCCACAGAAGAAGAATGGGTCAATGTCAAGGCCAGAACCGAGAATATCTATATCCTCGGGGTGAATATTTTCTACCACTGCCACGACGCTCTTTGCGAGACCACGATTGATTTCGGCCATGATTTCACTGGTGCTAATTTGGCGAGGCTGACCTACGCCGTCAGCCCCCTCAACCTCGACACAGCTGACAATGCTGTTGCAGATAGTACGAGGTTGGCGACCGAGAAAATCAGAGAGTGCTTTTAAACTCGGGTTGTGGATGGCCATATTTGACACATAGTCACCGTAGGATGTTGCCATATCTCTCAAATACCACGAGCTTTGGCACGATACTTTGAAGTCGAAATCCACATGATACGGCCTGGAGTATAAAGACTTTCTCGGCCATTTTAGCCTGGTTCGAGTCTTGAGAGCTAGCGTTCGAGGCGTTATATTATGTCACGTCACTGATATCTACTAGTAATGTAGTGACACGTCAGTCATGCACTCCTCCTGCATGTATAGTTTTCGAGGCTTTTTTTTCTTACTCTGCATTCATAGAATGTTGAAATCCCAAACGATTACGCTTACGTGTCCGTAGTCCGTATGCAAGCTGACCCCGCTTTCAAGCGGCTGAATTGGACCCCTCGGGTTGTCGAAGGTGAGGACTGTACTCCTTGTCCAACTTTGAAAGACTTTTAGAAGACACCCTGATAGAATCATCAACAGAGGAACAGCTTAAAGCGGGTTCATAAGACACTCAGATCCCGAGGAGAGCACACTATGAAGGATATTCAAGAAATTGACGACAACCTGGAAGGGCTACATGGTCTATTCCACCTCAAAATAGATACAATGGTGCTATATACTAAAGAGGTCGAAAGTATTTGCTCTGGTGCCCTAAATGCTTCAAATATTCGCCATCCTCCGATCACGTCGCGCATCAAATCATGGGAATCAGCCAAAGGCAGCATCTACCGAAGGCACCAGGAACGCCTTGTACGTAGTCGTTTGTATGATGCCGTGAAAGCGCAAGGTCGGCGATGGGAAGATTATACTCGTGAATCAGGATTGAGCCCGGAAGGTTACGACATGGAGCCTTTCAAATCCCCAGAAGACATGCTTGCTGCATTGCATGACTTTGGTGGCATACGAATATCACTCTATTTCCCAGGAGACCTTGAGCGAGTCGCCGCCATTATTGAAAAGAGATTTGATATCATTCGACGGATAGAAAAGGGTCATGGCTCCCAAGTCAATGTGCAGGGCTTGGAAGAACGTCTTGAATTGTTTCAGAACTCCGAGAGAACCACGCAAACTACGGCCAATTCTAAGGAACTTCAACGATCTATGCGAACATTCACAGGATATAAAGCAACACACTTCGTTGTGAAATTGCGGGATCAAGATATCCCGCCGGCTCGAAAGTATGGTTGGAAGGACGTCATTACTGAAATCCAGGTAGGAACACTGGTGATGCATGTATGGTCTGAAATCGAGCACGACATGATCTACAAACCACTCGATTCCCAAGGTGAAAAGGTATCGGAAGACGAGGAACGCATCCTAGACTTGATCAACGGCATTGTTTTGACAGGCGAGGCCGCACTACGGCAACTCGAGGCCAGCACGTCTAAGCGTCTCAGCCAACGCGCGGAAAATAAAGACATAATGGCGAGCAGCCACTATGAGCTCGCCACATGGATCGAGAAAGACTGTGAAGAACGCGGAACGGTTCTCCAAGGCGCGGAATGGAGGCTCTTGGAACAGCTATTTACCATTTTGAAGACTACTGGAGATCACAGACATTCTGATGTGACAAATATGATTGAAGATGCAACTCGACAGACCTCGAGTCGCCATTCTCTACCGGGCGAGATGCTCCAGGCTCTGTGTAAGCGGCCTATATGTCCAGTGTGGCAACAATTCAATGAATCCACCCTAATTAGCGTGATTCAAAACGCCCGGCTTTGGGCGTTACGCCTTGTGCATAGCCTGAACCTCGCCATGTATTTTGGTATTCTTGAAGAGTTCCTCGGCGTAACTAATCTACCCCTCCGCCGTCCATCGATTGCGTCCTTTCTCGAAATTTTGCATCCAGACCAACCCGGGTGCTCGAGTCCAGAAACTGCTGAAAGCATTACCAACTGCTGCAGAGCAATTCTTGACCCCAAACACCGGCTCAAGAATCCATCGAATGATCTAATTAAAGTAGCAATTAATCTACCAGTGACAAACATGGTGGCATGCTGCGCCGATTCAGGCAGTCTTTTCCCAATTCCAGCCATCATCAGCCGGCTATTGCCCAATGATGATGACACGAACAAAAAGTCTGGACCCGATACAGAGAAACCGTATCGTGTAATTGATTTCATTGAGTTCTATCTTTCCAATGTCAACAACAGAGACCATAAAATTGTGCTATGGGATCACCTCACATCACAATCAGGTGATCGGGAGCACAGACGACCGATCGAGGATCGCTTCTTTGTCCCCATTTCCGAGCCACTGTCCGGGATAATGGCACCATGCCGTTGGCAATTGACAGATCGTGGCGTACAATTGAACTTACAGAAGATGGATCCGGATGACATCGGCAAGGCAGCCAAAGCCATCCCAGGCGGCTATCCGGCTATCAGGTCTAGCATTCCCAAAGTTGATGCTGAACTCGAACTTGCTTACCACCTCTATCCGAGGGAACAATGGGCGGGTGTTCGCACGGCCTGGGGTATGGCCAGAGCTTTGAGATCCCAACCAGAAGTTGAAATTATCCCATCTTCTAAAAGAAAGAGCGTACGCCACAAATCGGCTAATGCCAGGACGTCACACACCCCTACCGGTGCGATCAGTTCCAAAATCCATGAAAATCTGGATTCGGGAAATCACAAGTACGACTAGGGGAAAATCGTGATTACATCCATGGATGGCAGATGTACCTAGGTATTTTCTCGAAGGAGTGGGTTTTACTACTAGTAGTACCACTGGCACTTGCCAGTGGGCATACAGCACATCTAGGAAGGAATATGATATTTTCGAGATACTATATCCTGCAGAGGAACTTGAGCTTGAAAGCTTTCTAAGTTCCAGTACCCTCATTACGCCTGATGAAACAATATTTTTCGGAAGCTGCGGCTTTTTTGCGACTCATCGCTGGGTCTGCCCTTTCCCAACCTGCGAATCCACGGTCGATAGCATCAAGACGCTGTCACCGCGACGTAACACTTACACGATATGGAAATATTCAGGTGCTCAACGGGCAATACTATAGGGATTTTCTCCCGGTTATGCTTTCATAACAATTGTTCGATTACCCTTGTTAATTCAACTTCCCTTCTAAAAACCTCTTCCCAGCATAACCACCTATCTTCCCATCAATATCCATCCACAAATTCGACCAACCCATCAACTTGAAAAGCACCTGGCAACAATAAACATGAAGCTTCAAGTCAGCCTTTTAACCATCACCGCTGCCCTCCTTTCCACTCCAGCCTTGGCAATTGCAGTCCCAGTCCCCGACCCAGCCCTCCTACCAGCCCAAACCTCAGGAGCAAGCCACAACCCAAGCACAAAATACAACTGGCATTTCGATCTCTTCAAGGACAAGAAATGCAACGACGCTGCAATCAACATCAGCGGCAGCGGATCGAGCGGATGCCGAACAGACGTTCCAAAGGGCGGGATCCTCGCGTTTACCAGGGTGAACGTTGATCCGCACTGCACGGTGACGCTGTACCAGGATAGCAAGTGCTCGAAGAGCCATGATATCGGGACTATTCATTCCGACTCGAAGACGAGCTGTGCTGCGGCTTCGAAGAAGAAGGCGCATGTTAAGAGTTTCCAGGTGAAGTGTTAGTTACTGTGGTTGTGCATATTGACGTTGGTTTGACTGGATGGTGAGGCTTTGTTGTAATGGTTGCGTTTGAGATTATCAGATGATTTTGATCCAATGACCTTTGTGTGTCCCATAATTGTTCGCAGCATCTCTCCTACTATCCCACAAGGTCCCCCGTATACACTCTAGTCCCATCCCACTACCATGGTAACCCCACCAATAAGCTTATCTTATCGATGACGACCCGAAGGCACCTTACCTCACTCTCATGCTGACCCTCACTCCATAAGAATAAGAATCCACCTTTAAACCGGCTTACTTCCCTCCCTCCCCCCAAAGCATCCCCTCCTTCCAATTCACCCCCACAGTCACCAAAATGGCTCCCCGCTGCTTCATAGTCCGCCACGGCGAAACAGAATGGTCCCTAAACGGCCGCCACACAGGAACAACCGACCTGCCCCTCACAGCAAACGGCGAGAAGCGCGTCAAAGCAACCGGAAAAGCCCTAGTCGGCAACGACCGACTAATTGTTCCAAAGAACTTGGTTCACGTGTATGGTCCCCTCCCTCCACCTCCAAGTTTCTCCGCAGTGTCTAAGCTAGTCCCGGCCTGAGTAAGCTAAGCTAATTGACCTTACTCATGAAGCTACGTATCCCCCCGCACCCGCGCCCAACGAACCCTCGAACTCCTCGAACTAGGCTGTCGTGAACGTCTCCCCTGGACCGAATCCCGACAGGCAGAAGCAGACGAGCCGATTCGGACAGAGGCCAAGGTTGAGATCACGGATGCGGTGCGCGAGTGGGATTATGGTGACTATGAGGGCTTGACGAGTAAGCAGATCAAGGCCCAGCGGGAGAAGGACGGGGAGAAGGCTTGGAATATTTGGACGGACGGGTGTCCTGGCGGCGAGTAAGTAACTTGGAAAAAGATCTCTTATTTTCATTTTTTTTTTATTTATTTGGCGCGGAGTGCTGGGTATGGCATGTCTGCTAATGCGCCTCGCGCAGATCCCCGGACGACGTCGTCAAGCGCCTTGACGCTGTCATTGCTGATATCAAGGAGAAATATCACCGGCCCTGTCTTGAGGGGTCGGAGTCTGCAAAGGGCGACGTCCTGGTCGTTGCGCATGGACATATCCTCCGCGCGTTTGCGATGCGGTGGATCGGGAAGCCTTTGACGGAGACGTCGTTGATTCTGGATGCCGGGGGTGTGGGAACGTTGAGGTGAGTTCTTTGCTTGCATTTCGCTCGCGCATGTGCATCTGCCCCCTCCATCCATCTTCTCCTTTATTTCCTGCGATGCGTCGAGTTTCGCGCATGCGCGGAGAAATGAGAGGCGGGTACATTTCGGGCATCATGGTCTGATAACCATATTCCAGCTACGAACATAATAACATCGACGAGCCGGCTATAATTCTCGGTGGAGGGTTTGTGGTCGAGTAAGCGCGCAATGAACATGCACCTTGCACATAGAATCGCAGCGCACGTAGCTGGGGCCGAGTTCAGCAGAGCCGGAGTCGAGGCGGGGCTTCACGTGGAGTGGCATGGTATACCTTAGCTAGCCATGATTCACAGGTCGGATACTGTTGTACATAGTTAGCAAATATTCGAAGAATAAACCGATAGACTCCAAGGAGGGCCCTCGACTCGGTTCAGTTCAGTTCTGTTGGACTTGTTACTCACCAAGTAACAAACACCACACCACACGTCCATAAGAAATAGAATCCAGAGCAACCATTTCCATTTCCACTTCTCCCAAATCACTCATCCTCCCCCTCAACCTTAACAACCCCCTCCCCAGGCGTGCCCACCCCATCAGCCTGTCCCTTAACCCCCTCCTCCCCAATAACTTTAGCAGACCCCATAAACAGCGCGCCGACATACCCGCCCAAAAAGCGCATATCACCCGCCTGCACGGCCGTCATACGGAGCAGGTTCTCCGTGTCGGCCAGGTTGGCGTTTAACTGCGCGAGCTGGGAGTGTAGGTGGGCGTATTGGCGCTGTTTGGCTGTTGACATTGACGTTGAGCCTGATCCTGAGTTGGCGGTTGTTGTATGTGGTTGGTTGAAGGTATGTGTTGCTGTGTTGCTGTATGGTGTTGAGGAGCCTGTTGGGAGGATTGAGGTTCTGTATGTTGGTTGGGAGTCTGTTCGGCGGTGGGGGTTTAGGGGGGGGCATTGTGTTGATTTTTGTGGTGGGGTTGTTTTGTGAGTGAGATCTGGTTTTTCAAGATTTTTGTAGTTCTTTGATTGGGGGGACTGAGGCTGGGAATTGAAGCGGTCGATTGGAATTAGAGCTGAAGATTGTTCGAGATGAAAGTTGAAGTTGAAGTGGGGAGTCCCATTGTTTACATCGGGCCACGTGATGTGCTTGTATACAACGCGCTGCCGCAGTAATGGGAGAGCGGAAGCCGCCATTTCTCTTATTCATGTACTTTACTACCAGGTTACACATGTATGAAAAATTCAGCAATAATATAGAAAATCTATTTGTGCGCTCATGAGGATACGAGTCTGTTCAGAGGCAGTGGTGTCGCCACACCCGTCATTAATTCCCCGTCCAGCGCGAGCCCAGCCAAAGCAGATCCAAGAACAACCCAGTTCGATCTCCTTTCTGCTCAATTCAACTCAATCCCACTCAACCGAATACATCAAACCCCCGTCGCTCTTCTCATAATGCGCCAGGGGCCAGACAAAAGGATAAGGCTCCCGGTCGGGAGACAACAGCAAATAAGGAAAATGACATTGGACAAATGAAGGAAACATCGGCCTGACCAGACCAGGCCCAGATGATGATAGTGAGGACAATAAAGGAAAGGAAAAGGAGGGGAGCAGACGTATACTAGCTCGTGTAGAGTCGAGGAAATGAAAAAGGAAGGCGCCAGTAGTGTACAGTCATGGAGAGGGAAGTGAGTATGGAAGTGGTTGTGTTGTCACTGGGTCGATTTTTGAGACGAGTATCGAATAACCAAAGAGACGCGTATCGATAAACTGAAAGAAGAGAGGTTCCCAGTCTCGGCATGCTCAAAGAGCCTTAGTAAAACAAATCGACATGTCGTAGGACAAGATGAGTATCAATGCAGTGGTAGAACGCGAAAACAAAAAGCAGAACCCGTATCCCGACCACTCCGAAATGAAAACAGCAAATAAGCGATGAAAGCCCCTATGTCCCTCATGTATATGTAAAAGCGAGCCGCAGAGTATTAACCCGATATCGCATTCCACGGGAGGGTAACCGACGAAAACAATAGTCCCGTGGAATGACACGCAAATTGATGCAAAAGTCCAAACATAAAGAGCACGAGTTGTTGGTCGTCCAGGTGAGAAGGAGATGGGAGGAAGAGAGGTGGAGAGAGGTGGAGAGAGGTGGAGAGAGGGGGAGAGAGGGAGAGAGAGGGAGACGGAGGGAGAGGGAAAGGTGGAAGACATCATGAGAATATTCAGTCGGTCATTATCGAATCGACTCAGTGCACAGCAGGGGCCGTGATGTGACGTTGGTCACCTAAACTGGCCTGGCTGCTATGAGCCGACACTTCGGAATCAATATTGGCACTAGCCCCACTATCACCACTCTCCGCGCTGGCGCTCGCACTTCCGGTCAGACTTTTGTTCTTGGGAGGGCCCTTGGCGGGGAAGGAGTTGCTCACCCCGTAGTGTTGCTCAATCTGTTGCGGTCCAACCGGGCCTTGTCCTGACGGGTGCCGGGGAACCGGTGTCCGCATGTTTCCAGGCGGCGACGGATGGCCGTTATAGGGAGGTCCACCAGGGGGGTCCAAGATTCTGGTCGTGCACAGTGGGTGGGCGGCCCATTCGAGGTCCATGGCCGCCGGGACCACCAGGGCCACCAGGGCCAGGACCAGGTGCTCCTGGGAAGGGTCCCCCGGGAGACTGGCTGTTACGTCGGCTTTGCGGGTAGGGACGAGGAGGGAAATCTCCCATCTGGCTTGCGGTCATCGAGTTTGCTCGCGAGTCGGCGTGAAGCTGGTTGCGGTCGACGGAGCCATATCTGTTGGAAGAGTAGCTCAACATGGGATTGTCCATCAGGGAATCGTGAAGACCAGGGATGTCGGCCATTGCGCGATCACTCGCGCGTTTGCGGCCAAAGTAGCGACCAAAGGCTGATGATGATGATGGTCGGCTGGCGTGCATCGCAGGGCCGCCGGCGGCCATCTCAGGGTTCTTGCGGAATTGGGTGTTGCTGGGGCCCTTGCGACGGCGCGAGGTCATGCTCATCATGTCCACTTGGTCGGGGTCGATGTGAGGGATTGCCATGGTGTCCATGGGGTCGAAATAATCCTCATCCTCTTCATCAAACACAGAAGCCGGAGCTCGGGGTGGTGGTGGTCCACGGCGTCCGGGGCCAGGGCCTCCAGGTCCAGGTCCAGGTCCGCGTCGCATGCCCATTCCCATGCCCATACCCATCTCTTGTTCACGAATCTGTAGTTCTCGTTGGCGAAGAGCGAGCTCTCGCTCTCGAATGGCCAAATCAGCGCCGCCCTCTGGGTGGCCATTGCCATTAGGGCGTGGCGAACCGCCCTCCATCACATCATCGTATAGTACTAGATGGCTGAACTCCTCTAGGCCCTCCAATGACGGGTCACGAGGAACACGGTTGGCTTGAGGCGGCATCGGTCCACCGGGCGGCGGACGCATCATGCCAGGAGGTGGACCACGTCGCGCACCAGGAGGCATCATGCCCATACTCGAATGTGTCCGACTCGCTCGCATCCCGCCATTCCCATTGAGAGGCGGTCGCTGTCCCTGTTGCTGCGGAGGTACGGAAGACATCCGGGGAGGGGGCTGACCCATGACAGACGCAGGGGGGGAATCCCCGTGGCGGGGTCTGGACTGATTCGCGATATTGATGTGGTGGAGCATTGCGTAGAGTGCCTCGATCCGGGGCACGGGCGTGTCGGATTCAGTGGCCATTTTGATTGGGGATCCCAAAAAGTTCTCAATCTCCATCGGGCGCCTGGAAGTGAAGTCCTGGTACATTGTGCTGGGGGCGTCGGAGGCGGTCATCTTTTCGATCGTCTTCTCGCGGAAATCGCTAGGGAAAGTACAGCCGTGGGAGGAAGCCAGCATCATCAGCTCGTCAAGGACTCCTGTGACTAGTTGACGCACGCCGTTTTTCTCCAGTAGCTGGTTCGGGTTTGAGCACTCAAAGGCCACACTGGCCGGGTGAAACGCGATCGGGCTGCACAAAATTAGCACAAAAACTTAATGGGAGGGAAGGAAAGAGAGCTTGAGAGCAGGCCGACTTACCCGATCATCCGCTCGAACTGCTCCTGTCTGATATTGGGAGACACCTTGCAATCGACCTGGCCGGTGTTGAGGGTCATTGCCAGGGCGGACGCCATGTCATTCTGTATAGAGGTCGGGATTGATGATTTTCTGCTGGTCGCGCCCACATGGATTTCGCTGGAATTAAGGTGTTCGAACTCGGCGGGGCCGGTCTGGGTGATTTCGACGTTGGAGACGAGGGAAAGGACGACATTTGTCGGGTATCGCTGTTCGATATGGGACTCGATTCCAAGCGTATTTGTGGTATTGACGAGAATGCAGGTGTGTTGGGGAGTAACGACCGACTCAATGACGGAGGCGAGGTCGTAGACATCAGGAAGGGCCTTGACGCAGAGAATCACGTAGTCGTAGACGGCTTCGCGGGATGAGGCTTCTTCGGGGGCGCGGACAACTGGAAATCACCGAGAGTTAGATGAGGAACATGGCCATTGGGGCGCAGAGAGGGGAGTGCGATCGGGAAGATCGGGCACCGCAAACAGGATAGCAGGGAGAGTCGTACCGTGACGGGGTTTAAAACGCTCATTACCGAAAGCTTTTGATCTGCAGGGAGGAGAGATGGTGAGTTGGAGGCGACGGGCGCAGTAGCGAAGCGATAGAGAAGACGTACTTGAAGGAGACGCCATATTGGGAGACGGCCTCGAAGCCGGATTTCCAGACGAGCGTCACGTCGCAGGAGGTGGTAGCCTGCAATCGCCATGAGAGAAAGGCGGAGATGGCATTGCCACCGACTATACAGGTATGTTTTAGTTTGAAGCTCATGATGGTATGGAAATGAGGAGAGGAGAGAAGAGAGGTGAAGTGAAGTGGTGACTGTGTCTGTGACTGTGACTAGTACTGACCGGACAAAATGCGCAAGCGTGGAGGAGGCGCCATCGAGAAGAATTACCGAAGGAAGGTAAAGAAAAGAAAAGAAAAAACAGGAAGGAACAAGTCGAATGGACGACAAGTTTGGCACAAGGCCAGGGCGAGCGAGGGAGAGAGGGAGCAGGGAGAGAAAGGAGATAGTTGAGGAAGGAAAAAAGAAATGGGAGAGAAGGGGAGAGTTGGTTGGGAGTAGAGGGGGAGTTGAGGAGGGGAGAGTTGAGGAGTCTAGGTTACAGCCTCAACTTTCTTTTTTCGAGACAGGAACAGGAACAGGAACAAAAACAGAAACAGACAGAGGGAAACGATTGCTAAGAATCCGGCTTGTTTCCATTTCTTCCAGCTTTTCCCCGTTCTAACGGCGTGGATCCCCCGCCAGTCTCGATCCGGATGCGTCGATAACTGAATGCGGAATTGCATTCATTCTGTATCCATACTCTATTCTAGTATTCTCTATTCTAGTATTCTATACTTTAGTATACTATACGATATTCTAGTGTCTATTCTAGTATCTATATACCCAGGTACCTACTAGTGTAAAGTAAAGTGGAAGTCGCCGCGTCGCCCTCCACGCAATCGCTGTATGTGGCAGTGGCTGATTGTGTATCAACGTATTGAGAGTACCAGATAGTACCAGATAGTATCTGTCTGTATTGATGTATTTATGTATACTATGTACTAGTAGAGTAGAATATTCTGTGATAGTGAGAATACTAGATATACATAATAGTTATAGATATAATAGTTTCATTATAATATCACTTGAATGCTGCTAAATTTAGCCCTGAATTTTTTTCAACTTTCTAGTCCTTCGGTGCCACTTTGAGCCACTTGGGCTCCACCACTGCGATCGGCATGAAGTATATTACTCCAGTACTATTTACTATTACTACTACTATTACTATATTCTACTATGTTTGAGCTGGAATGTATCATCTAGTAGTTACTTAGGTAGATAATCCCTGAGTATACCTAGGTATCTAAATTAGAATAAGTTGAATAGAGTATGAACATGTACTAGTATCCCATAGTACCACTTCCGGTCACATCTAAGGATTAGCACGGCAGTACTGCATACTGTAGTGTACACAACAGAGTACAAGCACAAGCTCAAGCACAAGCACAAGCTCTACTAGGACAAGGACAAAGTACTCTGTACTTTATCCTCTCTCTATTCTGTACGGAGTATGGAGTAGCCCAAATCAAAACAAAACATCACAATGGCACCACATCACCCACCCTCCACAGCCAAGTCCCACAGAATAGGAATAAGATGGACCCAGTTCACGTCGTAGGGCCCACGCCCGAGGCAAAGGCAGAAAATTTGAATTCTCATCGCATCGCATCGCATCCATGCAGGTATGCACATGCTGCATAATACTGTACACTAGGTACTCCGTAATCCAGACCAACCAACGGCCAGGAAAGGCACGACCTGTCACGACAGCTGCAGCTGATTTCTTTTTCCAGACTAGGGCAGGGCAGGAAGGGCAGGAAGGGCAGGAAGGGCAGGGATGCATATGCGCCAGGAAGGGGGAGGCGGTGTTGATGGACAACATGCCAGTCGTGATCGACGCGCGTGCCGACTGCAAACAGCTCCATCCCTTGTCTACGGATTAGTCTGGAAACAACTTGAATTGACTGAGCGTGTACGAGTATGGAGTATGGAGTACGTGTGTTGATATTTATACTATACTATAGGAACATTGAATACCTGGTACCTGTACTATTCTCCAATATCTACTCCGTATCTTCGAGCTATCACAGTCCAGACTCCCAGTGGATCCAAATCACCACAATTCTTTCGCGGCCCACGGTGGAGCCCATCGGGTGGGTTCAAGTTTTCTCCGAGAATAATACAGGTACCGAGTACGTATGTGCTCCGTGGCATGCCATGCCATTGCATTGTTATCGACACGTACCGTGGGAACCACGTTTGCAGTAAATCCCCGGAAGCGGACATGTGTTGTGCTTCCCATCGCACTCGTACGGAGTACAGGGGGAAAAGATGCAAAGGAGAATTTGAACTTCTGTCCCCATGAAAACATCATGATCTTCTACTCCGCCACCTCATGAGGTCATGCCCGACCGGGGGCCAAGTGATGGGCAATTCGATGATTTCATTCTACTACCGCTTGATGATCTTCAGGAGGTAGCCATTGATAGCATAGCGGCGCGGATGGCTTGTGATGGCATGCGATGGCTGCCGATTTGATTTAATCTACAGAGTATCCGTACAGTATGTACATAATTAATCTGCTTGTAGATAGGACAGCCTCGCACTGGCTGAAACAAACCATGGGTCCAGTGCGCCCAGACAACGGCCGGCCACAGGAACAGCACTAGGGCGATGGCCGATAGTTAGTGCCGTGGATGCCAGACTAGGGACGATAGACGGCATTGGCGCGATGCAATCGAAGCATCTCGGAATCAGAGCAGACCTTAGCACAGTCCCAGACAGATACTCCGTACTCCGTACACAGTCCAGGTACGGGGCCGGACCGCATCGGCGGCCGGGAAAGGGGGCCAAGTTCAACAAAGTATCCAAGCATCAAAGTACCTAGTGAGTTAGTTCACTAGGTAACTAGTGTCTCAGGCACATGGACTGCGTCTCGTCCACTTAGGTCAGTGGCGGTCGGCACACACCAACCGCGGAGGGCACCGGATGCACTCGGCAGGGAAGAGAAAAACTCTGAGCACTAGGGTCCTCTCCCGCTGAGACAATGGCACTGGCACAGGGCAAATACTAGGAGATGGGTAGCATCGACGCTAAAGCAAGCCAGAGGGGTTTGGTGGGCATTGGTGCGAGGCCCGAGACAGACTTGGGGTTCAACAAGTTGGTTAGCTTGCCCGCTGCCTTGTTTTTGCATGGACTAGTAATTAGTACCAGGTACGAGTACGGAGCCTAAGAATTAAAATTAATTTTGAAAACCGTTGCTCAATTGCCTGTCAGATTAATTTTAATCCTCCACTGGCAGCTGTTGTCCAAGTCGCGAACACATCCGTGCTTATGTCTGAGTCCTCCAGGCTTTTTGACGTTCAAGCTGTGGATGTCGCAGATATAGTAGTATTAGACCCCACATTGAATCTGAAACTTGGAATTGAATTGAATTGAGATTTAACTTAATTTCTACTTCGTTACCATGTATGTAAAATATAATACCTGCGAAGCTTCAAGTTGAAGGTCGATCATCATCTCGCTCTCCCGCTCCCACACTACCGAGACATACTCCAGATAGCTGCCCATCAGGCAACAAATGCCGATCAACACCTGGGCAGATCACCACTGCATAGCCCATCTCCAAACCTTATCCTTCTCTCCTGAATACTACTAGTAGCACTAGTATAGTTCACGCCAGGCGAACAAAAGAAGAAAAAACCGGTCCTTCAGCTCTGTCGATCACACTAGCCACGCCACTGCTAGGCCTATCGCAGTATCTCGTACTCCGTACTCCGTACAGTCAGTCGCCTTTTTTTAGTGCCCGGGGACAACGGAGTGGCACCGTTCATTTCATTTAATTTGGTCATGTTTTGTTCAGTCTAGCGCAACGGCCGCGGAAAAGTGGAGGAACCCTGAAAGTGCACCGGGGAAAGGGTGCTGCTGCCAGTGGTGCCCGGGTGGAGGTGCAAGTTTATGTAGCACCTAGGCAGCCCACTGACTCAGGGACAGCCCGAGTGGCAGTTATCCACCTGGGCATCTGGGCAGGAAGCTTAGCATATACATCCGTGGACCTGGGCATTTACAGAGCTGGGTATATTCAGTTACCCAATGAAGACCTCGGCAGCAATCCTCGAATGCATGCTGGCCTAATAAATAATCCATTCGGAATTCATCTCCTTCTTTTAGATGATTTCTCTATTTTCCAAGTTAAAGTCGTCCCGAACGACTATCCAGGCCTCCACTTCGAAGGCAAAAAAGCAAAATCTACAGCACGAAGAAAACTTGAAAGCTGCAGATTGGATTCCGGAGCTATTTGCAAGAAGCGAAAGAAGGTACTTACTCCGTACAGAATACAGAGATAATTGTAAGAATCTTAATCGCGAGAACCGAAGTAGCCATTCACGGGTATCGACTGACCAATGTGAGAGATACTCTCACTATTTTGCTAGCTGCCCCTCCAAACCTCTGTGCTTTGAGAAAAATCTCGAAATTACTACTACCACTGGCAGTACTACCTGCCCTACTTTCGAAAGCCTAATACTACTACTAGTATATAATGAATCATGAGCACATACTTGTAGCGACTAATATTGCTTTCCAACCCAGTTAATCCACCCAATTACCATATTCGCATCATCAATATCAGTGGCCCGGGAGGACTGGTCGATAGAATTAAGGTAGCTTGGAGATCGACAGCCCTACCTAGTAGGTATGTTATATCATGATCTCTGGCTGAAGTCAACCTTGGAAGACCTACTAGTACTAGTATTGATATTCGCTCTTTGGGTTGGCAATCAAAATCGTGCCCACTGCCCAGGTGGCAGGTGAATGGTGAATAGGTACTAGGAGAAGATGTACCCCAAATCTCGAACAAAAAACTTCAATATAGTAGTACTACTAGTACTCCTGCTGAAAGTATCAATGCAGAATATTTCTACCACTATTTCTCCTAAATTTCATGATTTCAAACTTGAATTTGCGAGAACTTCGGATCGCGGTAGCCTTTAACCTTCAAATTCAAGTTCCAAGGCTTGAAGTCGTTCTTCACTACAGGGCTTGTATAGAGGCAGAGAGATGCTAGTATTAAACTACCTAGGTAGATGATTTAGGGGTGGCATTGTAGTACTATGATCCTCAGACTACTAGTACCACTACATCCATGAATCCTACTTCTAAAGACCTGGAAGTTTCCAAGCTTCAACCGAGTATCGCTGCTCAATATTTCCATTTCTCTGAATTTCACCAGGTTGATTCAATGTCTACAAATCCTGTCCTGCCTGCGTTCAAAATCGAGTGCAGGTCGGATGTGGTTAGACTGGTCGGAAGCTGTTAACCGAGATCAATCCCAGTTTATATTCATGTTCAAGCCTCTTTTGAATTCAGCATAGTGCATTGCCGGGGCGTTGATCGGCGGGGCAGATTTCCATGTTTAGAGCGAGTACTCCGTACTCCGGGGGCCGAACGGGGGGGGGCTCTCATGCAGTTCATGCATCTCAGGGTCCAACCACCTGATATAGAATATGCCCAGATTTAGTCCCTGGGATTTCAATCCTCTCTCAGATACACTAAAATGGAGTCTGTTGATACTTCACAGCCGAGAGAAAAACAATCACGTTCGAACCAACCTGTCTCGTTAGTCCCAAATACACCTTTCCACATGCTGTTCTACTGAGCAAGACAGACTCTCGTGTCCTCCTGCATGAGTGACCAGTCTATTATAGTATTTATTGAGTACGCACCCAGCCCCCACCTTGGCATGGCACTACGACCCCCTGAGGCTCTCCACGACCAACTGAATATTCCATCTTGTTTCCGCTCCAGCTTCAAGTTGGTTCTGCGCCATCCTCGCCATCCTTCACAAAACGCAAGAACATCCCCCACAACCCCGGAAACAACCAAGATGAGAAAAAGGCAATCAAGTGCGTCAACAGTCACCAATTCCGATGTTGAGTTTCTGGAGACACCAGCGGCTACTTATGCCGGTGCTGGGGACCTGGAGCCAGCAACTACAGATGTCCCGCTGCAGTGCCAGTACTAATTGACGGTCCCCAAGATTCGTTCCCAGACACTGCTACTTCCTCCGAATACATACCGCTCAGTCTCGCTACTCCCACGCCCCCAAGCTCCAGTATACCATACTATATCCCAACGACGGGAGTTTCCCCGACCCCAACCCCAACCGACTCCTCATCTTCATCTACTTCAAACAGTACATCCGATCAATCAAACAACCCATCACCAGGCCTTTCAGCAGGCGCTTCGGCGGGAATAGGAGTTGGCGTCGCCCTGGGTGTCCTTTCCCTCGCAGCCTTGGGATTCATCTTCTATCGGCGCCGAAATCGCCGATCAAAACAAACGGATCTCCCAGAGATATCACCAGAGCTTGGAACCGAGGGCCAGAAACTTGAACATCATGAGCCATCTGCGGAGGAGAGCGCGCGAGCGGAACTTGGCGTTGATGGACAGCAGCATGAGCTTGCTGGGGTCAGTGGTATGGACAAAACGGAGCCAGAGCGGAAGGGGAGCGGGAATAATCTGCATGAGTTGGAGTAGAGTGATGTGATGTGATGTGATGTGATGTTACTAAATACCCATTGTCTATTTTTCTGTTGCGTTTAAGCCCAGACTTTGTTTATAGGGTGGTATATTGTTGGTTAGATTTATGGATCAGCTTGATGGTCATTTTTGATATTTAATTTACGCTGGAAATTGGTGACCGTCGTTGAAGATACTGACGAGGATTCATACAAGAAGCCCGGGAAGACTTGGCGATAGCACCTAATAGTTACAACGTAAGATACAAGAAAAGAATCTTGAAAACGATGGTGGGAAAATCAGAGGGCCTCGGAAGGAGAGGAACTTGAAATTGCAGTGGATAGTTCAACATTAGAGTGCTTCAGATGTTCTTTCCTGGTGAGCGTGTCCTAGTCTAGAATACCTAGCAGCTATAACTATACACACCTTACTACTCAGGTAGAGGACAAGATAGAGATTCTGGGCGAAGGACAAGCTACTAGTACGACTGCCCCAGAGTAAAGTGGTAACACTTTTGAACCATTTTGATTCCTCGAGATACATGAGTCCGCCACATTGCGGCCCTAATAAAAACCATAGCTATTGCGCCATATCAAAACAGGTAAGAAACAAGAACGAAGTACTGGAGAGCGCCGGGTCTCGCGAGGAGTCGGCACTTAAGCCATGTAGGTCGTCGAGTCGACACCGCCCTCGGGGTACTCGGGAAGGGCAACCTCGAAGCGCTTCTCGATATCCTTCAGGACCTTCTCATCATCCTCGTTGCTGACGAAGGAGATGGACAGACCCTTGGTACCGAAACGACCGGCACGACCAACACGGTGCAGGTAGGAGTCGGCATCGGCGGGCAGATCGTAGTTGATGGCCAGGTTGATACGCTCGATATCAATACCACGGCCGAAGACGTCGGTGGCGACACAGATACGCTTGTTGAATTCCTTGAACTCCTTGTAGCGTTTGATACTGAGGTGCTTGTCAGTAAGGTCCTGAGTGAACGTTGCGACGGGGATAGAAAGGCTTACCGCTCCTCCTGGCTGACGCCGGAGTGGACAGCGATACTGGGGAAGTTGCACTCGCGCAGCAGCTTGTCGAGCTCGTTGGCACGGAGAGTGCTCTTGACGAAAATGATAACCTGGTTGAACTCCAGGTTGTCGAGGAGCTCGTTGAGCTTGCGGTTCTTCTCCTGCTCGCTCAGCTTGATATAGTATTGCTGCAGACCGTGAAGGGTGAGCTTAGTGTCGTCGTCGACGTAGACCTCGAGAGGGTTGCGCATGAACTTCTTGCAGATGGGGCGGATCTCCTGGGAGAGGGTGGCGCTGAACATCATAACCTGCTTGTCGGCGGGGGTGGCACGGAAGATCTCCTGGACGTCACGGCGCATGTCTACAGGAAAGGTGTATTAGAAAATCAGAACAGTTGGCATGTAGAACAACTCGAAACGTACCGATCTGGTCAAGCATCTTGTCGCACTCGTCAAGGACGAAAGCCTTGACGTTGCGGAGGGAGAGCTTCTTGTCACGGACCAGAGCGTTCAGACGACCGGGGGTGGCGACAACAATGTTGGGGTGGGTCTCCTTGTTCTGGAGGATCTCAACGTCCTTCTGGATGGGGGTACCACCGTAGAAGACAGAGGTCTTGACATCGGGAAGGTACTTGGAGAAACGAGCGTACTCGTTCTTGATCTGGTAGGCCAGCTCACGAGTGTGGCACATCACAAGGATTTGGCACTCGCCGGCAACGGGCTCCAGCTGGTGAAGAGTAGTCAAGACGAAGACCGCGGTCTTACCAAGACCAGACTTGGCCTGGCAGAGAACGTCGACATTGAGAATGGCAGTCGGGATACACACTTGTTGGACTGTAGGTAGGCGGAGCGGTGGTTAGACTTGTGTTCGATCAAGATGAAGCAGCAGAAACAGATCGCGTCGCAAATGTCCATCCATCTCCCGAAACCAACAAAAGAATATCGTAGAAGACTTGTATCGTCCTCTAGAACCCCGAGCAGAGAACCACAGCTGCCAATCGCAGCTTTACCACGCAAAGTCAGACTCTGCACTGAGGGGTCTGCCTACAGACGACATGAGGGACATCCGTGATTGGGAAAATATTACCAACGATCAAGGTCGCATTGCATTCCACATGGCACGAGAAAGAGCCAGGGAGGCAAAGAGAAAGGCAAGGCAACGCAATAGTGCGCGCCGCGTGGAAGAAATGACGACCATCGGGGGACCGTGACTTGGCTAATCTGATGTGATGCGCCAGAAAGGCAGCAGGAACATACGGCCAGGTGAGGCGGCAGAGCCGCTTCATTCATTTTCCAGTGAAAAAAATGTACTCCTCATGTCGTCTGCAGAATGTGGGGGACGATCAAGTCGCCAAAATACCGGCCGATTGTGGATTCTCGTGGAGATGGACGGACGTTGAAGCTTGAAAAGATGGAGGAAGGTAGGTGGGAGAAATGTTAGACTAACCCTCCGATGGATGCTCGAAGCCGCAGTCGGTAATGGCGCGAAGGAGTTCACCCTTCAGCAGGAAATCACGGAAACCAGTCGAATGGATACCGACATAGCTACCCTTCTTGTCGGGACGGCCAGAGACGGTCAGATCACCCTCCTTGGCGGCATCGCCATTGGAATCAGTGGGAGCCGCAGTGGTCGCGGGCGCCGCGGTGGTCTGAAGCTCCTCGTCGGAGTAATCGATGAGATCTTCCTCGTGAGACATTTTGCGGGTGGATGGGATTAGGTTGAGGCTAGAGGTGGTCGATGCGCGTTCTTCTCGTTCGCGAGAAGTTGGAGTGAAGGAAGTAGAGAAGGAAACGGGGGAATTAGGAGTAGAAAATGAGAAAGAAGGGTGGATTATCGATGGGCGACAGTCCTTGGGGTGTGTGGGAGAAGGACGAAGTTCGACGGGGGGTCAAGATGACAGAGCGAGATGCGGCGAGGGATGAGCCACACCAGGATGAGTCACGTGACTCAATGAGTCCGAATGCGGGAATCACGTGGTATCAAGTTGCTCTTGCTGAAAGAACTCTTTGATTCTTGGATATCTTTGATACTTCCATGTCAACCAAGATAATTTAAGACGCTCAGCTCATATTTCTTCACAATGGGAAAAGTCAAAGCCCTCAAAGAAGGCAAAAATGCGAAGAATGCCAAGAGTCACTTCAAAGCCCGAATGGAGTTCTTGGATAAGGCTGCAAATTATCTGCAGGCCGTAACGACCGCCCCAGTCTCAGTGTCAGTCTCAGCACCAACACAAGCAGCTGGAAGAGATGATCAAGAATTCTCTGACAAAGAAGCGGAGAAACACATGGTGCCCGAGCACACTCTCAACAGCTCTGCAAAAGAAGCCGTGAAATCGGAAACCGACATTCACAGCCGTCAAATGAGCAAAAAGCCTTTGGCAAACATCTCAAGAGTTTATATCTCACATATGCGCGGAGTGTCCCTCAAGACGCTAACCCGTCTTCCGGTACCAACCAAGCGATCGTTCTGCAAGCGTTGTGAAACACCTCTGACTTCCGGGGTGACCTGCTCCCAGGAGATCCAAAACGCCAGCCGAGGACGCAAGAAGCCGTGGGCTGATGTGAAAGTTGTACGTTGTCTGGTATGCGGAACCGAGAAGCGATTTCCGGAGACAGAGCGTAAAAGCAAGAAGCTCGTGGAACGTCGACAGCAGAAGCAGGAGCAGGAGCAGAAGCAGATGGAGGCAGAGGTACCAATACCGGCGCAGGTACAGCTGCAATCACAAACGCAAACGACTCAAACTCAGGATGCAACTTCATGAGGCTGTCCAGATCAGCAGTCTTTCAGCCTCAAGTCCCACCCGCTTGCGTGGAGCGGCTCACATTGCATGAAATTTAACGGCCGAACTACTGTATCAACATGTGAAAATGCAGGAACTAAGATCTCTGGCATACTACAACCCAACGATGATGGTGGTTATGCGGCACTAAGATCTAGCTCGCATCAGCCGTGATACTACCTAACCGTGCACCACAACCCCGATCATATGGCCACCAGACCAGTAATTAACCACCAATCCAAGGTCGGACATTTATCGGCTAAAGGTCCGTTCTCTGTTTGGTGGAGGGGGAGGGGGAATAGACTATACTACCCTGGTATATTGCGAGCTATTGGAAGACTCACACGTGCGGCAAATCCCCAGGGCCTTTGCGCACGCAGACGCCTCTTTTCTACTGGCGATCCGCATTTGCACCCGCATCCGCCGACATGCATGAGCCTCCCCGCCGGCAGGTACAACTACGACCTCGGCAGAGCGGAATATACTTCGCAAAGCGAATACCGACTCAACTACCGGGAGAAAAGTTCGGGAAGTGGAGTGAATCTGTGATCACCTTAGAGTTGACGGGGCCAAAAAAGGAGACAACCTAAACCAATATACACAAAACATGCAAAGAGGGGAATCGAAACCACAGGGTGTGATCATAAGTCACAAGCAAATCAGAGCAGAAAAGAGAACCAGGTCATGTTTATGCGCTCGAATCGAGAAGGGAAAGAAAAAAAAAGACAACCATTAAAGAAAACAAAATTCCATCGTCATGATAGTCGTAAACTTGGGCAGCGGGCCTTGAAAGCGAATGTTCGAGTATTCAAAACGATGTAGGGTGTTCGTAAAAGTGAAGTGGAAGTGGTAAACACGATAGAGACAGCTTCGGCGCCATCAGTTTACTGCAGTTTTTAGGGGCCGTCGACTCGTGAGTCTGCTGGTCCAAAATATGCCGCGAGGCGTGCAGTTCTTTCATCCAACTGTCGATTATTCAGAATGAGGAAACCCAGAGAGGGATATGAGGTGAGTCAAATGCAAAGGTATCGAGTAGGGACTAAACGAAAGGTGTCCGCGAGGACGGCGCTTATATATAAGCTTACTCTTTTTTTGGTGTTTTGATTTTTGCGTTGTTGATGGTGGGCAGAGAATGCGGTGAGATTGAGGGAGGAGAGTGTAGAGATGTAGGATGTGTTTGGAGCGGTTGAAAAAGGGTAGTATTTATGTCGAGTAGAAGAGTGAAGCCATGTCCAAGAGGTGGCGCGCGTTTTGGGAGATATTGTTATCCGCTTATGGCGTTGAGGTGTAGGTTGGGTGAGAAGGGTCGGTCAGCGTCGCCGCCGCGAACTTTGATCCATGCGATGATCAATAGTCTCGATGCGACCCCGAAAAGACTTGACGATATCTCGAATGTGGGAGATCTTGGCCAACTCGTTGTCTAGGTCGTCGATGGCGGCGAGGATAGAGCGGGTGCGGGCGATTTCGGCATCGGCATTACGAATGACATTCCCGGCGCGGTCGTAGCTGTTTTGAATGGAGGCTTGCATCTGATCCTCTAGCTAAAAGGTAGTAGATCTGTTAGCGTGGGGAACCCTAGGGCAAGACGATGACATTGCGACATATGTTGTTGACCGCCGGAGGGAACGCACATATTCGATGCGGCCGCGAATCTGAGCCTGCAGGCCATCCAGCTGGTGCGACAGGGCCCGCAAACTCATGGGATCCAGCAGCAAGCGGCCCTGACTGCTGGCGGCGCTGGTGGCGCGTGAACTGGAGTTGCTGGTTCTCCCCGTTCCCCTGCCCCTGGAAACCCCATTGCCGGCATGGCCGCCCTGCAGGGCAATCTGCTGCTGTTGTCGGAGGATCTGGATCTCGGAGGAGGTGAGGCCAAGCGAGGTGTCGGGGATCGAGGCTGCTGAGACGGACATTTGGTCCCGGCAGAGACATGCTCCTACGAGCCGATCAAAGATGTGAGGCCGAGCGGACCGTAGGTCATGATGAACGGGGGAGAGGGGAGGGGTTAAATATTGCGAAGAGGGGAGAGAGAGGAGTGAAGCTTGGGTGGAGAAGCGAACAGAGGTCTGAGAGAGGAAGAGGAAGAGAAGAGAGAGCAAAAAGAAAAAGTCGGGAGGGGAGAATTCTGGCGGCCCGTGACACTGTGGAGGAGACTTAATGGTCTGATACAGTACGAAGAGTAGTATTAGCTATACTAATAGTAATAGTTGATAGTATATTATTATATAACTACTATTACCATTGGTATTACTATAGCTGCTAGTAGAGCTACTATAGGAATGGTAGATTAGAGACATATCTAGTATACCTAGTATATTTAGTAGGTATACTAGTACTAGGTATTCTATACTTGATTCATTGATTTATTGAGTATATAGATAATTAGCTAAAGAGTAGCTACCAAAGTACTGTGTTGTAGTGACTAAATAGTAGATTATACCTAGTACTGTAGTGCAGTGTAGTAGCTCTACTGGCAACTCCGCTCCGCCTTCCTCTCTCCACTTCTACCATTCCAACCATTCCAGTTCAACCACCACCACCAACACCACCACCACTGCCCGAAGTGAGGCTGAATCTCCAGCCTATCTGCAGCTCCAAGTACACAGACGCGATCCCCCCCCACGCCGCTTCCTTTTAGTCGCCCAGTCCAGCTCGCTCATTGCTCCGACCTTCCTGCGGGCCCTTCCAACCTGACTTGACGGCCCGACTGCAAAACTGCGCGACGGCCCATTGGGAGCCACCGCGCGCTTTGGTCACTCCTTGCTGCACGCTTCTTGCGTCCGCGAGAGTCTCACCCGCCTGTCATCGTTCTCGCTCGTACCGATCCCTGACAATTGGGTCTCTGGGCCTCGCCCGCACCCTCTTTTTCTCCGCACGTGAAACCCTCGTCCATCGAGACGCGCCCAGATCCCTAGCCCCAACACTTTTTTCCAAGGCGTTTGGACGAGGCTGACGACGCCATCGACTTTGATTCGACAATTCGCGGCTCTTTCCTCCCCGGTTCTAAACCCGATCTGCGACTCATCACGAGACTGCCCACTACCTCCACTACCACGACTACTACCCTCGATCGGGATTCATTATCATCATGGCCAAGGACAAGGAAAGGTCAGTCAACCCTGCCGCCGCGCAGCGGAAGCAGGATAAGCAGAAGACTCTGAAGAAAGGCAAAGCGGAGGCGCTGGCTCGCCGCAATGAAAAACTTGCTCGGCGCAATCCCGAACGAATCCAGCGACAGATCAATGACTTCAAATCCATGGAAGAATCGGGTCAAAAATTACGACCCCGTGACAAGGAGCTCCTCGAAGCGCTCGAGAAAGATCATCGGGCCGTTTTGAAAGCTCGCGAAGCTCTCGGCGACAAGGCACCCAAGTTCCACAGCGGAGATGGTGGCCAACATCACAGGCAGGACAGGGACAGGGACGGTGGCGACGCAGTTCTCGGGAAACGGAGGCGCGATTCACAATTTGCGCGATACCAGGAGAGTGATAGTAGTGAGACGGATGAGGAGGTGCGCAGGATACCAATGCCCCGGGATACACCTCCTCCGATTCCGCGCCCGCAGAGAAAACGTGGTGGCGGTGCGCAGAACGAAGGCTCGGAGCGTCGGGGACCACACGCGCTGCCTTCTAAGCCTGTTGCGGTTGTTGAGTCTAAGTCGGTCTACGAAGCCAAGCCTGAGATTCGGAATCTACGGCAGGAGGCTGTGAATAAGTTCATCCCCGCGGCTGTTCGAATGAAGCAAGATTCCATCAAGGGTCAAGGGAAGCTGCTTGAGCCGGAGGAAATGGACAAATTAGAAAAGGCGGGGTATAAGGCGAATGTGGGAGCTTCACGGACCGAACAGCCATCTACAGATGAGCAAAGGTCATTGGAGGAAGAAGAGGCTCGCTTCAATCGCGAGATGCGGACTGTTCAGATTGAAGAAGTCTCGGACGAAGACGCTTAGACTGGCACAGCCACTATTGAAATGTAATAATAACGTCTAGTATGCAAATAGTCTGCTGTCTGCAGCTCCACATTCAGTGCCGCTTTGCCGGATTGAAGACGTCGACGATCTTCATCCCGTTAATACCACCCCACGTAAGGCTGAGCAAGAGTTTACCCTGAAGACAGCAATTTCTGGTTACTACTGAGTATCAATCTCGAAGCTCAACTTGAGCTGCCTTGAATACACCTTAGATACGGTACTAAGTGCGCTGTCAATCAATCACGCTATTGAGCAGGCATTCCGTTATATCCGAGTCTTCATGCCGAATATTTCCAATTCCAATTCGAAAAGTGCTTTCAATCTTGAGTATTTACTTATCATTTGGGACAAGAGATTGGCCACAGACTACTACTAGTAGTATCTACCAGTAAGTACTTTCCTCCAAGTCCTTGTAGATATCATCCAATGCAAGGCTAGTATTTATCCCATAGCCCATGTCCTATGTTGATACCTACTGGGTACCACTACTATAACTACTAACTAGTATACTGCCAGCATGACCTCGGTGTACGCCGTATTCGATACCTAGGTACGAGAGCATTCAGTTCTACGTCATGAACCGGATTTATGCAACAGGGGCAAAGTTACCTCAAAAACCTTCAATCTTGGATCTTCCTCGATGTGGCTGCCTGCGCCCCAAAAGACCCTTAAAATATTCGAGAGCCAAGGAAAAGTCTGAGGATCAATTTTGTGGTAAAGCTGAAAAAAGCCCCTAAGTGGGGAATCGGTCAGGGTCCGCGGTCGTTGAATGGTGCCGGTTGAAACCGCAACTTGCTGGAAACAGTATTGACCACCGACCATTTTTCCTTTTGGAGATAGAGTTATGTGGAGCTACCGTCAATTTAGTGAAAATGTTTCACCTCGGCTGTGAGGTCGAAGTTTGGGACTTACTTGAAAGAATGTTAAGTCTTCTGGAAAGCAGGATTGCCCTGACGTGGGGAATACTTTTTTTTTCTCGGGCTCTTCATATCGCCAACGTTTTTAACGGTTAACGAGTGAAGTACCCTTTTAACACTCATTTATTGTTCACATCGGTCAAAATGTCAAAGCGATTTTCGGGAAATGAATGGGGTTTTGCAGGGGTCATGGCCGTACAGGCTCTGGTGATCCTGGCATTGGAAATGTAAGTCAGCCCATACCTCCACAGGGTCATCTCCTTCTCTCCATGTATTATCTATGGAGACAAAATCCAGAACCATTCCACTCCCCGCAAAATGAGAATGAGACAGTTTTCTAATCGACTAACCCATTCAATCCAGTTACATCCTCACACAATGGCAGAACTGGGTCACACCCATAGTCCTGCAAGTCACGGTCTCCTACACGGTACCGATAGACATTGCTATCGTCATCTTCGCCTGCTTTTACACAGGTGTCTTGGCCGTCGATGCAATCTACTTTAAGAATAATATCCAACTTCTAGCGATATGCATCAGCAGCTGTCTCATTCTTGCATTCGCGGCGATGCAGTACCGCGAACTGCTAGAGATTTCCATCCGCCTGCCTCAACAGTACGACATGTACTATGAGCCCCTGGTACACAGGGAGATGGATTGGTGGGCCTATGTCCAACCTGCCGAATTAGCGGTGAATCTCATTTTGGGTATTTGCATCTTGCCGACGTGGTTCTTTGCGTATCAGGTGCATAAGGAGTATAAGTGGGCTATTTATCGCCGAATTCATGGTGATACGAGTATCAAGATCAGATATCTTGCGTACGAGGTGAGCACTTTTTTTTATTATTTCTCTCTGATGCCCTATTTCAATCATTATAACTTTTGCTGATTCCTTTCCAGGTCTTTCTCGTTTTGACGAAGCTCAATTTCTTTTTCTCTGTTGGCTTTATCATCCAGTATAACCTTATCGACGTCCACTTCGAGGAGCCGGAGTATTCACTGACCATGGCCTTGATCCCGGTTGTATTCTTCGCCATGATTCTCAGCATTTGGTTCGTCCGGAAGGAGTGGAAGTGGGCAATGATTGGAATAATCGTAAGTACCGCACGATCATTATTCCATAAGACGACATCTGATTCACTAACAAGCGTTCCAGATCTGCTACGTCGCACTCATCGCCTATTTCCTGAGTCGAATTATCACCCTTTACGGGCACGGACTCCTGGCTCACACAGCGGGTAAAGACAAAATGCTGCTTTTTTCGATAACGGCAGTCGTTTTGTCGTTGTTGAGTGTCGTTTGTGCCATTCAGTGCGTTGTTAACTTTGGCCATGGGTTGAGGTCGGTCATTCAGGCCAAAGGTCATGAGTCTTATCAATTTCGCAATGTCTCGAGTCCGACATCGAGTGTTAGTTCGCGGTTTGGCGTTGATTAGATGGGATTAATCTATATTACTATTATGATAGATCTATAATTTTTAATAATAATGAGATATGAATGTAAAATATTGATTCTCCTTTAATACGGTTTTATTGATAGGGGGACAGTCCCACAACCCAGCATAACTCGTAGTAGCTTGGTGGATATGTCTCTACCATTTTCATGATCAATTTTGCTGAGTATGGAAATTGAGAAAAGGCTACAAAGGTTTCTAGAATGAAGGAGATTTCGAAATACCACGTCCTCCTCCTGGGTGAGCAGAGCTAAGTCCAAGTCTTGTTGTCGGTCCGGCACTCACTTTAAGTTACATAGTATGATCGGCTCGAGTGAGACGGGTCGTAGAATATCGTAGCGGTTAGTTTTCAAAGGAGAAGTCTGAAATGATTGTTCTGACTCTGTGTAACAGCCCCCATAATGAAGTGAGCACCTTCTAATGTGGGCGGAGATATTGGCGAGGCTAGTATAGGACGTGTACGATAGCTTGTATCACTGCTGTCCTATTGATGAAATAGATAGTAGAAAAGTATTTCATAATAACTCTCCGAGAGTTTGAAGAACGTGCCGTTTTTTCTTTTCGGCTTCTTTCTTTGATATGGTGATACAGTGTCGGATGATGCTACTCGAATGCAACAAAATACCGACGGTATAAACACCTAGGTAACAGATTTCCCATGCAAAGTCTTGGCTTTCCCCTTCTGTTTTAGTGCTCAGTGAGCGCCGCTTTTGCTCTCCGAGCATTGCTCATATGAAAGCCGGCTGTCCGATTCGAGCACCCTAATAAAACGTAGCACGCTACCCCTCACAAAAGTCCCTCGCTATTTTTAGAATGTCTTAAATAAGGCCATCAAAAAACATAAATAGCTGCAAACTTGTGTAGGAATATTAGCTCCTAGGAGCAAACACCCAGAGTTGTTCACCTCAATAGCTAATGGATACCTATCTAGTGACTTTATACTCTTAGGAATAATTCTCTAAGTTTGCTTTATATACTACTTTCTATAGAGGTCAAAGGCTAGAGAGCTAGAAAGCTAATTTTCTATAACTTCTAATTAGATCTATACCTAGGTATATATTCGATCTTCAAAAAAGAAATAGCTTATAGCACTTCAATAGCCTCCTTAAGGCTAAATACTACTAACTAACATAATCTTATAGGAAAATTAATCCTATAACTCCCGATCGAAGAGAGAGCGAGATTTCTTACAGCGGCTAATAAGCAGGCAATAAGCCTATAACGCTTTACTAATCCTAGGAGCTTAGATTTCGATTATTAACTCCCCTACCTATCACAGATCCTAAGAGCGAAGAAAATATAATAAGTCTCGCAAATATATTAAGGGGCCACGAAAAAGCTATACTTCAGAAGCTATACTCAATACGGGCGTTTACTCTTAGCGTCTCGAGTTATAAATACTGGATATCTTATTGAGATCACAGAGCTATCAGAAAATATAATTCTCTCCATTATATTTTATCTAGATTAGGGTGTTGAGAGTCATTAACAGAATTTCTGGAGCGCCTGGGAATCAAAAGAATCACAAATACGACATCTGATTGTTCCAGTTGTGGGGGTCAATCCGCTTGCTGTCAAACAAGAACTATAAAAGGAAGGCTAGATAGCTCTGACCAGCAATAATTTACTCTCTTTCACCTGGAACTTCTTTTCTGCATTGTTAATTTCTATTTCAGATCTTAGCCAGCAACAAGATAGCACATTCGATCCTCAAAATGGATTTTCGGACGGGTCGTGAAGCCAGTAATGAACAGAACTTGCGAAACAACAAATCTGGATCATACCCACGAGGTTCCTCCACTCGGAGAGGCTACCGACGGGCTGATTTTGTAAAATTGAGGAGTGAAAAACAAGTCGTTCCTTGAATAGAGCAAGTAATCTGGAAAACCCCGCTATATCCGATGTTTACCAACTGGCTAGAATCACGGGAAAAGTTGAGAACAGAGCAGATGATTTTAAGCCACATACAGGATCAAACTTTTTAGCACCGGCTTGATCAAAGAGATCATTATTCACCTCGAAAATTCGATGTATAATCAGCGTGCGTTGAAGAAATCTGCGGTAACTGGGGCATAGACTCAATAGAAAAAGCGCCTCCAATGTACTTCACATTTTCTGCTTTGCATTTTCTGCTTTGAAAATTGTGGAGATGTGCATAGTAGGTGATAAAACTATAGGCAAGTATCGAAGCGAAAAGGAGGAACACAATATCATAATATCGCTATTAGAGACACACAATCAGGGTAAGTCTAGAGCAACTCGGGCTCTAGGACACGGGCTTTATGGATAAATCTAGGCGTCCCACATCTTAGAGTAAGAGGAGGGCATATCACCGCGAATGCCGTTGAAATAGTGACCAAGAACGTTCAGGAAGTGTTCCTCGTCAGTCGGGCTTCCACCTCTTCCATAGAACTCCCAACTAAGGCCATAAGGCGGTACATCATCGTCATAGCTGATCACGGGAAGGTTGACGACATACTTAGAAACCTGCTCACCACCGCTGAACAGGGCACCGGCAAGGAAAGAAGTATCGACAGTGCCACAATACGTCTTGCTACCGTCGTCATTGATGCCAAATTCTTGCTGGAACCAGGCAGCGCTCTTGGCGAACTCGAGAGGATCAACGGAGAACTGGTCGAATTGATCAACACCCTTAGGGCTGCTCCAGTCATCATTTGAAAGTGCAGTCAGACCCTGGGACTTGACAAAGAAATAGCAAAGATCACCATCGCAAACGCGGCTAGCATCGTCGGATTGCTCAAGCTTGATATCTTTGGCAGGGCTTCCATTGATGTTCTTGGCGGTGACAATGAAGACACCCTCGGCTTGCCAAGCAAGGTTAATGGCAGAAGAAGCAATTCCCTTGATGAAAACATCCCCGCTGGCCTTAAAATCATCCGCAGAGAAAGGATCCGCAAAGGAACCGTTCATGAAAATCTGGGGGGGGCACTGCCAAGGTGCTCATGCCATTTGTTGAGTTCTTGAGAGTTATCGGGAACTGTGTTGATAGCGTCCACAGCAATTTTGTTGATGACCTTTGAAATAGCATCTGTCACGTTGTAGATGGCCCGTTCAATGGTAGCAATGTTGTCAAACTCATTTTGGAGACTAGTAAAAGAAGGTCAGTTTCTTCTCGGTGAACTGAAAGCAAAAAAGTTATCTCACATTTCGGGCGCACTCTGCTGAGCGGCGTCATGGATTGCCTGGGCACCTGATGCAGCACCATACAGAGAAGACGTCGCACTACATGCTTCACACATAATAGTCATAGGGGTGAGCATGGTCAAGACATTGCCAGCCAGAGCCATACCAGCACTTTGGCTATCGGTTGACACATCATGCTCAGTGAAAGTGTTGACAACATCATTCGCGCGACCTTGCCAGCTGGCACCCAGTACTCTGACGCTGTTAGAGACTGCAGTCGACCATTCCCAGAAGTTTTTAATTGCTCCAAGAATGAAGTATATATTAGGCATGGTTGAATCTCCTGTGAAACTCTTGCAAGCGCTGACGTCGCCAACATTGATATCACATGTTGGATCACCAACAGTGCAGTGTTCGTTGCCCCAAGCAGCTTGATAGATCATGTAGTCCGAGAAGACGTCATTAGGGAATTCTTCCTTGTCGTGGTTGTAAACATTTTGAGGGAAGTATGTCGCGCTAAGCAGAGTCAGAGAAGGTCACGGGGTGTCATTGATATCTCATCCAAAATTGAATTATACTCACAAGAAACTTGTCCACTTGTCCAAATCATACTTTATCCAATTTTCTCTGGTCATGCCGTTGTGCTCACAGATTGCCACATTGGTGGCCTCGGCTTGTGATTCTGTAGTCGTGGTGGAAGTTTCGGCAGTGGTAGTGGTAGTCTCAGCAGTAGTAGTCTGAGCGGTAGTTGCAGGTGCACTTGGCGAGATGGATGCAGTGGCAGATCGAGCAACAATGTTGCCTGGAAGCGCCAATGTTCCAGCGGCTGGTCTGTATATCAGCAAGGGAATCACCTGGGAACTAGAAGGAAAGCAAGATCTCAGAGCAACTTACCAAGCAAGGAGCACAAGAGATGGTACTTCATGCTGTATGGTTCAAAATTTCTTAGTATACTCCTAGTACTAGTATAACTTGAAGAAGTCTGAAGATGGCTTTCGTTTGCTTGTTGCTGAGGATATGATCCGACCAGAGAAATGCTGCTCTTTATAGATTCTTCAAAGCCATATATACAACGATCATGTACACTATTGTAGCTCTATTCAATTCCTTAAAAAAGGGGCTATCCCCAGTTCAACTGCCCACTGAGCTTTCCCCTTTCTAGAAAAGACCTGCGATAAGTGCAAGCAAGCGAGGATCGCATCGTGCCAAGATTGGGGGCTGTTCCTGATCGTCCCTTTTTCAAGCCACTTAGAGAGTTAAGTGCGATTTTCAGCCCCCCTATGCAACCTTTGGCGTACTCTTGTGGATCTTGAAAATATCAACAGACCCCACGTTAAAGGGCAATTTCGCTTCTTCCTAATTTAGCACTGAAGTGCGACCGTAGTACTTACCCGAGCCAATACTGTTGCCCTTGACTCGATAAACTTGCCTATAAAAACTCACTTTCTCCACCGTCTAATAGCGCTATAATATTTCTTCTTAGTTTTAGATATCCTCTTATCCTTATTACAAGTGGAATTCTTATGGACGTGAGTTCTAAATATATAGCCGTTTTTTTTTCGGTTTATTTTTTAGCAGGACCCTTTTATTAAGCAAAGAATAGCTTAAGTTCTATAGCTAAGATAAGAAAATAATTATAGCAGTACGATAAATAGAATACAATACTATAGATTAAAGAGTGAATAAAAAAAATGGAATATAGAAACAAAGAGTAGAGAATAATTTAGCTTTGATTTATACTTAAGATTCGATAAAGAGGGAGCCGTAGATAGAATAAGTAAAGAGAGACTATTCCTATAGCACTATATAACAAAGATAAGTCTTTGCTTTTAATTAAAATTTTTATTATTATTATATCACTCTTTTAATCTATTCTAGGTTAGTTGAGCTAGGACTAGAAAAAATACCTTAAGAAGCTGAAGCTTAGCAGACCATTAAAGAAATTCTGTTGAAGCACTGTTATAGGGCTGAGTGCTAATTTTGGTTCAGGCCGGGTATAAGCTGGGTGTTCAATAAAGGCCTCGGATCAGTCTCTGAGTAATCACAGAGCAATCATGATCACTCAGAGATGCTCAGGGCCTTACTAATTAACCACGTAATCTGCTCTGAGCTGCTCAGTGAGTCTGAGCCCAGACTGAGATCTACTCAGTGAGTCTGATTCTGAGCGCCCTCATTAAAGCGACGGCACCTAGAATAGGAAAGCCCCACATTGCATAGGAAATATGTTACGTATAGCTACCTAGGTATGAGGACTAGCTCTTCGCAAGTCCATATTCTAATTCCAGGTCTCCGGGTCCATCGCTCTCATCATGATTATCATTCGCTTTTTATTCATGCTAATACACTGCATCTTCGCCCTCTCTATTTCCCAGGGTGGCTTCGTCGATAGCTGTAACGATCTTAAGCTCGTTGATACGTCTCTTCATGCAAGCTGCCGTCGGAATTCAGGTGAATATATGGATACTTGGCTAGATCTGAACGGTTGCATTGGAAATAACAATGGACACATCGTGGTAAGACAACCGATAACTGAAAGTCTTCATATTTAGAGCAAGACTCCCGTACTAAAATTCACCTAGTGTAGCGGGTAAGATTAAACGTATAGAAGGAATTAGTACCATTTTAACACAAAGCAGTGCCGCTTACGGGTCCTCTTGTAAGGACTGTTCAATTGCGCACGTCACTACTTTACGGTGCAAGTGTCGTATTCGAACCGATGCTGTCTACGTTCGAACTGCGATTAATCTCAGTACGCTGAGACCAATCCATAGCCTTGAGGAATTCAAAGATAACACTTGGACTGATTTGCTTGTCATTTTGAGATATTTGCATCACCAATGTGGACGGCCGTTTGGTTTGTTGATTAGAAATATGCCCTTTGTAAGATAAGATGCTCAATGCTTCCAAAATCCAAGGACCTCAGCAGTTCTTCAGAGCTCGCGACTTTGTCACGTGCCATCATCTATTACTTCGGCAGTCTCAATCCGGAAAAAACACTCGGACACAGTGAGTGTGAACGGATAATAGGTGGTTGAATTGGCCTCAAATGAGATGAGAATCGAGTGGTTGCCAAAAAATAACACGATTTTTTCTATGATCTTGAATCTATCTTCCCCTCCTAGTTGGGGATCTTAGATGCCATCCCGTATACAAGTGGGGCCCGGGATCGAACCTAGAAATGCGGACCGAACCATACAAAAATTGGCTTTGGCTTTGGATATGATCAAAATATCTTTAACTTTAACTCAACGGCCCGATCTGTCTCCATTTGTTTTATACTGGTAGCGGTGGTGATGGGGGAGGGGAGAGAGGAGAGGGTGCGTACATAGTACGGCCCTAAAGTCCCGAGGCGTCAGCCACCACATCCATGGATAAGCATAGTTTCAACACTGACAACTACCAATAAGAGCTATGGATCATGGGGAAATAATTTCCCCAGGTATAGCGTGATGTGAATGCAAATACTTCAAATACAAGGGGATTATTTGATTAGATTATTCTCTAAGCGGTATATGTACGATGCAAGTCGTCTTAAGTATGTACTCTATCCATGGGTTTCTCTCGACAAGGTGCCTCAAGGGCTTTTTAACCAGCTTGGGTGTAGATGGTGTTGTTGGTCACAGCCTCAGCGGGCAGCCACTGACCGGCGATGGTGTTGTTGTAGGTGAGTTGGGCGAGTGTGAAAGTGTGAAGCTCGGAGACCAAAACAGTCTTGTCCAGGGGAAGAACACGGTGCACCATGGCGTTCTGTGTAGGCATAGAGATGTACTCTTCGCCAGCAACAGATTTGATACCGGCGTCAAAAGTAACGCGGATCAAAGCATCGGGGGAGTTGGTGCTCAGCAGCGATGTCGACAGGAGCCACAGGGCTGGGCCGTCGGCGTCAGTCGATGCGTCGGCAATGTGCAGCAAACCAGCATTGACGCCGAGCAACGGGTGCTTGAGCTTGAAGAATTGGAACTTGCCATTGGCTCCGATGTGGCCAAAGGTTCCGGTACCGCCAGTGGCATTACCGGCAAGAGTGAACCAAACACCACTCATGGCACCGGAGCCAGAGATCATTCCGACGGCGTTGTTACCGACGCTTGGGGGAATGTGCATCTGCTTGGTCGCACCGCTGGTGGCGTTGATGCGCATGATAGACGAGTCGGTGTCCTGGGTAACGTAGATCAGGCCGGTGGTAGGCTCCTCCTTGATGAACACGGGGCTGTTGAGGCATGGGTAGAGGTGGTGGTTGGTGGAGTTGGAGATATCGGCAGAGAAGACATAGTACTTGCCAGTCTGCTCGGACGCGACCTTAAGACCAGCCCAGACACGGTTGCCAATTTCAAAAACACAGTGAGGGCCATTTCCAGGAACAGGGATATCAATCGTTTGGATGATGGTCGGCTTAGTCGCGAGGTCGTGACCCGGGTCGACGAGAATGAGCTTGTTGTCGGCCTGCAGCGACAGCCACATCTTTCCGGGGTGCACAGTCGATGGCCACACGCCGTGAAGCATGGAAGAGTTGTCTTTGCCCATGGGGAATGCCTGGAAGGCAATGGGTTCCTCGGTGGTTGCGTCGAGCTCGATCTTGATCAACTGGCTGTCAGACATCTGGGTCAACAGCACGAAATTCGTGTTCGGCACGCGGGCGAATTCGTGCGTCTCAGTTGCAACTGGCATCAAATACTCCGTGATGCGACGGCTCACAAGCGAAGTGGAGGATTGCTGCGCCGACACGCTGGCAGCGCCGAACGCCAGCGCGACCACGAGTGACTTCAAGGCATTGCGAAACATCTTTGGAGCTCAACTTTGCTTGGTACTTCTTTAACAAGGGTTTGCTTGATATTTTACGCATGGGGGCGAACACCTCCTATTTGAACCACCCGGCAAATGATTGTGATGAACGCCACAAATACCCACGATCTTGCACTAGTGATTTAACAACTCATCTCGTTCTCTGCTCGTATCTTATACTAGTCCGAACGCATGGAAGTCATACTGTCTACCCGCAAAGGCGCGCCACAAAACCGATCCAATACCAAAGAAACCAAAGGCCAAAGCGGGCTGGCGCTGATGGTGGAGCCCTGGGCTTGAACAAATTTCTTCATTGGTATCCTATCATGTTTTCTTCATAATCAGGGTATAGTTTCCGAGATCGAGATGGCGATCAACTCTTTTTTGAGAAGAACTACGGAGTACTCTGGACTTTGCGGTAAGCGAATTCACATTATTGAATACCCACCGGTAAGGCTGTGTACATACGGAGTACCTCTTTCGCCTGAGTGGCTCTACCGATTAATATTCGACTACAGTGATCGACCCCTGCTGCTATTCAGGCATCTGTTCGTCATCCAAAACGCCATCAGGATCATGATTCAATCAGACATGGAACACTGGTTCGCATTGGCTGCAGGGGATGGGGGGGGGGGCTGATTCAAGTGGGGTGTAACAATGCCGATCGAAAATGGATCTGGCGGATCTGGTAGTCCCGATTCGGAGCATTTCCGGCACTAAGCAGCTCCCCGAGACAAGCCAAACCAAATATCACCATTTACCCGGATAGGTCCTCCTCATTCTCACGCTGTAAACCATTCATATGTTCACGGTGTTCGTATAGAAGCTATCATTCATCATTCCACAGCGGACACGGAGTGTGCCGTATTTTGTGCTATTGAAATTGATAGGGAATTGATGCAGTGACCCACCGCTTAGTCATTCCTAACAAATTCTTCCTCTCTCTTCTTTTCTAACTTCTTTCTTTTCCTCCCATAGTCTAAATAAATTAGACAAAATTCTATAAAAGCTATAATAAAATACTAAAAAAGTTTCTAAGCTATATAATTAAATCTGAGACTTTTAGAAACCATGCCGAATATTCAATTTGCGTCTTTCAGAAGGACCATGGCGAGGGACCACTTTTGCTGTACTTTTTCGGAAGTGTCGTCGAACTTTTAGAGGGCATAACGAAATAAGATCTATGTCCACCTCTTTTTTTGTGTACATAAACGAGTGGTGACGAAGGCAAAGTGCTTCATACGCAGCATATCTTGTGATTAAATCTGTTGCATTTCTCATCCCTCTGTCAAAGATGCCATAAGATCATTGTGGTGATTTGAATTGTCCATTTTACTCTACGCCAAGGTCTTATTGCGTGAGTACTTTCGTGCAACACAAATGTTGAGGAGATCACATACTACTTGTAGTTGTGTGAAATGTAAACAATTTAAGTCAAGTACGTTCAAGTTGTTCCCAGCCTCAAGTAGGAAGCTTGAACACAATGGGATTGTCATATTTATCTTCTTCTTCTGCACAAGTTGCCACTACTACTATGTGCAACACTGACCATGCCTATATGGAAATAGAATGCTCGCAGATGTCTCATCCATTGCTCTTGGCCTACATTGCCAAGGAAGATCACACACTGGGAGGCGAAGGAAGTGGGTGGCCTTATAGTTGATACAGCGAGCTGAGCTTTTTACAATGCAAGATACTGTCAGAGCGAGTAGACTCCAGGCGAAAAGAATGTGTTTGCATGCAATTCAACCCAATTCCAGAGCCACGACTGTCTAAGCAATATCTTTGTATAGTCCAACACCTAACAAAGGAGTGTACCGGCGAGGTCTTTTTTAAGCCGAAAGGCTCAATCAAATGCGCCCAGCGGTCCTGCAGAAATCAAACGTGGCATGCATATAGACGACGCGGTCATCTTGCAAAGGGGCCGGACGGGAAATCACGGGGCGATGATCTACGGTGTCGATCTCAACGCCCGAGCATGTCTCCGCCCTCTGATGGGCTGGGAGTATGAACTACCGTTGGTCTCCGAGCTTCTGCCTAATACTAACAAGGAAAAGCCTCAGTTAAAGTCTTGGGTCTCAAGTAGGTAGACAGATGTTATGTAAAAATTTCAAGGTTGCTAGTCGGAAATCAAACATCTAACTCTTTGTAGAAAAGGTCATGCAAGATCATCCCTCATACCAAGATTCTACCTAGGGCAGTGATCGCCGAATATACAATCATCACGGCTGAACTCTTGCTTACTAGGCACAGGAAACTTGCACCAGGTTACACCGCGCTGTGTTTTTCCCGTTCGAGGCGAAGCCGTAGTCGGAGAGTGAGCGTATAAATAAGAGGAAATATTCTCTCTGCTTCATCCTCATCATCACGCAATCATCAATTTGAATTTGCAACCCTTGGAATCAATCAAATATATTCAAATTTTCAAACTTGACTCTTGCTCAATATGCGCGTCATTTCCATCTTTGCCGCTCTCCTGGCCGTCGCATTCGCTGCCCCTGGCAATCTTGAAGCTAGACAGCAGGGTGAAGCCTGCCAGGTATGTATATTGATTGAATCACTCAAGGCGTGAGTTTGGAGACATCTAATACATTGATAGCTCGTTCACGGCTCAGCAACATGCCCGTCTAAGTAAGTATTGTTGAAATGCTGTCAATTAATTGATGAGGCCCTGACATCTACATAGGGGCTTGGTCCAGTGTGGTGCTTCTTCCGGCAATGTCAAGGTCTGCTGCGTATGTTCAATCCCTTCCGAATGATAATTTCGTACATGGATGTTTCTGACTCTTCGCAGAAACGCTGCTACTAAACGTCTTTCGTGACGTGGAGGGAGCAAACCAGAATGGACGCCGCCCATGGACGTGATGAATAGTTCCACTGCCAACAAATCAGCGGTGGCATACATGGCAACCAGTATTTCCAGATAGATCCATCTAGTTTCAATATCAATCCACGCATATACCTAGGTACATAACACAGACAAATTGCGGACAACATTAAAAGAAAATGCGCATATTGCGTATGCTATTTTTTTTATCAGACATTTTGATTTTTCTCCACTGAGATTCAATAAAATTATGAGGTGATAGAAAGGTGTGTATCTAGGTATCAAACTGGAAGACTAATCAACGGATGAGAATTTCCTCCAGGGGTAATTTGCAAATATTGGCAAAGAATGGACTAGGACTTATTGTAGTCCAGTAGGTAGGCCGCCTGTGAAGCGGGAAAAAGACTATACAAAGCGAAGATCTTATCTTTAAGTCTTGAAACTTCATTCGATTGATTCTGTGAAGCCTATGGAGTAAATCCGGTGTTTCTTCTCACGAATAATGTCTCCTGGGAAGCCGTGTGACCATATAATTATGGAGGTTTTCCTTTTGCCCAGGTGGTAAGATAACTTTTCGTGAAAGTATTCTATTCTATAATAGCTCTTCGTAAACAGGCTCATTTGCCACAACACGAGATCTATAACTTGATTCGAGGCTCAAACAATTTCGGAAATTCCGGGAGCTCGAGAAATTACGCACTAGGTAAATTTGAACTTTTTAGCCATCTCAATACCCTCCGCGATAGCACCAATCCGCGAATCAATCGCATACCCCTCAGCCTCGAGCTTCCGCAGGCCATCGTAAAGAGTTACCAGCGGTAAGGTAAATGACACAATGAACTCATCCTCCTCTAGATCAGGCTGTGGGTTCTGGTTTTCGGGCAAAGTCATATCAACCTTGACATGGACGAGATTGAAATTAGTATTGCAGAACCCGGGATCTACTCGCAGTTTGGTCAGCAAAACTCCCACATTCGATATCGCGATTATTTTGCAGCAGAAAATGGAAACTAAAAGACAGACGAACCATTGAACATAATAAAGCTCGATTTCATCGCAACGCCAACAAACCCGGTCTCCTCTTTGAGCTCGCGCTCCGCACATTGTTGGATCGTTTCGCCAGCGTCAACCATACCCGCTGGCGTCTCGATGACGATGCGATTAAGCGGCGGGCGGTACTGTTTTTGAAGAAGCAATTCCGGACCAGATGGCTTTTCCAGAATAGCGACGATGCCGACGCCATCGACTAGCGATCCGGCGGGTCTTGTCTGTACCAGGTTGTCAGGAGCCACCCTAAAAGTGAGATCGAAGAAAACTACTTACCACACGTTCAGCAGATTCCCACGTCCTCGTGACTCCATTGGGGTCAAGATATGTAGTCTTGACTAGGCGTTTCCATTTTGCCTCTGACGGGTCCTGAAATATCGGTGAGAGGTCAATTCTTCGGATTGGGCAGAAATTCAGGGGCCACACAAACCAGAGGTTCTTGGTGATAGACTTTTGATTTTAAATTTGTCATTTGGGTAGTTTATCACGAACATGAGATATGCTCGAGGGAAATATGGAGGGGTTGAATTGGTGTGTCACAGGAAGTTTTCTGTTCGTGCAATAGTCGGTCTGATGCCCTGGTAACCATGCGATGACAAAGCAAGCTGAAAATGCAAGTGACAAAAGAACTACGACCAATTGGGCACTGAAGGAGATAATTTGGATAGAAACTTGAAATGAACAACCGTGTTCTGGAAATTTATGTACTTAGTACGGAGGCGCATGCCAGCCTAGAGACGCCTTCCATATCCACACCCCAAACACCAAGAACCGATCAAAAAGAAAGGAAAGCGACGGTGGGAGAGGTATTCAAAAGAAAGGCAGAATTCGAGAAATTGAGGAACATATCGAAGATACGCCGCGAAATGCAAATCAGCGGAGGCAATGCCCATACCCCACAAAGGAGGTAGACATCGCATGCAAGCCCAAAAGCGCGGCTTGATTTTGAAGAAGTAAGAAAAGCAAAAAGGCCGTCACCAGTGGACAACTGGGGAATCAAAAATGTGCACGAAACTCCTCTTCCGGGAATGATTAAAAAGCAAAGGATTTGGGGGGGCATCACAGCGTGACAAAAGAAAAACAAAGGAAAAGAAAGAGTCAGTCGAGTCAGGGGGGCCAGCGAAAGCAGGCAAAAGAAAATCACACAGATCGTTGCGATAGTGTGAAAAAGAAAATCTCCAAGCCCAACTCCGTGACATAACAAATAGGTATGCGCAAGAAGAGAAAAATGAAAGGAAAAACCAGAGATCTTCCCTCGGGGTAATCACGGTCGACCTCGACGCCGTTACACAGATCAAAGTCTGCGCCAAAATATGGTTGTAAAAAGTCGGGCAAGTCCGAAAGATGAGTGAGAAGATGATCGTTTATCTCAAGTTGCGGATGATCTTCTTGCCTCGGGCTAGGAAGGGGCTGGGCATCTCATCGCGCTCAGGATCCCAAATCGCAGGAGGCTCGCGCTCAGAGCACCTGAGGCTGGATGTTGTACGAGAATCGCTAGCGCATCGCTTGACCTCATCCATTGATCGGCCACCAGCACGAGCCTGGGCAAGTTCAACCAAGGTACGGCCACCCATGTTGCGCTGCATCACAGCCTTGTACATCTCATCACCACCAGCGTTGAGCTTGGATGGGGATTGCTTCGAGCCAGTCTTACGGGTCGGAGAACCGGCATCCGCGGCGAGATTGGCGGAAGATGGTATCTTGGAGAGACGTCGATGGGGGGACTTTGAGCGGCTGTCACTCATGCTGCTGCTGCGGTCGTCGGAGCGAGTAGGGGAGACTGATGTTGATTGAGGGAGACGGGATCCGTTTGATGGGAAAAGAGGTGGCTGAGTGTTGAGCTTTTGCACGAGGGTTGCTGTGTTCTGGCGGAGGAGCTGTCGGGGGTGAGCCTTGAATGGATCAGGCTTGACCTTGGGACGGGTAGGTGATGGGAGGTCGGGTGTGTCGTCTTCGTCATCCGAGTAGGCTAGGGTCGGTTCCCATTTCGCCTTTTGGCGCTCGGCTTCAGCGAAGATGTTTCGAGAACCTGCAGTCGCGGATGTACGGCGTGGCGACAAAGAAAGGGAAGCGATGGAGATGGGAGAAGGCTCGGCCATCTGAACATCCTGTGGAGAATCCACCACGGTCGTTTTTGAGCGACATAAAGGAGTGCGAGTCTCTCGTTTCTGCTTCTTGGTGTTGGACGTAGGTGATCCCAGCGAAAGTTGGCTGATGTCGGTGCTGGGGGGTGTACCAGCATCATCGGTCGTGGATGAACGTGAGGTTTGGCCGCTGGCCCGAGAAGAGGATCGAGAGCCTGAACGACGGAGGCTTGCGCGGAAGGCTTCTTCGCGAGAGTTGCTGTTACTCTTTTGCTTCTGCTTTTCCTTTTCAACTTCTATGGAAACTCGCTCTTGGACCTCGCTTTCGAATCGTTTGCGGAGGCGATCCAATTCATTTTGAACCTGTCGGTCGATCTCCAAACGTGCCTTCACCTCCCACTCTCGTCGCACGGTGCTTTCGATCTCAGTCTTCAGTTGTTGCTTCTCCTTCTCTGCTTTGGCGAGGGTTTGCTCCATCTCGCGAACCTTCTGAACGGCAACATCCTCGCGGCGTCGGAGAATCTTACCAAGATCTACGACCTCCTTCTCCTTCCGCATGAGACGGATGATGGGGAGGTTGATCAGCGCGGCAGTGTCGGGGCGGTGGTCGGGGTTGACTCGCAAGCAGCTTCCAATGACATTCTTCAACTCCGGGGAGTAGCAATCAGGGAGAGCGTCGAATTTGCCCTCGCGGATCTTCTGGACCAGCTGGATGTGGGTTCTGGCGTTGAAGGGGGGGCTCTTTTGCGCAGAGCTCATACATGATACATCCAACGGCCCAGATATCTGACCGAAGAGTGTACTTCTCGGCGGCACAAATCTCTGGGGACATGTAAAAGGGAGTACCGACATATGTGGAGGCAAAGTCATGGGACTGCATCTGCTTGGAAAGACCAAAATCGCCCAGCTTGACAGTGTTGTCACATCCAAGGAAGATGTTCTCGGGCTTCAGGTCTCGGTGAAGAATGGTAACCTGTCCCTGCTTTCCCTTCAGACCGGATGCCTTGGCCTGTTGTCCCAGAATATTTGATCCAACCTCGGCGGGGTCGTGGCCGTAATGGCAGCGGAAAAGGGCGGTCACCAGTTGGGATAGGATACGCCAAACGAACTCCTCCTCCGCATATTTGTTGACCTTCTTAAGGTTCTTGATGACCATGCTCAGATCTCCACCGCCGCAGTATTCCATGTACAGATACAAGTCCTGGCTAGCCTTGAGGTGTTCGCGGTGGTAGTAAGCGACGATGTTCGGGTGTCGGAGGGAGCTCAGGATGTTGAACTCGGCGGTGAGTTGTTCTCGTTCTTTTTGGGACATCTTGATGTAGTTGATCTCTTTGCGGCATAGAATCTATCAGTCGGACAGGGTTAGTCCAGAAGTTACATGATCGAATCGGACAACAGGCACTCACGAATCCATCTGTCTTCCGCTTCACCTTGCGGATGATCCCAAAGGAACCGCAACCTATAGAAGATATTTGTTAGGTGGGATATAATCAGATGAGAGAGCCCAGGGCTGGGTTAAGCGTACCAATCTTTTCCAAGATTTCATACTTGTCCGCCTCAGCCAAAGCAATCGCCATGGCTGTAGATGTATGTAGCAGACAAGGAGGTTGATTCAAAGGATGTCGAGTTTAGACAAAAGAGGAGGAGATACAAGTCGAATGCTCAATGAGCCAGAGAAGAGCAAGAACCGGGGACCCTGTATGGTTAGTGGAGGAAATTGAAGAAAGAAAAGGTACGCGACGATGCTTCGAATAGAAGAAGATCGCTGGTCGTTAGTCGGTTGTTTAGGTGGAGGCCGTTGCTCAGCAACGGCTACCGTCATGGAACTTGTCCTTTCCCGGCAGGCGGTAAGCCCGCTCACGTCAAGGGCGTAGCATCCACACAGTCCTCGCCAAGTGGAACCATTGTCGTGGTTGACACAAGGGAGGTATTGGAAATTGATAAATTGGCTATCTTGTGAATTTCCAAATTGTCTGTCAAATGATCATTCACATCAATTTAATGCATTGACTGAACATGGACAATTCTATACCTTTAATTAATTTGATTGGCTGCCGCGGAAGACCGGCCCGATCATGTGTATGGTCACATGACTGTGCTTATCGATAAGCTGCCAGCTGATCGGATACCCGCATTTCATCATCCCACTTTGTACTTCGGACTTTGTGGCCGCTTTTCCTCCCAATTAAACACCGGCTACCTGCAAAAGGCCTTCTTGAAGATGGAAATGGAAGAGCCGACGGTTTTGCGCAAGGATCAGCTGGAGCTAAGCCTGCACAAGGAGAAGAAATTGATCCAGGAAGGCACCATCAAAGATGACAACCCATTGGACCTCAGTGAGCCATTCCGCGACCTCTGCAGTGCTTGCCGAAAAGGCGATCTGAAAGTCTGCCAGGAAAAAATCACCGAAGGTGTCAATGTCAATGCCCGCGACCTTTACGACTATACACCTTTGATTTTGGTGGGTGCTGGGAACCGCGGCAAACGCACATCTCGATCATGCAGTTAACCGAAATTACACCAAACAGGCCAGTCTGTGCGGGCATTATGAAGTCGCACGGCTGCTGCTAGAATCCGGAGCGTTGTGTGAACGAGATACATTCCAAGGTGAAAGGTAACTACAACACCCCACAGGATGGACTCCGGATATCCCACCGGTGATGAGGAAGGTTGAAGTTGTCTCTTGTAAGCGTCGTGGGCTGACGAAGACATATTTCTTGCATTGTAGATGCCTCTATAATGCCCTCAACGACCGTATCCGCAATCTCCTGCTCGAATATGACTACTCCAAGTCTACCGATCCTTTGCAACCCCTCGCTGCCCATATAGCCTCACTCCTTACTCGAGACACCCCCATCACCACCGATATCGTGGTAACGGCAAACGAAGAGTCTATCCATCTGCATAAATTTATTCTTGCTGCTCGCTCCCCTTACTTCAAGGGTAAACTCTCCGCCGCCCCCGATTCGACAGCGTGGAATATCCCCAGCCACATTCCACCCCAGGCATTTGGCGCGGCAATCAGGTATCTTTATTTAGGCGAAGCTCCACGAGAACTGCGGGCTGGCCCTGGAACTGGATTCACCGAGACGGAAGTCTTTGCGGGGATCGACAAAATTGCGAAATATCTCGAGATTGAAAGCCTGGTGGACAGTATACTCGACAGTGGAGATCGGCGACTTGCTCGGCAGAGAAGAACCTTGGAACTATCCAAAGGCAGGGATCAATTAGAGAATTGGTTCCGCACGAATGTGCTTGGCAATAAGATTGTCGTTGAGACATCAAAGGCGGGCGAAGTGAAATGGGATCATGACAATCACATATTTGCAGATGTTCTTCTCCGCGCTGATGAACTACCCGAAGAAGCTGAGGAAGCTGGCACAGGCGACGGCCAGCAAAATTCCACATTATTCCCATGTCACCGAGCGATGCTGCTCCGCTCGGAGTTCTTCCAAGCCATGTTCACCTCGTCTTTCCGCGAGGCCCATATCAAAGATAACCTGCATATTATTGACGTCGATTGCTCGCCAGAAGTATTAGAGATCATTCTTACGTTCCTCTATACTGAAAGGGCTGACTTTCCTCTCGATATCGCCGTCGATGTGCTATTTGCAGCCGACATGCTTTTTATCGAGAAACTCAAGACCAAGGCAGCTGTTGTCATCAGCACCCTGGGCAGCGGAGGCCTGTCGCAAGAAGAAGCCGCGAAAACTAGGGACGACGTCGATGAGGATGACATCGACATTTACGCAATCATGCGCGCTGCTTGGTTAACCCGAGTCCAGCGACTCGAAGAATTCGCCGGTCGATACCTTGCCTACCGGTTGGAAGCCCACATTGATTCGGCCGAGTTCGCAGAGCTCATACAAGAATCCGCATCGCGTATCCAAGTGCGACAGGAAACTGATACCATTGAATTGCTGGATGACATTCGATTCTATCTGAACGAGCGTTTCCGGTTAAGGTTTGACGATGCCGGCCTTGACGAGATGTTGAATGGGCATCAGGTGCCTTCAACGGACGCCCAGGCAGAGGATATTTCCAATATGACCGACGGTGTCGACGCTTTAGATGTTTCCGGGCCGGTTGATCAGTCCGTTAAAGCTGATGGGTTCCGTGAAATCCGGACTTTAGATGGTGCGGTCGTTGAAGATGAATTCTCGGAAGACGCGATGAACTACGAAATTCTGATGGAAAAACTGGATGCTCTTCTGGAAACTCTCAATTTAGAAGCTTAAAGCGGACGCCTTGGGCGAATTGAATCCATGGATAGTATACTAGTAAACACCTGGGCAACTTGAACCTCGGAAGAAGTGAAGAATATATATATATATATATACACGAATACTAGCACTTAGGTACGAACTGGAAATAGACCCGGATATTGTGCGCTCCCAACTTGAAATTGAACATTGGAAGTTCAAGAAGGTTGTTCAGTTCAAGTTCAAGTTCCAAGGTTCAACTTGAAGTCGAAGGCCACTGGCACTGCTGACAATGGTACTAGCCCTAGAGTCCTACTACCTAGGTAGCTACTAGTAGGAGGTTCAACAACTTCAAGTTGATGTTGTCGACTCGGGGTCTTCCAAGGTTCTAAGGTTCCAAAATCCAGAGATATATTAGTCCAATTTCAAGTGGTATTATATTTACAACTAATGTACACATGATTATAGAATCTGACGATGTTCTCTGCCATGTCAGCTAAGTTCCGGAGTACCTCCCAGTGGACTAATCAGAGGTTGTAGCTCGGAAAGACCCAAATACATACCAATCCACAGGAAGACGGCTTTCGTGGTAGAGCCATACATTTAGTACGACGTACAGTGGCGTAACCAAAGTCTGTGATCCTAGACACCGTTGATTCCAGATGCGAATTGTGGTTGGCGTAAGGTCGGCGAGATATAGATCCATTCCCAGACAAAGTAATGGACCATAGATACCGCGGTGGATATCAACTCATAATTCAGCAGCGAAGAGAGTTTCTTCAGTCAAGTACCGGGACAAGATGTCATCAGGTGGGAAGTGAGCGCCACACAAGTCCTCGGTGATAATCAACTCGAGATTCAAGGTCTGAATCCGAGATCGGCCGGCTTTGGTTTTTGAAAGACAACATGCCGAACACTTATTGACCCCCGCCTGGTTGGTTCTGATTGTCGGAGGCCTTCATTTCTTTCTTCTTCTGGATCTTATCCTCCAGATCGCGAATTTGGGTTTCGATTAGCCCTTTCCGGGCAGTCAAGTTGGATCGCATGCCCTTCAGAGCTTTCATTTGTTCATCAAAGGTAGCCTCCTGGCGTTGCTTTTTGGTCTATTTGTGAAACAAAGAAACAAAGGTCAGCGGCACATCCGATAAACTGGGAGAATTTCCATTGCGTAGATCGTGGCTCACCTCGGCGATCTCCTCTGTGGTCTTGATTCCGGCCCCATATAGGGATCCTGCAATTGTGATTGAGGTGACAGCCGCCGTCAAAATCAGACGGCGAATATTTTGAGGTGACGGCATCGTTATGGCAGCAAAGCAAGCGCCGAGTGACGCTGAAAGTGAAGGAAGAAGCCGCGGAAGTCACTACACCGCCTTCATCATTCCGCCTTCCTCATTGGGCCAGATAGTCTACGCGTCGACGCGATTCGCGGTACCCAACACCATTCATCTGACAGCCATACTCGGTTGCTCTTCAGTTTGTACTTTGCTCGCCATCCCCACGCCTTTCATGGCTTCGCATATCATCGACTAGTGAAAATGGCACGAAGTTCGGTCCCTCAACGTCGACTCCACGAGGATTCCGATGACGATGATTCCGACTCATCCCACCCCACCCCGAGCCCCAACAACAAGCGCCAACGTCTGAGCCCCGCGGAGGAATCCAGTGAAGAGGATGAAAGTGGAAACACTGAAGCCGGGGAGGGCGCTAGTGCTAGTAATGATTCTGACGACAATGACAACGACGATGACGACCAGGGTGAAACAAGTGAGGACATGGACGATGCGGGCGCAAGAGCTATCGCTCAACAGCCAGTTATTGACCATGGAGTTGGCCCGGGAGGTTATAAGCCGGGCGCGATTGTGCGCATCAAATTGACCAACTTCGTGACTTATAACTCGGCGGAATTCTTCCCCGGCCCCAAGTTAAACATGGTCATTGGGCCTAACGGTACTGGCAAGAGTACCTTGGTCTGCGCTATTTGTCTTGGTCTCGGATGGGGCCCTCAGGTAATGATAATCCCGATGGAGACATGATCTCTACAGTGGAAAGTTCATAGCTAATGTACCATGGCATCAATAGCACCTCGGACGCGCAAAAGAGGTCGGCGAATTCGTCAAACATGGCTGCGCCGAAGCCAAAATCGAGATCGAGCTTGCTGGACGACCAAAATTGTCGTACAACCCGGTGATCACCCGTACGATCAAGCGTGATGGAAACAAAAACACATTTACCCTGAACCGGAAACCCTCTGGTTTCAAGCAAGTTCGTACTCTGGCGCAATCATTCGCGATCCAGGTCGACAATCTATGCCAGTTCCTGCCTCAAGACAAAGTCGCTGAGTTTGCAGCGTTGACTCCCATCGAACTTCTTCACTCGACACAGCGAGCAGCAGCTGGACCGGAGATGGTAGAATGGCACACCGGCATCAAGAAGCTTCGCGCCGAGCAAAAGCAATTCGAGATAGACAGTCGCGCGGACCGGGAAATGTTGAAAAACCTCGAGGATCGACAGGAAAGCCAGCGAGAGGTGGTGCAAAGGATGCGTGAGCGAGATGTCATCAAGCGAAAGATGGACCTGCTTGAATTCATGCGCCCCATCGTCGAATACAGAGACTACTACACCCAGTTCAAGGCGCTGAAAGAAAAGAAGGCCGCTGTTGACCAAGCTTATGACCGGCTTAGGTTGGAAGTTGAACCCGCTTTGCAATCTCTCAATGCAAAGCAAGAATATTCCGAAAAAATCACCGCTGCGAAACAACATCGCAAGGAGGAAGTCGAGAAATTGACAAGAATAGCCAAACTGCGCGGGAAGAAGATTGAAGACTTGGCAGGATCCATCCAAGGATTGAAAAACGATATCGAGGCAGAGCGAAAGTCAGGCCAAAAGCACAAACAAGAAGCCACAAATGTCTCGCAAAGTATCGCCCGACTGAGAAGAGAATATGAGGAAGAGCCCGTGGAATTTGATCCTGACCACTACAATGAACGGCTGGTAAGAAAGGCCCATAAAAAACCTGTGGAATAGCATTTCCACTTGCTGACCCCTTTATTGCAGAGAGAGAAACGACTTGAAAGGCGTGAGATTGAAGCCAAGGGGGAGGAAATGAAAGCTCGGAGGGCCCCGTGGGTCGAACAAGGGAGAGCTCTGAATTCCAAAATCGCGGAGTCTGAGCAACAATTAAAACACTTGGATTCAGCAACCGGAAAACAAGAGATGAAGTTGCATGCTGTGTCACCCGACTCTCTGAAATTCTATCACTGGATTCTCAAGAATCAAGACAAATTCGAACACGAAGTATTTGGGCCTCCCATGGTAACCTGCTCTGTGGCTGATCCAAAGTATGCCGATGTCATTGAATCGCTTTTCCAGAAGAGCGATTATACAGTTTTCACAGTGCAGAGTAGGAACGACTTCCGAACGCTTCAGAAGAATATCGCCGAACAGAGGCTTGCAGATATCAGTATCAAAACATGTTCCAAACCACTCAGCCACTTTACAGCGCCTGACTTCAATGTCCAAAGTCTTGGATTCGACGGATGGGCCAATGAATTTCTGACTGGGCCCGATCCAGTCATTGCCATGCTGTGTATGGAGAACCGACTGAATCAAACACCGGTCGGCCTCCGTGAAATTTCCGAGGAAGCTTTTGCACAGATGGAAAATGGCACACTCAATTCGTGGGTATCTGGCAAGCACAGTTATAATGTCACTCGCCGCCGAGAGTATGGCCCTGGTGCCAAATCAACTCGTGTCCGCCAGGTCAGGCCTGCACAAGCCTGGACTACAAAGCCAGCAGATGCATCTATCAAGCAACGGCACCTCGATGATATCCGACAGAGCAGGGAACAGCTCGCCGAGCTCCAGGCCAACGTGAATTCAGATAAAGCTGCGGTGGCTGAGCTTACAGCTGATCACAAACGAGTTCAACGTGAATATGTACGTTTCTCCTAAAAAGTCTCTACCATACTGTATACTAACTTGCAACTAGGATGAAATCGAGGCCGAGAAGGCCGAGAAACAGACTGCACATACGCATTGGCGGTCCATTCCCGATAGACTTGGTATGCCGATGCATATTATACCCACCGGATCAGGTTTGCTAACCACTATCACCCTACAGCCCAACACGAGCAGAAGCTCAGGAGCTTCCATGATCTCTTTGATGAAGTAAGAGAACGGGTACACGGCTATCGAAATAGACAAGATGAAATCGCCATTCAAAGGGCTGAGTCTGCAATCGAATACTCTGTAAGATGACTATCAAGATACAAATTGGCTAGAAATTAGTGCTGATCCCCTTTAGGATGCGGTTGAGAAACTCCGTCAAGCCTACGAGGAACTCATGAAAGCTGAGATACGACATCTGGAAGCGAATTCTGATCTTCAAACTCTGAGAGCCCGGCACAGTGATGTTTCCAAAATGCTCGAAGAGAAGCGCCTAGAGGCGGTCCAGATTTCCAACGAATTCAAAGAAGGAGCCAAAAAGGGCAGACATATGATAAACAAGGCAAAGCAAGTCAGCCTTGCAGTGAAAGAAAAAGAAGGGGGCGCTGAAGCTCTTGACTCCGTCAATGAACCGGGGTATACCGAAGACCAACTCAATGCAGACATCGACTCTAAGAAAGCTGAGCTGGAATTTACCCATGGTGGAAACGAGAATATGATCCAAGAGTTTGAGCAACGCGAGCGCCAAATCGACAAGTTACAGAGCAAACTCGGTGACTTGAACAAGACGCTGAGCGACTACAGCGAGGCCATCAACGAAGTGCGCCAAAAATGGGAGCCGATGTTGGACGCTCTTATCAGCAAAATCAGCCACGCCTTCTCTGACTCATTTGCACGCATTGGCTGTGCTGGCCAAGTCAGTTTGGACAAGGTGAAATCTGAGGCTGGGCCCAACAATGACCCTCCCGCCGAGTATGAGTACGATCAATGGGCGATTGAAATCCACGTCAAGTTCCGCGAAAGTGAAGAGTTGGCACTTCTGAATGCTCATCGCCAATCCGGCGGCGAGCGAGCTGTGAGTACCATCTTCTACCTGATGGCTCTACAATCGCTCTCAGCCTCGCCATTCCGTGTTGTCGATGAGATCAATCAGGGTATGGACCCTCGAAATGAGCGCATGGTGCATGGTCGCCTGGTTGACATTGCTTGTGCGTCGAGCAACGAGGAGAGCAATTCCATCGGCGGTGGCGGTGGAGGTCAGTACTTCCTCATCACGCCGAAGCTGCTCAGTGGACTTTCCTACAAGTCTGGTATGCGGGTGCTATGCATCTACAGTGGTCAACACATGCCCAAGGAGTACGCGAAACTGGACTTTGGTCGGGCGATTCAAAAGATGAAAGAGATCACTGCACAAAGCGGAAGGTCCACTGGCAACGATCAGGCCGAAGCCATCGCAAACCATCACCAAGTGGATGTTTATGCCTAGCGGCAAATCGGATTTCTGCTTGGTTTTCATTCTTCACTTTTACATATCGGTTTACTTTTAGATACTCAACACTGGTTTTTGTTTTTGAGCGACACTAAGCTTTTAATCAGCTGTCAATTCATTTCAGGTTCACTCTATTCAAGCAATTAATCATGGGAAGGGACCATGGTCGGCGCACTGAGCGTTATGGTTCCTATACTTTTTCTTTCTCAAAATTACAACTGTTATTTTCACTATGCATGTTTTAGTAGCATTTTTCTCGACATCTCGTGTCTGCACCGGCTGACCTTGTTGAGCGCTCAATGGCCCCAAATATTCCAGATTCTAGATTCTCATCGTTCCCCGAAGCGGGTACCGGTCAAAGCACACTCAATTTCAGTTTCACGGACATCCTACACCCGTTGGCATTCCTCTTCGACCCCTCCCATGAAACTTTACCATGGGGGGGCTGAATGCTTCATCTCGAGTACTCATTGCCTTGAATCATCTCAACATGTCAAGGAAGAATCAAGGCAGCTTCAATGCAGTATCAACAACTCGGAGTATCAACCACGGCAGCTGTAGCCTGGCCCCACTAGGAGGTTAATTAATATCCATCCATTCATGCATCATCGGCCGCTCCGTGTCCGTGCCCATGCCCATGTCCACTTGTCCCCCCTCTCCCAGCCTCTCGGTAGTTGGGAATCGGAGATTAGAAGCAAGAAAGAAAGTCATGAGCATCACCAAGACCAAAAATCACAAGTGGGCCAAGGCCAGGGCCAGCGAAGATGTGACGAGGCTGCATCGAACGAGGCGTTACGAAAAACATTATGATTACACAGCGATCGCCGTCGATCAAGCAAAATGCCGCAAGGTCAGTGCCGGAAGGTTGGCGAAATGGTGGGAGACGGGGGCCTCCGTCGAAGGTTCTCTCTCCACCGGCGACGATCCCCAATTAAACGGATTGGCATCCCTGCTCGGATCGGACCAGACGACCGAAGTGGACAAGATCGGGTCTTGGCCTGCGTAAAGGCTTGCTCTCTGTTTTCCCTCCACCCCTTGCGACTTCGCTTTGGCGGCGAGCAGATCCTCGTGCAAGAAAGGAAAGGCTAGTCAGGTTAAGAGGCGAAGGCGAGGCGAATGGACGCTTCGTTACGCCGTGTCATGCAGATCGACCACCGGGCGTTTCCGCCGCAGATCACAGGCTCCATCTCGGAGGTTTTGCATGCCAATCGTTGGGCGTTGTTGGGCAGTCCCTCGCTACGAACAACTCTAAATTGTCTCTTTGTGTGGCTCACAGCACAGGACCCCAGTTCTACTTGGGCTTTGGCTTTTGCTTTTGGCTTTTGCTTTGCCTTTGTCTTTATGGGTCTTTTCCCTTTACGCTGACCCCATCCTTTCCCCTCCTTGTCTCTCTCGGCCACACTCCGCACCCGAAATGTGGCCTAGGTCTCATGCTGACCGTGGTGCCATCCACTCTCTATCGGTTGTTGTGGATTTCTTCTTGTCTATGCCCTCAATTTTTGGGCCTTTTGGGATTGCTGCTCCTTCATGCTTTGTCCATCCGACCTCCCTCCCTCCCTCCCCTCCCCTCGGCCCCTCTACCCCTCCTACTGCATGCATATAGAACACAGTCCAAAGCTGATCGTCACTGCGCCCCATCTGCTTGGTGGAGGCTGGGAAAGGGATGATTGGCCCGATATTCCACGATCCTGTCGAGAATCCTCATGGCGATCCGGCCAGTCAAATCCACATAATGAGCGTGGAGTGGTTGGTCTTACCTGAGCAAACCGGTCTCAACCAACACGTTGCATGGCCCATATGTCCTGCGCATGGACCAAGATGTGCAGCCTCCGCATGTTTGGCGGGGCCCTACGCTTGGACTACACTCCAAAAGGTGTAAAGTTAACTCTGCAGTGCTACTCGACAAGGTTGTGGTTCAATTCACCGCCCTTCCTTTTTTCGCCTCCGGTAATGGTATCCCACATCCATCCACATCCATGTCCCACATTGAAGGTCGGATCCCACATTCGGATCCCACATCTTATACATATCCCACATCTGTTCTCTACTCAATATGGTAGGTGGAAATGGTGCTGATTAATTCTGGGACCCAACCACAGAAGAAAAAAAAAAAGACAAAAACAAAAACAAGGAGAGAAGAAAAAAAATGACGCACCACGCGAACTCATATCGGAAAGGATGCGATACCCCCAATGAGACCCCCGGTTTAATTCAAGTTCCTTGCGATTAACACAGAGTACTCCGTATTGTACTCTGTTTACTGCGTATAATACACGGCCATCTGTTCGCTTGTCATATTTCGAGAATTGAGTGTTTATGTAGAATTCCCACCAGCCCCTACAACCCCCTGCAAAGTGAGGTCCCTTCGGAAACTTCTCATCCTGTAGGATCACCGCGTCCAAAACGGCGGCTTGAATGTTGTCGACTCATCGAACCCTCTAGCCCAGACCGTTGATTTCCCAGCAGCCAGCCTCCCGGACGCCATGACGGAGGTGGCAGACGATGTATCACGATTCCCTGACCGAGCCAGCTGATGTGTGAGTGAGCTGTATGGAGTCGGAAGGATGATATACAAAGTAAAAATAAATGCGGGCGGCTACAATGTCCAAGCAGAAGGTCCCAACGGGCTTTCTGTATGTATAACAAGGTCACAGTTCCAGTCTACCCAAGTTTGGATGAAGCACGGGCCGCTGGGGGATGGATGTGAAATGAAACGACAAGGCGCGACCGGTCGATCCTCGGCGCCTACAGTACAGCCACAGGGTTAACAGCGCATCACGCTTTAGCAGCATGCGGTGCGTCTCGCAGATACCGTACCAAGGCGTTGCAATGTACCTGTACGAATAAGGCTGGGGATATCTAGGGGAAGGATCGGATCTTCTCCAACGGCCCATAACGTGGTCGAGGCTCGGAGATATATCGACAGGGGTGGCAAATCTACGATAGTACTACCTACATACAATGATGACAGACATCTTTGGAGAGCCACTGGCATCATGATGTATGTATGCCCAGGCACTGTACGTTGAACTTGAATCTTTCAAAGCAATGATAGCACAACGCAGGCTAATTTAGGGGTGTGTTCCGATCCTAGCGTCGCACGACGTGTCGCACAATCGCAACCACGAATTGACAGGGCGGATTCAGATCTGGACGAGCAGATGACATCCCCTGAAACCGAGTCTCTGGGCGGCGTGGGTTTGTGGGTAGATGCGAAGTATCAAGGATGCCCACTCATAAGTACATACATACTAGGCGGGTTGGAGAAAGAAGCAAAAGTAGGTCAGCTCATCTCATCTCACCCGTGCTCACCTTGCCACACCTCATTTCCCGGAGGTTGCCTTACTGGCTGCATTTGTTTTGCAGTTGCATTCATTGCAGGCCTGGACAGGGCATTGGCTCTAACAAATTCCAATAACTCCGTACCCCATACGTTCAAGCTCCAACCCGGTCCAATCTGAGCAACGAAGCCTAAAGTGAAACACGCAGTGATGTCCGTGGACTGCGAAGTAGGTATGTATGTACATACATACAGCCCAGCGGCAGTGGATAAACTACTAGTTTGCGTCTGCCTCATGATCCAATGGAGATGGTGCGCATTCCCTTACTCCGTACACCGACCTGGGACAATTCCGGCCGAGAACTTGTCGCATGGCAATGCAACCATGCAACCGTAGGATGATCTACCAGTCACAGCAACGAAGAGTGCTGTTGAGTGGGGGAGTGGGAGGATGGGAGGATGGGGGCGTAAAGTGTAAATGGAAGCAAAGTCCTCCGTGCTCCGTACATACGAAGTAAAACAAAGCAAAGAGATGGAGAGTTTCGAGAGATCCGCCATACTCGCGCTCGAGTATCTCAGATGCACACTTACGGGTTCGTATCTATGTAAGTATGGGAAGATGTGAGTACATACACACCGTACTCCGTACCCTGTACAGTATTCCTCCATACATGCGCCAATATCGGGTCATCCTGGATAATAGAACGATCCTTGTTGAAAGCATGTGCTGAACTCTGTTCTTCGGTTATCCCTGTCGAAGGATGGAATAATTCATTGCCGATGGCGAGGGCGATCGTTCGAGGATCTGCCTTTAGTGTACGTACACTTTACGAGTTCGCTCGTGGCAGGGAGGTCTACGAAGTACTTGTGACCAAACTATTGTGCTCGGGTTCTCCGAGTGACTTGACAGGGATGGCTAGGTGCGTCGTGCTGCCATCATGGATCGTTTTTGCTTTTTCTTATTGCAGGGCATGAAACGATCGCAGGGGGGCTTGCTTCGGGAAGTGGATGACATGAAGACTGAAAAACAGATCCTGGAATCCGTAGTGCATACGTACATGGGTTCCTGGATGCCGCGCAATTTGATGATGACTCCGAGTACGGTGTACACGGGATATACTCCGGAATTTGAAGATAAAAAGGGAGTCGACTCAAACTACTGACTAGTACGAAACTAGAAGAACCAAAAAACAAAAGCAAAGAAACATCCTTATCCACACGACTTGCGAGCATTGGATCGTAATCCTATACGAAGGACCAAAATATGCTTCCGGCCCCCAAGCTAGTCATCAACACCTGGATCCAATCCACCTGGGCACCTCAAAGGATTTCAAACAAGGGGGTCATCGCTGTGGTTGCCTTGCCCTACGATACTATGCTATGACCGAGGCATTTCCGTTCTCCGAGTTCACCGTAGCGCCAATCCTGATCTGCTCCTCCGGCAATCCTGCTCGTCCTCCCATTACCGTTCCTGCACACTCCAGGAATCTCATCTCACATCCTCCACAATAGAACTCCACCAAGTACGGAGAACAACCAGGGTAAACTGTGTCCGGTAAGTCCGGAGATCATTAGTAAACCAAAACCAAAACCACCTCCCCAAAACAGCTACTGCATAACGCCTCGACTTAGCTAAACAGGAAAGGCCAAAAACTCGAACACAGAAGCTAAAAAAGAAAAAAAAACAAAAGAAAAAGAAAGAAAGGGGCCCCATGGACGATCCCACACGGGGTTTATACCCAATACAGACTGGCGTGGAAGGTCGTGCATGCGGCATGCGGTGGGCAGTGTGGATTGTCGCTTAGATCCCGGCACTAAAACTCTCAGTCTACACATCGACAGGGGGAAGGGCGATCGTCGATGTGTGTGACCTTGACCCTCGGTCCCGGGTGACGAACAGGTAAAGTGTTTCACCACGGCTGACACACTCGTAGGCCGAGGCGAGATCGTTTGATCTTCCGTCGATCTGCGCAGCCTCCCGCCCAGCGTCGCTTGGATGTATTTCCTGTTTCGCTGACAGCCCAGTCCAGCCCCAGCCTCCAGCCCGAGCCCCCCTAATGCTAATGCTAATGCTACCCTAGATGTCTAAACATCTGTACATAGCATATACTTGATGATTTGCACTCCTGATGATCATGCTGAATGCCCATGCTCATGCCCATGTCCATGCTGGCTCTAACTCCACACTCATACCGCCCCCTACTGAGTTCGTGTTTTACCGGATTTGGGTTTCACGATAGTTTTTTGTTTGCTTTTACTTTAAGTTATTTTACGAAGAGTCGATCGGGAGGAGCAGGCACGGCAGGTCCAGAATCCTGGGAAGCCTGGAAATGAGAAGATGTTTCATTTCCATCGTCATCATGTCTCTGAAGAGAAGAAGGATTAATAATGCATGCCGAGTTACTACCCGTACCGATTCTCCATTCTTCTCCGTAGTCCGTTTCCTCGTACTCCGTACCCCGTTAAATGCTGGACCCTCGGCTCCCTACTATACAAAGGAGGAGCATAGCTATCAGTGCGTCGGAGACACTGCCCGAAAGGAGCTATGGCCAGCGGTTGTCTAGGATGGGATGATCCACCGGGGCGATCCCGCCGGAAAAGGAAGGAGGTTAGGCGCCTTGACAGGTCCGCGTCAGTAGAACACGTCAGTCCACGTGAGGGAAGCATAACTTATGGGTGATGGTGGTTGGTATGTACGGAGTACATCGCCAATTGTGGAACTCCTG